GAGGCTTCAATGTAAGGGGGCAATATATTGTATAAAGTAACCTTTTAATATATTTTTATGCAACTATACATATTTTACCTATATCTGTAATTTTTAGTTGATAATAATATGAGGAAATAAGACAAGAACTAACAAAGATGATGTACATTGTAAAGCCTATTTTCTCACCGCCTTTTAATACCATCCCTTTCGGCATGCCTTTTAGTATGGTTGCATATTTATTCATAATAACTGGTTTATTTAAAGCAGCTACCACTTGTGCCTTACTGACAGTGTCTTGGGAAAGGGTGATAAGCACTGCTGCCAATGGGGGTCTGGTGCGACCCAATACTTAAAAACAATACGAGCTATTAAAATCTGTAACAAAATTAATAATGATTTACTCAGTATAGAAATTTGGTTATTTTGCAAAACAGAGAACTATCGATTCTTGTATCCACTTAACCCTTACCTTTGTCTCCACAACCAATCCAACAGACCATCCTTTAACGGGAACATGTAGGCATAGTTCTTACACTAATCTTGAAAATAATTCCGTGGACCAACGGTATATCGTTTGCTGAATTTCTCCTCAGACGTGTTAAATATGATAGTCTGTCTATGTTTTTCTTTTATTTAAAGCCCGTTCTTAGGCCACATCCACCTCATAAACACTTTCCGAAACATTTTAATAGCTGTGCAACATCTTTAATAAACGATAAATGTAGTGAAAAGTTACTCTCCATTAACTACAACAGAAACGTCAGCCTGTCAAAGGCAAATAGTGCGACCGAAGTTTTGTTATGTAGTTAAAACGGTAAAATATTTAGCACTATAGCAATTGGCAACGTTTTAATTTTGGTTTTACCTTTGACAATTAGCGCGATACCAAATGTACGCAACGTGTCACATAGGTAACGTTTCGTTTTAGTTTACTTTTGGTTTTACCGTTGACAGTTTCGCGCGATTGGCCCCCTGATTGAGACAACCAATAGCGCGCGCTTGTTTCAATTTTATCGCGCACATCGCGACTATCATGCGTGGCCATGCTACGGTGGCTGGTATAATGACTAGAAATTTTTCCACACATAACGTACGAGTTATTTTATAAACGTCTTGTTTTGGGTATTGTACGTAGTATCACTTTATTGGGGTTCCTTAGGCTTCTGGCAGTCCTTCGCTATTATGAATTTTGATAGATTTCGATTAACAAATATACCAACTTTGAGTATGTACAGGCATGAGAGGAGCAATATTTTGAAGTGGGGACTACATGAGACATACGGCGCTACATTGCAGATGGCCCGTATACATCGCTTTTGAGCGATAAAAATCTTCCCAAATTCTGTGCCGTTGCCCCATATTATGACGCCGTATCTGAGTACATATTCAACATACGCAAAATAGGCTATCAAAGCCGTACATTTATTCGCCACTTTTGACAATTTGTAAAGAGCAAACGCAAACCTATTTATTTTAGTACCTACACACTTTGTCCATTTGATCCTTCCAATTCATCTTTTGATCTACAATTAATCTTAGAAATGTCACATTGGTATTGTTTCGCAAAATTTGTCCGTTATAATCCATGTCAACTGTTTGTGTCCGTAAGGTATTAAAATTCATTATATTAGTCTTAGTTAAATTAATTTGAAGATTATGTTTTTGTAGGTAGGTATTCAATTAGTGATGTCAATGTTTTCCTTAATTCGTTTTTATGCTCTTCCAATGTTGATTTTATTGGAGAAGTGACAACCATTGACACGAAACAATACTTTTTTGCGGATATCATCCGTAAAAAGAATTGTTTCTTGTTCCGTGCATCACATACATCATTAATATATAATAGGAATAGCAGGGGACCAAGTATACTACCTTGGGGAATTTTGCAATAATTACTTTTAAAGTCAGATTTACTTGTATATTTCGGTACAATTCTTTGTGTTAAATAACATAATAACCCAACTAGGTTATGTCTACACACTGTAACCTATCTGCTAGGTAGGATTTTAGCCAGTTAAGTGCCGGTCCTCGAACTCCGTTATGCTCTAATTTAGTCAATAATAGGTCGTGTGAAACGAATTCAAAAGCCCTAGACATGTTCAAAAATGGCCCCGTTGTGTGTACAGTTTTTTATTTACATTTTGTAAAACCTCGTCAACTTTGTGAATTGCTGCATGTGCTGTTGATTTGTTTTTCTGAAACCCATGTGTGTGTTGATTATCTTGTATAATTTTGAATCGAATAAAGTAGGATAATAGCTGGTTGTACATGACCTTTTCAAATATTAAAAAAAAAACTGGATTCAAAGCGATAGATCTATAGTTACTAAAGTCTGTAGTGTCTCCCTTTTTGTGTAACGGTCTTACGATTGAGAGTTTTAAAATCTCTAGAAAAGTTCCAGTTTCTAAGGAGAGATTTACTAGGCAACTAGTCCGCCTATCTGATCTTTACACGCTTTAATAACTTTACTACATTTAGAGTCACAACCTTCAGTGACATAATTATTTTTCTAGTGTCACTTTCGTCTACAACAGTTATACAAAGACAGATTTAAAAATGTTATTGTTAGATATCGTATTTTGTAAGAGTATGTCATAAATTAATTTAGTAATTGATTCTATAAAATAATTCTCAATAATAATAAATAGCCTGTGTGGCCGAACGGTTACCATGCCGGACTGCCACGCAGAGGTCCCAGGTTCGATTCCCGGGCCAGGAGAAATATTTGTATGGCCTGCATTATTTCTCTCGTGAGTTTGGTTGTAATTTGTGGTTGTCTATAAGTGTGTCCATGGTACCCGCGACACAGGGTTTCCCTAGTGCGGGACTATGTTGAGCGTGTGCGTTATTATTATCACATATAATCACTTCATCACTTAATCACTAATCACTATTTATTTTGGTTGCAATTTCCTTTTCTTTTGTCTTTAATTTTTTTTATTATAACTACCACTACTTTAAGTTTTAATTATTGTCCATGTCGCTTTGCAAACATTCTTGCTGTTTAGGATGATTTTTTTATTTGCCATTCTCTTAGAACAATGAATACACACTTTGAGTAATCTATTGTAATTCTGGTACATATTATATCGGGCATTGTTTCTTTTGTGTGTGCAATAGTTAAAATGAAGTTTTCTATTTATAGTGCATGATATGTTTGGTATGCTTTTGTAAATTCCTTCTGGTAGGTATATCGAACTCTCCTCAAAATTAAATACGCGATTAATGAATATTGTACGAAATCACATAAATGTTACTGGACAAAAATATTCTCGCTCCTAAATCTTTACTAACTTAATTTTAGCATTTAAAAGAGCAGGTCCGAAGTTCTTGCTCTTTTTTCTCAGAAAAAAACATTTAAAATTTCAGAGTGCCACCAGCTGTAGGTACGACTAGCCTAAATTGTGCACAGTTAATTAATTAGCTTCTAATTATCTGAACGAACTTTCAAACTTCAAGAATGCTAATATTTGACAACAATTACTCTAATTACAAGAAATTGAAAGTGCGCATTTATATTTCTCTTAAATTTATTTTTAAGCTAGCTGTACCTAGCAACACAACCAGAGGCAATAATGTAGCCAAAAGCAATAGTTTTATTTACCTACAACCTTAAAAGTATGTAGTCAAAAGTAGATTTTTCAGTGACGAATCCAAAACATAAACTTACAAATTAAAGTGAGTGTGTGTTAATATTGCGAATGTAGCGAAAATAAATACTAATAATCCCAGATAACAAATAACCACGTCAAATTCTGGTCTCAAACTAGGGAATTACCTGTACTATTGGCCCCAGAACACCCAGACCAGAACCAATTTAGAACATTTCATAAATAGGTCCTACCGAGTATCGAGTTCGGGACCTCTTCATCTAGTGTTTAGCTCCCAAATTGCAAACCGTGAACAAAATAACAAAACTGTAAAGGGTCCATTTAGCGCACTGGAGTAAAGAAAAAGAGATTAAAAGAAACAAATCAGTAGAATCCGAAAGTATTTTTCTTTAATTCCCAAGATCATCTGAAATGGAAGAGAGGGGAAGAGGCCTACACCTGAAGTCAGATGGAAGATCGTTGTGCTGGGTTCTCACGGCCCGTGAATTTAAAGGCTGTTCCGTGTCGCGCCCATTTATTTGTACGGGCGAGCTCGCGCCACAGGCGAGTCCATGCGGCCTCGGGCCGAAACGCGTGGCAGCACGTATTTTGTGGTGTATGTGTCGATAGCTATAATAAAGGGCGTTGTTCACCCGCTCTCCGTCCAACACCCGTCCGAAACAATTACTGTCAAATAAGTAAAAATTAAACCAAATTAAATACGCGTGATGCGAAGTCAGAAGTTTCATACTTGGCATAGTTATTATGATTTAAATCTAGTAAGATATATAGTATACTTTATTAGGTACATTATTATAGTAATAATAATGTACCTAATAAAGTATACTATATACATACTATATACTATACCATACATATTATATATACATACTATATATACTACACTGCAAAAAAGTATTTTTAAGCAAATAAAAAAGAAAACAAAAAGCAAGCAATGTTCTGTGGCAATTAAAATTCTATGTTTCAGCAGTATTTAAATTGTTTGAACAGTGAGTTTTAAGTTTCGGTTTCATATTAATTGTCGTAATACTTTTTTTCAATTTAGAGGGTAGTTCATTCATATATATGAAGAGCGCATAGCTATTTCCGTGTAACCCCGTGTGGGAAGCCAGCTTTAACTTGATGCTAAGCATTATAATATCCCTTCTCGCCGGCTATAGGCGCAGAACTTTTTACCTACACGAAGATTCATCAACCATAAAGCAATGTAATGGAATGCGTAAATACAAAGATAAAATAACAAATACCGACAAAGTAATAAACATTTAAAAATATAAAAAGTAAGTACGTTAAAATATCTTAACTAAAAGCTGTTTACAAAATTAACCTCGAAGATACTTAAAATACTTCAGATAACTCACACGTCTTACTAATAAAACGGCAATCATATTTATAGGCACATAACCCGACCAACATTAATGTAGAAAATGAAGTACCTATTAGTTATATGCAGCCTTACCAGTGTTGTAACTAATCAACTACATATTGGTGACGCTGATCCTGATTACATATGTAGTTATTGTCAACCTGAACAAATTCATATTGCTTTTGGTGGTAAGTTATTGGTGTTTCCCAAACATTGTTCTGCCATGGTCCGGCAATTTTCATACTGCTTCTTCGTGACCGACTTAATATTTTTAAACCTAAGCTGGTTACATTAAGTAAAATAATACACATTTATTATTAGTAAAAATGTTTTACTAATATTATTTCGGTATCGCCTATTTAGTGCGAAGTATGGAGCTGCTGCTTTTTTGCTAAAGAATCCAAGTTCGCGGGAAATTACGAAAGTTTTATCCTGCACCTTGATTTTGATTGCCGATCGGAAACTGCGTCTTTTCCGAGTCGAGGCATATAATATTGCGTTTGGGCTACCCGATCGGATCGATTCCAATTTGAATTAAAATCAGGGCTCTGAGTTCTAGTTCCACTTTAACAAAGCGGGAATGTTGCGACTCGGTATTTCATTTTGATGGCCCGGTACGGGTTCGCGACGCCCCAAATGGGAAACGCTGGTCTAAATCATCACAGTTTCTGCTTCTTTTGATTCGCTCAAGAACTGTACACTTTGTGTAACAAAGTCACATGTGATCATACGAGAAAAGTGTTCTTGTCACATGAAAATTATAAATATAATCCGAACTACATGAAACATGTTGTATAAGTACCTGTATATGTGAAACTTTATAACGTTCCTGTTTATCTAAACAAAAAAGTTATCTTTATTTTTATTTTATTTTAAAGATACACAGACAGAATGTAATCATCACATGGTAACAGATACAACTTTGATACATTAATTATACCACATTCCAAAAACAGTGTACACAACATGATAAAATTAGTCTTAGTATTAGGTTAGTGTAAAATTACAATCTCCAAATCTAAAACGAAGAAAACAGAAATTAAAAATAAGTAATTAATAAATAAATTGACAAAGTGATTTGTTTAAATAGTTAAAAAAATAATAGTAATAACAACATAACAGAAGTTCATCATAAATTCGTCACATTTTCGCTATAGAGCTGTAGAAAGAGGTATTATTTTTATATACATGAAACTAAGACAAAAAATTCGCGGCACCCTGTGACGTACCTTGGCATTAAAATTAATTTGGCTTAAAATCTCGGGACAATTCATCACAGAATGTATCAACTAATTTCATTCGTAAAATCTTCAAACCTCTCTCCTAAAAAGTTGTAATTTTTCTGATGTGGCCTTTAGAGTGGTTAACTTACGTGGTTACATACGGCGCTTTTAGCAGCGATGCATCGTTATACTTGCAATTTATACGCAATCACCTATAAATCCAAAGTGCAGTCGAGGTTGCATCGCGTTTGCGTCGCTGCTTAAAATCGCGCGCGTCAGTAAAGTTAGACGATTAGCGCATATTTAGCGAAGGCGCATATTTGCATAACACATATTTGTACCTTAATAATGGGAAAACAGAGATGAATATGCCATAGACGAAAAACATGATGCGTCGCGACGCTTCGACTCTGCGCCATTGTGAGTTAAGCCTTTGGGTCCCTTGAAATCGCGTGGTGTCATGAGCGCTTCAAGGTAGAGTCGGGTGTTTTATTTATGAACGAAGCCTCACGGTTAGTTTAGGACGCAACTTTGTTAAACAATACGCAAATGATAGGTACAATACAATCGCATGTATATGGACTCTAATAACTTAGAGTTATTATTTATAACTTAGAGCAGCGATGCAAACGCGCGGTCGTGAAAAGCGCGATTGCATCGCTGCCCTGATAAGCCGAAAAGCGCTATCTCAATCGAAGTAAGTTTTGAGAAAATCGACTTTTTGTAAATTGTATTTTCGCACCTTCAAAAACAAATATTTCTAAAGATGCTAACACTTATTTATACGTAAATTTGCCTTATAGATTTATTGACATACCCAAATTATCCATAACTTGTACCATTATACCTATTTTCTGAGATACCGCTATTTTGATTAAAAATAACAGTTTCAAAAATTGAGATACTGCTTTTAGCCTTAATCTGCTCATAGAGTATCCCATAAACAAAGTCAAATTTTTATATTTGATAAAAATACCTTATTAGTTTGTAATAAAAAATCATTTAAATTTTTTTTTAATTACTTTATTGACCGTATCAGCAAATTACAAAAAAAAAATTAAAGCCATTATTTGCTTTCTATGAAATTAAATTAATCAAAAGTTGGCAGTCCTCGCCAAAAAGACATCCTATTAGCAGGTATTAAACTGGAAAAAGATTTTAAAAGATTTATTTTTTTTGTTTGAGAAATTCCTGCAGGTACTATTTTTTTAGTTGGGGGTGGAAGTTTCTCTAATTTTAAGAACTTTGCACCTATAATGCTTGCCGTAATGGGTTCATTATCGAAACTAGTTCTGTAGCTAATATAAAACTGCCTCTGCTAACTTCCACTTCAACAATGTCACTAATGTAAGGTCGTGGTGACAGCCGGGAAAGTTTGTATTGGGTCGTGTAGTCTTGCCACTCATAGAAATCATCTAACGTCATTTTTTTGGTATTCACATTTTTACCAGCACTACTTACAGCTTTGCAAAAATCATCAAAGTCATATATTTTATTTTTCATCCGTTTCATCGCCAGTTCTACTCTATGGTGAAAAGAGTCTGCAGACATAAACGTGTGCCCGGTTTCAAAGTATTTTATAATAATCTTGTCTGCATTGATATCATCAGAATTTATTATATAAATTAGAAAGGAAAAAATGTCCAGTTTTTATTTTGAGCAGAACAATTATCCACCCAGAGTACAATATTTTTCATATCTCGATAGAACATAAAAAAATGATAATACGCGCTTATGATCTCATTTTTAGATCGTCCAGATAATGTTTCATGCCAAAGTACGGGATAGATACTAGATTCTTTTGAACCTTTCCTAGCTCCAGTAGGGACGAAACTTTCATTATAAACAACAATCCTGTGAGTGAATACAGTCGACTTAAACATATCGATTCTCGGTAGCATTATGACTTTTTGTAAGTCTGCGGAGTAAACAATGGTATCAGCGCTGGTTAAGTTAGTGTCAGATTGATACTGTTCTCTTGATCTCTTAGCTCGTTCTATATGACATGCCCACCTGGTACAGCATTCACAGTCTCCCTTGAGATTGTCTTTATCATGCGTTTTATCGTGCAAATCGAATTCTTCACACACTTCACATTCTTCGTGACCCAGTTTTACGAACGAAATATTTAAATCTTGCAGAACTTTTCGGTATTTATCGTAAGAGCATGTCATCGAAGGATTTTTTTCTAGGAAATCTGTATGAAGATTTGTAATAGACAAGTCACTTGGCAAATACAAGCGTTTGGGCGCGTGTTCACGTCTATAATGCGATATCCTGGGGTCAAAACTAAATATGTGTTCCTTTATAGGACCATCGTCAATTTTGTTGTGAGGAGTGTTAGTACATATTTTGTCCACTGGAGCACTGACAGAGTCATCCTTATTGTTACCTAAAGCAGTCTTTAAGGGCTTGTCGTTAGCTGCATTATAACCCAAGGTAGTTAAAAAGAAAGTTTTGCATACTTTGCATGACGAACCTTGTGAGTTTTTAAGATAATAGAAGAATGTAGTTTGTCTTCTGTAAGTAGTTGGAACAGATTCATTGACAGTTCTCTGTTTCACAGGTTGGGAAGAAGTGTGGTGCAACATAAATTTTTTTCTGTCTTTATTGCTTAAACTCCAAAAAGAATGATTCAATTGCTTTCGTTGCTCTTCCGGTATGTTTATAATACATAAAAGCCTGCATGATGAAGAGCATGGAGGTTTTACGTCATGTTTTTCCCTTTTTTCTATAATTTTAGTTTTATTTCGCTCTTTCAAGGGCACATCATACTTCTTTCTCTTTCTTATTGTCCCTGTTTTAGTATAAGTTATCAAATCAACGGAACTTTCTTTATTTATCTCGTCATTTTGTGTTGTATTCATTGTTCGTATTTGTACGTTTTCGATAGTAACGTTTAATGTTTGTTCATTGTCAACATGTAGGAACTCATCATCGGTTGTATGCAATATTTCCTCATCAATGGTCTTCATTAACACGGCGCAAGCACTATCAATATTATCAACTGTATTATTCGTAATTATCTCTTGATTATGGTTTTGCGCTACTACTGGAAGAAGTTGATGGTACGATAAGTTTTGCTCTTCCCCAATCGTCATGTTTGGAATTGCGTTGTTTACATTTTGATGGTTAAATTCTACACTATTTGGACATGTAATCGGTGATGGGTCTTCGGTAGGATTGATATTATATTCACTGATGGGAATAGAGCCAAATGTTAATAAATACGAAGATTTAATCGAGATGTTATCAAAGTTATCCGAGTTCTGATTGACGGTTTCAATCTTCGAAGTAGATGGTTCTAATGTAATGTAATCGTCAGTAAAACAAACATTTGGTATCATATTTTGATTCTTTTCAGCAAAATATTGTTTTGCGCTGCTTCGTCCGGATAAAGGAGATAGTCATCATTTGAATCGTCAGCATCACTGCTAGGAAAAAAGTCAGGATCGATATTCTGGATGTCACGCTTTAGTTTCTTTGAACCTTTAAATTTTTCTCTCAGAGACTTATCTTTTTGTGCTAAGGCCATCATCATTTTCGAGCTTCTGTGTGACATGGCTGATCTGCAACAAATCAACATCCATTTCCTTATATAACATTAAAACATACATTTCGCTCAACTAGTTTTATAATTTCATTCAATTTGGTTACCTATGTAGATTACTCAGTAGGCTAACGAACCACAGGTAGACTTTTACACTATCGTCAATAAAAACAGTGAAACTTGTTGTGTTTTTACATATGCCTGCTACTCTGATGTGATGTGACTGATTTGTGTGTAATACCTACACTACGAAAACGACTCGTATTTCATGCCTTACTAAGGCGCTCTAAAGGTCAACATATAACAATTGACGTCCAGTTGATTGTACTATTACCAACTCAGATAAATACTTGTAATTCAGAAGTGTCGTTATCGAAGCTTCAAGTTTGAAATTAACTTCAAAGAAAGTGAGAAACTAGAGAATTATCCTATAAAAACTTACCTTGATATCAATACACAAAAACTTGTCACTGTATATTTATAAACACTGTGTTTTATTAACTTTTTCCCTATTTTTAACACCACAAAACAGATTTGCTTCCTTCCGCAAACAAAACAAACTAAGAAATGATCGCTATGTTTATCTTCATGTCACAACACGCTCTATTGTCACATGCAAGTGAGTGTAATCCTTAATACTAAGATATTAAAGACCATTTTAAGTACCTACCATACTTCGGTACATCCGTATCTCAAACCTTAGCGAACTAATAATACGCACATTTACTTAGCGCAAAAGCACTAACTCCGCAACTAGCTCGAAGTTCGAAGGAAAGATGAGCTTACCGCTTATTGCATTAGAAATTGATTAATATTGTTATCAATTATTTTTAAGCGTTTCTAGCCTATGCCAATATACGCCTATTTGGCTTCATAAACACAACATGCCGCCAAATCTCTTAATAATTTAAGAAAATATTGAGATATAAAAAAACTTCTTAGAGGTTTTTTTTTAATGTTTTAAGTTAGATAGCGATGTTTAGATTATACCATTAAATGCAAAATTATTATAGTTATGGAATGGTATAAAAAAAACTAAAAGGGCGTATCTCAGAGATACCGCCTTTCGGCTTAGCAGGGCAGATCGCTACACTTTGGTTTTATACGCGATTGCATCGCTTCAAATCGCACACGTGTGTAAAGATAGACGATTGGCGACAGCACCGCTACTGCATCGCGTTTGCATCGCTGTTAAATGTGGCCGTGTATAACTGCCCTTGAAATCGGGTGGTGTCATAAGATCATAACTTGATTGATTAGAGAGAAATAATAAGATTTAAGGATTTAGATACCTTAAATTATGACGACATACCTATATACAAGTGAATAAGAGTTTCGCTCTAACTAGAAGCCACTCCCACCATTGACTTAGGGCCCTTGAAGTCGGTCAGTCTGATAAGTTTTACCACTTTCTGCTTTTTACAGAGAAAAGTAACAACATAGTAGTGACATGGACGACAGCAGACGATGCGAAAGAGAGCCGCGTGCAGTTCGGAGTGTTCACGACACCGTTGGACAAGGAAGCCGTGGGCAACCACGTCTGTTACCCAAATATACGTAAACAGTGGATACACCGTGTTACTTTGGAAAACCTTCGTTTTAATACGACTTATGGTAGGTAATACACACATATGGTAGGTATATCTTCATCTGCAACAGTATTCTTTAAATTTATGTTATCTATACGAACTCCGGGTCCTTAATGTAAATTTTCAAATATGTAAATTTGACCATCGCGTTTGCGTTAAGATTTTAATTTGAACCTTATGACTAAGATCTAAATAATAATCTTAACATAAACGCGGTAGTTAAGTTTGAATTACACAAATTTACTCTCAGGTCTCTTCAAAATAACAAACAACAATTCGATTTACACATTTTTTTTTTTAATTAAACAAGTGACGAACTGAGCTTTCGTTCAGTTTGTTTGTGATAAATATATTTATTATTTACAAATTAATAATTTAGCAGTAGTAGAGCTCCTTGTGAAAGGGTTCGTCCAGGGAAGTACTGCCACTTTGCCTATTTCTGCCGCCAAGCAGTAATGTTAGTATTACTGTGTTCCGGTTTGGAAGGATAAGGATGCTGGTGAAATTAGAGGTACATGGGACTTATCAACTTATGTCTCAGGGTGTCGCAATTCTTTCGCAGTCCCCTCAGATCTTTGCGGATTTAAAGCCCTGAGTGGCACTGCATCTGTTATGGACAGGCGTGTAACTTACCATCAGGCGCATGACTTGTACATCCCGTCACTTGATATTATAAAAAAATGTTTGTATGGTTTCTATAAATAATAATTAAATTGAAATGAAAAGTTTTGAATCACGAAATAAGTTTTTTTTTTTGGTGGCTAGAATAATAAAGTATGGCACTTTCCCACATACCAATATTTTGCGCTGTAGATGTGATTTATTTGGTCTGTGGTAGATACAGTTGCATTTTGTACCATTAATATATAATAAAATAATGAAAATAAAATAAAATGTACCATGCAAACGAAGGCTGCTTGGTATTAAGTATCTCTGGCTTTTGTAAATCATAATATTAGAAAACACCGGTAAACATTCCAGGGTACCGGTGCGGCTCCCGTTTTGCGTGGTCCGAGCTGTTCTACTTTACCACTCCACCCGAAGAAGAATCAGTTCTGCGAGCTGTTATATATGGTGATATGGGAGTTGAAAACGCACATGTATGACGTCTTACCTATTTATCGTACTGTTGTATATAAATCTACTTATTCCATTCATTAAAATAACTGCAATGAAAATGTTGATCACGTGGAAACTGTCTTGCCAGCAATTAGTATCACCATCTCACAAAGTACGACTCGATTATTTGTTACTCAAAGGACTCGATAGAAACTCTGTACTCGGTAACGGTAGTACTCGATAGAAACGTTGTAGCGCGTGTTGTATGTTAACACCCCGCCGCGCTTCGTGTAGGTATGGCGGCACACATTCGCATAATAATGAAAGGCGCGTGACACGACCAGCGTGCACAGGTAGAGATGGATCATGGATAAATATCATTGGGATAAAGACTCAGCAGAAAGATAAATATGGATAAATATTCATATTTATCCATTTTTACTCGGTATTTTTATCCAAAAACGTGGATAAATATTTTTAATCGTAGATTATTATTTATATAGTAAAACAAAGTATATTTTTAAATTTTTAAACTTAATTGTAAACATTGATACAATTTAGTAGCATGTACGTATAGTATATTGCTTGTTATAGCTTTTTTTCTATACACAGTGATACGTTTCGGTACAGTAAATCCCTGTATTTTTGCGTGAATCTTATTATTTTTTAAATGCGTAGTTTGTTAAAAAAATCTCTACACACAATATTAACAGCTGTCTGTATTTTGCATGGATTTGTTTTCAAATTACTAAGTTAGTCCGTTATTGTATAGTTGTTCAGCTTCGTGTTTAGAGTACTCAAAGGCACTAGCTGGCACTAAATGACACTCAAAAGCACTTGCTAGTACTCAAAGGCTCTCGCCAGTACTCAAAGGCACTCGCCAGTACTCAAAGGCACTCGCTAGTACTCAAAGGCACTCGCTGGCACTCCAAGACATTCGCTGGAACTCAAAAACACTCAGACGCACTCACAGGCACTCCCGGGCACTCAAAAGTACTCAAAGGCACCCAAAAACACTCGCTGGCACTCAAATCACTCGCTGGCACTCAATGACAGTCGCTGGTACTTAACGACACTCAAAGGCACTCGCCGGCACTCAAAAAGACTCAAAAGCAATCGCCGGCACTCAAAGACACTCGTAGGCACTCAAAAACACTCGCTAGTACTCAAAGGCACTCGATAGTACTCACAGGCACTCAAGTGCACTCGCTGGCACTCAAAGGCACTCGCGGGCACACAAAGGCACTCGCTAGTATTCAAAGACACTCAATGGCACTCGTTAGCACGCAAAGGCTCTCAAACGCACTCCCTAGTACTCAAAGGCATCGCTAGTACTCAAAGACAGTCTTTGGCACTCAAAGGCACTCACGGGCACTCTAAGGCACTCAATGGCACTCAAAGGCACTCGCTAGCAAACAAAGGCACTCGCGGTCTCTCAAACGCATTCAATGGCACTCGCGGGCACTCAAAAGCACTCGCTGGCACTCAAAAGAACTCAAAGGCAATGAAAAGCACTCCTGGTTCTCGCAGGCACTGAAAGACACTCGTGGGCACTCAAAGGCACGCACGAGCTCTCGTGGGCACTCGCAGGCACTCGTGGGCTCTCAGAGGCACTCGCACGCACGCCTTGCTAACTCGCACATTTCTGGTGGAATAGCAGCCTAGTCGAATCTTTTCATGCGAATGCTCGCCGGTGAAGGAGGTAGTTTATAATGTAATGCTCAAAAACGAATGTTCACAAGCGAATGCTCGCCGGTGAGGGAGCGCCCTTACATAAAACAATGACAAAATGAGAATAACGTAATTATTTAATAAAAAAAATAGTTCTAATGATTTTTATTATAAGAAACACAAAAAAATATTTATCCATGTTTTAGGATAAATACTCAGGGTAAAAAAAGGTAAAAACGGGTATTTATTGGATATTTATCCTTTGACGGATATTTATCGGATTAAAATCCATCTCTATGCACAGCGCTACGCAACACGAGTGCGTCGCGAGTTTCAGAGAATGTGTGCGTCTGTCTGTATATGGCACGCAGCAGGCACGCACACATACAAACCGCGCAGCTACGTTTAAACCACTGAACAATAAATACAGTAGAAGTGGTTAGTTAGCGTCCTACGCGTGCCGCCAACTATAGGTCTCGAAAGACATATCAGTTGGGCTAGCACTATAAAGCGCGACTTGTGACCGTGGTAGTATTTCATGTCATCGGAAAGTCTTATTTTAATAAATTTTCAATTTTTTCTTTATCGAAATATTTTTTTGTTACAAGAAACGAAAGTAAAGCTTTTTTTTTATAATAGCGCACATACTCAACATAGCCCCGCACGCGCACTAGGGAACCCTGTGTCGCGGGTGCCATGGACACACACATAGACAACCACAAATGACACCCAAACTCACGAGATAAATAAATGTAGGCCATTCAAATACTTCTCCCGGCCCGGGAATCGAACCTAGGACCTATGCGTGGCAATCTGGCATGGTAACCGTTCGGCCACAGAGGCAGTTTGTTTTATACCCCTGCAATATGGTTGCTTCTTGTTTGGAGAACTAAATTAATAGCTCCAATTCGTCGTCGTTCAACAATGAACATCTAGATGGCAGCACATTGATTGAAATTTCAATATTATATTTATACGTCGTAACTTATGTAATAGGCATTGATGGTATTGAACTTTCAACGACATACCAACAGGGTAAAGTTCAAATTATATGTATTAATAATCCAGAATTTGTTATATCTTTTTAAATTTGAAACTACGACAAATCAGTATCAAGATTTTGTAGTGTTTCAAATTAAGAATCTGTGAGGTTTAGCAACATCGGTTCTGATAGTAATCGAGGCTTAAGGCACTTCCATTGTTTTTTCTTCCGTGGTTTAAACGTGAAACACACTGAAAGCGGGTGAGGGTCGAGTGTGTGTCGGGAGCGCGGCGGATAGTGTAATTCCGTGTTTTTAATAATACATTTTTTCCTAAAATTGAAAAAAAAATATTGCATTATTTGAGAAAACGTTATACTGAACAACACAAAGGTGGCGACAGCAAACGAACATACTCGTAAAAACAAAATCGAGCCAAGCCTGCCCGAACGCACTCTTTTATAATAGTGAAAATAGAGGGGGCAGCAAATATAAAATTGACCCCGGGCGGCAGAAATTGTCGCTATGCCACTGCGTTTAATAATATATAATAAATGGATATGCCATACTTGTCTTATTATACTATGCTACAGGTAATGATGAAATAATCTTAATTAACTTTCCTGTATTAAAAAATAGAACTGTTTTAATGAAACCTTATTTAAATCTAGGCGCTACCGTATCTACAACAAGAGGCCGAAAACAGCAGTCTAAATTTCATCCTGCACGTTGGTGACTTTGCATATGATATGTATGAGCAAAACTCTAAAATTGGCGATCAGTTCATGCGGCAAATACAGCCAATGGCCGCGATCGTACCTTACATGGTCTGCCCTGGCAACCACGAGGTAGACAGGTAATTAGATTGCAATACGTTTTGAATTCGAGTAATAAACTATACCAAACAGGATTTGACATCGCTTTAACAATTTATTATCCATTTCAAAAATTTAATTAAAAGCCAGTTTCTGAGTGGGATCTTATTTGCCCGATTCTCTTAAATGTTCATTGTTTCAGAAACTTCACCCAGTACAAAAATCGTATGACTATGCCTAGGTACCAAGAGTGGGAGAGCATGTTCTACAGCTGGGACATTGGCCCCATCCACTTCGTGTCAATCAACTCTGAGGCATACTACTTTCTCAATTTCGGCATAGATCCGCTAGTCAACCAATTCCGGTGGCTGGTGAACGATTTGGAACAGGCCAATTCGGAAGCGAACAGGTGAGATGGAAAGAAACGCTCCAAACAGAGTTATCTTGACTACATTAAACACAGGTTAGTTTAAAATTAGCTTAAAATCAGTGGATTAACTTATAGATACGTAAAATTTTTAAACCATATCCAATTTTCCGACAATCTTTCCAAGTTCCATGAAGTACTTGACTATCTGTATTGGACCGTTGTCCCCTAAATCAAATATCAAACATAAAAGAACAAGAGCTTTCTGTCTGGTACCTATACTTTTCAGACTTGGCGTAATACACTATCAAATGTAATCATCAGATTAAGTGAAACACATTTATTAAAAACCAGGACATATAATTGCTCGGGCCGCAAAACTTATATTCACCATTTTGTTCTTTTTGCCAGAAAGATGAGACCATGGATCATACTGTACGGTCACCGGCCAATGTACTGCACCGGAGGAAACAATGATGACAAAGCTGAGTGTCCCTATGAGCACACCAGGATTGGTCTGAATGTAACAGGAAATAAAGAAAAATTCGGTAAGAATGCATACGACTTTACGCACTTGTGTAATATTCAATGCGATGGATTCAATTTGTGACCAGTGTTGAAGAAGTGCTGTACACTTCTTTTTTTTGTATAATATTATGTGACGGGACGAACAAGTCGTGCACCGATGGTAAGTTACACGCCTATCCATAACAGTTGCAGTGCCACTCAGAGTTTTAAATCGCAAAGATCTGAGGGGCACTGCCACTGCACCCGTCACGCAGAGACATAAGTTGACAAGTCCCACGTGCCTGTAATTTCACCAACACCCTTACCCTTCAAAACTGGAATACGGTAATGCTGACGTTACTGCTTGGCGGCAGAAATAGGTAAGGTGGCAGTACTACCCTGGATGAACTCTTTCACAAAGAGCTCTACTGCTGCTAAACACTTCTTAACGTAGGTACCTAATCTATATACATATGTATATAAATATGGTATTTCTATTTCAGCCATAGAACCTTTGTTAATGAAATACGGCGTCGATATTGTAATTTGGGCTCATGAGCACATGTACGAACGAGCGTGGCCTTTGTATGACTACAAAGTGTACAACGGTTCCACTGAATACCCTTACGTAAATCCAAGGTAAGCATTTGTATTTTTTAAACGAATAATATTTGTAAAATCTTGAAAACAGTAATTTGTTGTTAAAAATAATATTTTCAGAGCTCCAGTGCATATTATCACGGGATCAGCTGGGTGTCGAGAGGAAACAGATCATTTCGGTGGTCCGTATAAATTTAATACTGCCTTGCGGCTACTTAAGTAGGTTAAATCAGTTCAAAAGGAAAATCCTTTTTATGACGATACATGTTTATTATCATCTTAATATTAATTGATGCAGTATTTAATGCAGGTAAGCATGTAACGTGCAGGCGAAATTCACGTACCTAAGTAAACAAATCTAAACCATACCAAAATACAGTTTCCTCCAGAGATTGCATAAAACGCTCAAGTCCGGAGAAAACGTTAATTTTAAAAGATGATAATGATAAAGTACAATAAATATTTTAAGTTAATCGGTACAATCGATGATTCAGCCAAAGTCAAGTTAATTAAGATACGCGTGTATTACTCAGAATTTAACCGAATCTATAACAACAGAATTTTGCCATTTATGAGTTTGGTGAAATGTTTCAGAGATGGCAGAGTGGTGTGCGTTCCGCTCGAGAGACTATGGCTACACTCGATTTCACGCACACAACAAGACGCACGTCTACTTTGAACAAGTTATTGCATTTTTCTATCCAGGAGGATTTTTTTATGATATCAAGTCACGGGACAAACATGTCGTGCGGCTAGTAACAAGCGACACGCCTGTCCATAGCAGTTGTAGTGCCCACAGAGGTTTAAATCGCAAAAAACTGAGGAGCAATGACACTGCCCAGTAATACTGAGATACGTGTTGGCAAGTCCCATGTGCCTGTAATTTCACTAGCACCCTTACCTTTCAAAACCGGAACACAGTAATGCTCACATTACCACTTGGCGGCAGAAATAGGTAGGGTGGCAGTACTTCCCTGAACGAACTCTTTTACAAGGAGCTGTAGACTGCTACTAAATAATAGTAATGTAACAACAATGTTGTGAAAATATCGGAATTCAGTAATTTATTTACTTTTTACTTTGGTGGCAAAAACGTAAAACACGTATTGAATACGAAGAAAGATTTTGCGAGAAACACTGTTTTTCAGGTTTCAGATCAAAGAACGAAATGTCTTCGTAAATTCAACAGCGATATTGCTATCTCTTTCTCTATTTCCACTAGAACTAATTTATTTTACTGAGCAGGAGGAATGCATTAAAATGTTCTTATTCTTATCTTTCAGATAAGCGTCGACTTGAAAGGTGAAGTGATCGACTCCTTCTGGCTAGTGCAGAACCACCACGGCCCTTTTGAAATAAATCGAGAATCAATTTACGAAGCAAAACGTGGTTAAAGTAAAAGCGCGATATATAACGTGACTGTACATTTAACGGAGATGTACCTACTGTCTGAAATAAAATTGTTTCATTCCATCATTCATTCATTTCATTTCATTCATTCATGCATAAATATTTTTGTAAATAAAGTATATATCGATATATCGTTTGTGAAGCGGTGTTTCAATTGCAATGGTATTTTTTTATATGGCTACCATTTAAGCCCTTTTTTCGTTAAAAATGGCTGCCGAAAAAGACTTGCCCTGATTCGGCTGAAAATTGGCACATAGGACCTTCTATGGGTGTTTGACAATAATTTGCACTCAAAATTGATTGGGAGCGAGGTGAATGGTAACACGATTTACGTATACCTCTGAGCAAACAATTTATGTGCAGAAGCCAAGAGGAATTCTGTAAGCTGAAGGCTAATTTGACCTTCAGACTGTCATGCCTTATCAAAAGCCTTTGAAATATGGAGACGCACGTCAAGCAATTCACCTGGTTTTTCTACCCCCATAAATGACACACACACGCATTCGAATATTGAAAACCTAACCGGACTCATGGATAAAATTTTAAAGAGACCAAAGACAAGGTGGCTACGACGATATCTCTGGGTAGCTATTCAACTAACTATCTATCTAATTATCTAACACGAGCGAACCGTAAAAATAAATACCTCATTTGTTAGGTACCTGCCTACCATACCTACTATAAAAATATTTCCACGAACAACTAAAATATCTATTTTAGTACCAACAACACTATGAGTTAAATACCACAAATATTCGACATACCAATGATAGCAATATACTATAATATATAATTCGCAACATCCCTTTGCTAGTGCTATCACCTAGCATCATGAGTGTAATATGGACATTGAGTTTCGTCATTACTTTAATCATTCTAACAATAGTTGTTGCAGCTGGAGCCAACCAATTACACATTGGTGACCCGGACCCCGAATACAATTGTTCTTACTGTCAACCTGAACAAATTCATATTTCTTTCGGTGGTAAAGTTATATTCATCCATTACTCATGCTCGTTGTGTTATATTTTTAAGTCATATCAATTCTGTGTCATGAAGCCTCGCGCCAATTACTATTTTTAACTGGGTTTTTAACATCTTGACCGTACAGAAGAACAATTATTTATACAGAAGCTCAAATGGTCTTTCCGATTAAGGATCAGAATCGATTTAAAATCTACGAAGTTAAGTCCAAAATTTTGTAATTTAAACTTATTCTTTTGTTTTGTTTCGGTAGAGAAAATCAACGATATTGTAGTGACATGGACGACAGTCGAAGACTCGCTAGAGAGCCGCGTTCAATTCGGGACATTTCACGGAGCGTTCTCCGAGGAAGCCAAAGGCAACCGCACCAGCTACCAGGTCCTACGTGGGCAGTGGATACATCGTGTCACTTTGAGAGACCTTTCTTTTAATACCACTTATAGTAAGCTGCTATTACTCAGACTGTCAAATCCACAAGAGATGCGAAACCTACCAAAACGCGTCCATCAAATAACATGAAGCGGAGCTGTTTAGTCTGCTGCTAGTGTGTGGGAACACACTAAAAGAAAATTACGTTAATTGCGATACTTTTTCGAAATCTTTTCCATACTTTGTTGCTATAACACAGTAACAATAAAACAAGTTAGCTAAGTTTACGAAACCTTTGCAATTGAAACAATTTTTTCGGATCTACAGTAAATAGCGCATACTTATTTGTTTTTTAAACAAACCAACGTTTCCGGTTCTTCACATGTCCTATGGTCACGCTTCATGACTTGAAAAATCTACTTTAGTACTTGCTTAAAATTTTTTGTTATACACCAAAAGTATCTGTACTGAGAAAACGATCTGCAATGAACAACGATGTTTCAGAGTACCGCTGTGGCTCCCGCTTTGCGTGGTCCGAACTGTTCTCCTTCACTACTCAGCCTGAAGGAGAGTCAGTGCTGCGTGTTGCTATTTACGGAGACATGGGGGTTGAAAACGCACACGTATGGATCATATTTAGTTTTAAATATGTACTTTTATCATTAATAGGAGTGACGGATACGATCGCTTTAAAATTGTGTGTGATATAAACGAGATATTGAAGTTAAAATAAGGGCTATTGGCAATGTATTACATCTCAAAACAAAATATCTATGTGAAGTTATAAATAGCTACTAAGTTTGTTATTTTAAATTGCCCAATGTCGATTTTAGAACACGCAATTCCAATAATTAAAGATAACAACTTATTTTTAATATAATAATTTAAAAATGATGGTACAATTTTAGTTTGCAAAAAAATGTTTTTTTTTGTCCAAATCGATGGAATTGCTTGTTTGATGACCTCCGTGGCCCACGGTTTACATTGTGTTGTGGGCGCTGGATAAGGAAGTCATGGCTTCGATTAAAATTAAACTGTTTTTTTTTAAATTATTTATTTCAGGAAAACCTTGTGTTGAAGTTTAGAGAGTTATACGCATAGTCATATATATCACAATCAACTCTCCTTGGAATCGCTAGAAAGCAGGCCTTAATATTTATAGGTATTACAAAGGTTTCAAAGTAAACTAGTTGAATTTATTTTGAACACAGGCTCTCCCGTACCTACAACAAGAGGCCGAAAACAAAAGCGTCGATTTCATTCTCCACGTTGGCGATTTCGCATACGATATGAATGATAACAACGCGCATGTCGGCGACCAGTTCATGCGACAAATACAACCAATTGCGGCAATTACACCTTACATGGTCTGCTCCGGGAACCATGAGTTTGCCAAGTAATGACGTAACATTTCGCACACTACTTTCGACTCGTGTCTTTCAAGTTAATTGTAATTCTAAAATACAGATAGAAAAATAAACTCGCTACAGCTACGTACTAAGAAGAATATAGATGCAGTCAACAGAACGCTAGGTTTAGGATTAAAATTCTACTCTACGCGAAACTGCGATCCTTGCGTCCTGCGTCCTGCGATCTGCAGACTGTACAAACTAGCTGGTAACGAGTATTTTCGTTTAAATACTATGTATAGATATCTATAGATTATATCATACAATGCAATTTTCGCAACTATAAGTAATCTATGAAAATGTTAATAGTCACAACAACTAACGGACCAGTCACTTGACTATTTCGACTTTTTTATTGTTCTCATAAAAACTTTGTCCAATAATAATGGTCTGCAGTGCAGAACCGGAGTAATTCTCCGCCCTTCTCATAAAATCTGTTTCAGTAATTTCACGCACTACAAGAGCCGCATGACCATGCCCAATCACCAACAATGGGAGAGCATGTTCTACAGCTGGGACATTGGACCTATTCACTTCGTGTCGATCAACACCGAGGCGTATAACTTTATATCACGATTGATATCATTCAATGACGGCCCATTAGTGACCCAGTTTAATTGGCTAATTAAGGATTTGGAAACAGCTAATTTGAAAGAAAATAGGTGAGGAGTTCCTTAATGTATATGTTATGGACGTACAGTTTCCAAAGTGTGCACTGAAACTAGCCTGGCAGTCTTGATTTTTCAGAGAGGTGTTGTCCGTATGTCAATGTATCTCCGGGACTACTACTTTGTTTGCCATTGTGGAACCCTGTCAACAATTTCATGTTTTTTGCTGTTTATCAGAGAAAAGAGACCGTGGATCATAATGTACGGTCACCGGCCGATGTACTGCAGCAGTTCTCAATTGGACACGTCCTTGTGCTTCATGGAGCCTACTAGAACCGGTGTTTGGCAAAACGTGTGGCAAATATTTACTGGAGGGAAATACGGTGAGTACTTAATAATAATAACGAAGAACTTACCAATGAAGTAAAAAATATTATTAATAATTTTGTTTTTAACCGACTTCAAAAAAGGGAGGTCTTCAATTCGACTGTATTTTATTTCGTGTGTATTTTACGTGATTACTCCGGCATTTGTTGATTTGTGAACCAATTTTGATAATTCTTTTTTTTTTGTTGGAAAGAAAGTACCTACCCTATTCAAATTTGAAGAAAATATTCCACCTCTAAGGGTGGCAAACTAGGGGATGAATCGTGTTTCGCCGTCCGATTTCAATAAAACTTGGCAAATAGATTTTTGAGGTCGATTTTTTAAATAAAACTGTCATAATTATTATTAACCGACTCCAAAAAAGGATGAGATTCTCAATTCGAATTTTGTTTGTGTGTATGCGATTACTCTGGTATTTGTAAACCGATTTTTATGATTATTTTTTGTTGGAAAGAGGATACTTCAAAATTGGTCCATTTAATTTTTATGTTTAATTTAGTAGCAGTAGAGCTCGATGTGAAAGAGTTCATCCAGACAAGTACTGCCACCTCACCTATTTTTGCCGCCAAGCAGTAATGTGAACATTACATTCAGTTTTGAAGGGTGCTGGTGAAATTACAGGCAAATGGAACTTGTTAACTTAAGTCGCAGGGTGACGGGTGCAGTGGCAATGCCCCTCAGATCATTGCGATTTAAAGCTCTGAGTGGCACTATAACTGTTATGGATAGGCGTGTGCATGTGTGGCTTACCATCAGGCGCACGACTTGTTCGTCCCGTCACTTGACATTACAAAATAGAAAATTTTAAGAAAATATTCCAAAAGTGGCAAATTAGGGGATAAATCCGGTTTCGAGTTTCTGTTAACATAAACGGAAGCTCTTGTGTTGAATATTTTTTATGAAGTTAATTTTCCCACCGTCCTTCCGCATAAAATTAATAAAATAAATAAGTAACAGATATAGATAATAGATATCGTTGGATTATAATATAATTTGGCACTTCGCAGTAGGACTAGTTCCTAGTACTAGATACAGGAAACGTTAAAATGTGGTCAGATTAGATTACGTGAAAAGTTTGAATTTCTAAAAGTGAAAGTTAAAGTTTATATTATTACCCAATTATTAATATAAACTTTTACTTTTATCCTGCGGTACTTTAAAATATATAATAATATCTACTCCAGGTTTAGAACCTCTGCTAATAAAATACGGTGTGGACGTAGTTATCTGGGCTCACGAGCACATGTACGAGCGATCTTGGCCACTTTATGACAAAAAAATCTACAATGGCTCCACTGAACACCCTTATACCAATCCAAGGTGAGCATGTACAATTCTAAGGACCTGCGACCCTCACTAGGTTGACCATATTCGTATTTGTCCGAAAGTGAGTCCATATTCGGTATTTGGCCGAATACTGAATCCATATTGGACAGAATAACAGAACATAGGCCGAACAAACCGTATGACAAATATTCGGTGCACATCTAATGTTTAACACTTTAGGAATGTATCTATTTCTCAAGTTCACTAGCACCTTTTTGGAATTAATTAAAAATTGATTTCTTAATTGTGTTTAAATTACTTTCCAGAGCTCCAGTACACATTATCACAGGATCAGCTGGCTGCAAAGAAGGGCGTGAGAATTTCTCAAGTACGTAATCACAAATATCGATCTACACTTTTTTACGAGTAGACAGACCCAAAAAAGCATGTGAAAAGATATAGTATTTCACTCACATTCTGCTCAAAATAGAATTCTTAGATAATTACCCGACTGAGGGAGGCTTATGTTTTTCAAGTGTATGTATGCTCATTTCTTTTTCACGCGCTGTACAGGCTTGATGATGGATTTTCACATACGAGGTGTCGTTAGATTCGTCTTGATTGTAGGAGTATCATAGGCTATAAAAATAATCAAAATAGTGAGTGGGTAAGTAATTTTTCCAGCTAAATATTTTTGCAGTCGTGTTTTTCTTTTTTAAATAATTTTTAGACTCGTTGATTTGTATACTTAATTTTAGGATTGCACAGCTAAACTAGGAATACCCATAGTTTAATGTGGCTGTGTATTGCAGTATTATTACCCTTTCACATACGCACTTATTTCAATGAAATTTCACATTTTATAATTTCATATTTATATGTATATATACATATATATATATATATATATATATATATATATTTGCCGAATTGCGCCACAATTCGCAAATTTCGCAATTCGGCTAGATTTTTGTATGGGTTTTGCATATACTTTTTCCTTTATGCAGCCCCAGTAAAAAAAATCAAAGGGGTTTAAGTCCGGAGAACGAGGAGGCCACAAAATTGAACCAAGGCGCCCAATCCACCTTCCGGGATATTCCGTGTTTAAATAATCACGTACAGAGCGAGCATAATGCGCTGGGCAACCATCTTGCTGAAACCACATTTCTCTATACATATATCTTGAGTGGTACATCTTCTAATAATGTTTGCAAATCGTTTTGGAGAAAATCCAAGTAGTTGTCGCCATTTAATGTTTCAGGCAGCTCAAACGGTCCAATTATTTGTTCATTTAAAATTCCGGTACACATGTTGACTTTGAATTGGTATTGGGACCGGTCTTCACGCATTAAATGCGGGTTTTCCGTGTGCCAACCATGTACATTGTGCAAGTTTAAATAGCCATCTTTTTTAAATGTCGTTTCGTCAGTCCATAAAAATTTGTTTATAAATTGCGGATCTTCACATATACACGTTGTACATGATACGGGTGATATTCGTGTTGTTTTAAAATTCGATGAGCAATACTTTTTGGTATTCCAGTGGCTCTTTCAATCGCACGTACTGAAGTGCTGGGTGATCATTTCGAATTTCTTCTAAAACTAAGTCGTCGTCGTCTCATTGAGGTCTTCCACCGCTCGTACGAGTACTAGGCAATCGTCATTCTGAGTATGCCCCGTGTACATTGACGAACACGCGGTGATCTGAGTAACGCTTTATAAGTTTTGGTACCTCTCGCGATACAATCTGGCTGCGGCAGAGCCATTACAATGGCATTCACCATAAATAAGATGCATGTTCGCATATTCTTCAGCTGTGTACAGATGCGGCATGTCGCAAAACGTGTTAGTTTTGCTAAGTGCTAACTAATACAGTTTACACAACACAAATCGAGTCCAGAGAATAAGCCAAAGTCGTCAACACAAGTGCAGTATCAAGTCCAGGGTAACACAAGCCAAAGTCGTCAGTACAAAAGTTACACGATTACGAGTTTAATGCCATACGACATTTTTGCTTTGGGGTAATGCCGTCGATAGTAATAAAATCGTTGTCCTGCAGAAACGTGCGATTAGGGCAATTACCCAGAGTGTCTTTGAGATATATGTTTAAAGAGATTAACATTCTTACTCTAACGTCACAATACATTTATGAAAATGTTTTTATGTTAAGAAAAATATTATAAATATTGCTATAATATGTCCATAAAAATATATAATGCTTTGCCAGAAGCGATCGCAGACTTACCCTTAAACATATTTAAAAACAAATTACTTTTTGACTTTGACTTGTTATGTGATCTGTGTATATGTATATGATATCAAAGATTATGTTAAAATGAAAATAAATTGACACAACCTCGTTTATAAGAATAACTGCTTCAATATATTTATAAGACTTTTTTTAATTTATCAAATGTAATTAAATCACTACAAGGACTTACCTTTAAATCACAATTGACAAAATGGCTTTTGACACATTGCTTTTAAAGTAATAAAGAATATTTAGTAGTTACAAATACCAATTGACAATAATTCTAAATGCAAATTGCTTTGTAATTGTAGAGATAAATGTGAAATACCATTAACATTTGCACACCTGCGTGCAGGTTCAATACAATAAACCTAATTTTACTCAAGATCTGTATAAATACTGTATTTTGGCAAATAAACGTATTCTATTCTATTCTATTTTTTTTATGAAAAAATTGAAATATTATAATTGAAAAATAGTGACAAACATAATATTAATACGATTAATAAAAGTAAACCAAAATTCCATCCATCATTCCTTGCCATCCATTCATTTAATGTATACGCACGCTTCTTTATGAAGATTCCGATTGATATTCAAAATTTGTCATTTACGAGGTTTAAATGTAGTGAAACAAAAACTTTATAATGAAGGTTATGCAGCTTCTGCGTACTTGGATGAAAAAAAAAATCATGGTAGTAACCTGTTTAGCTCTTGCAGGTTAGGTACCTGTCTTGACCTAAGATGTTTAAATTAAATAATGTAATGATGAATTTATTCAAATGTGTATTTACATAGAGCAACCCCTAGAGTTTCTTGTTCATTCTTCTCGGGGTAATCTGCGTTGCGAATGAGCAGTAGAATTAAATCAGTAGGACGATTTCAAGTGTAATTTGCTAACCTATGAAACAATATTTGACTTTGACTTTGAATAACAACTGGTCAAGAAATAGCCCTTTTTAAAATTCCACCATAGTTCCTATCTTTGTCATCTTTGTGGAGTGGCACATTTAATCGTTTTCGATTTATCCCTTCAGAGCAACCTACGTGGAGTGCGTTCCGTTCAAGAGACTACGGCTACACTCGTTTCCATGCTCATAACAATACGCATATCTACTTTGAACAGGTAATTATGTCTACCACGAAGCGTCCAGTTACACGACGCGAAAGTCTTCGCGCGGCCCGCCTCACGGCGACCGCCAAGTTACCACGCTTTCACATACATTAATGGCGAATCTGACTTCTATTTACTAGGCAAACAACATTTAAATTCCTCTGAATAATACAATCACGCGGTAATCAATTCAAGTCAGGCTAACCCGCGTGCCTGAGACGCTCTTATAAGACGCAGGAGGTCGCTGCGCGACGGCAACACGGACACCGCTCTTCGACCGCGCGGCGCGCGGCGAATAAATGCATCGCCTAAGGCAGTGGCGTAGCGTGAGAGGTACTGAGGGGGCCATGACCCCAGGCGGCACAGCAATGGGGGCGGCAGCGGCGAGCGCGGCCGAGCCCTAAGTAGTAAAAAAATAAATGCCACTATTTAATTTTGAGAAAACGATATCGTGATTGTTCAGGATGCCATGCCTGCCCTCGCCCCCTTTGTGTTGTCACAAAGGTGGCAACGCCAGATACGGCAAAATCGAGCCGAGCTTGTCAGAACGAATTACTTTTGTAATCGTGAAAATAGAGGAGGCAGTAAATTTAAGGTTGGCCCCGGGCAGCGGCAAAAATGTACGCTACGCCACTGCACTTAGAGCGCCTTCAAACTAGACGCTTACAGAAGTGCTGTAGTGGCACCACAGTGGCGCTGCAGCCGCCCCTCTAATTTTCATACAATATTTTATAAGCGCAATTGCAGCGCTACTGTCATGACACGCGCATCAACTACAGCTGGAAAACGAGGCACACCATGTATGTGTTCATGTAAGAGTTCCGTATATACTCGTGCAGATTCGCACCTGCAGCACGCCCTTCTGGAGGAAGTCTCCAGTAGCGTTCTGAGCCAAGGTCCATGCCCACCTGGGCGTCCTCAGCTCCGCTACTTAAATTATTACACGGATTAAGAGCCTTTAGCTCGCCCTTTAGTCCGGTGGCGCAGTCAAGGCCATCAGCGTACCACTACAAAGTATCCTTAAAAAAACCTACATGGTTAATTACCACTTAATTACTAAGTACTTATTATTACTATGTAACTGCCTCCATGGCCGAACGGTTACCATGACTGCCACGCTGAGGTCCCAGGTTCGATTCCCGGGCCGGGAAAAATATTAGTATGGCCTACATTGATTATTCTCTCGTGAGTTTGGGTGTAATTTGTGGTTGTCTATGTGTGTGACCATGGCACCCGCGACACAGGGTTTCCCTAGTGCAGGGATACGTTGAGTGTGTGCATTATTATTATTATTATTACTACATTTGCCGTGCGAAGTCTGGCTTAACAGCACAAAACAAAATAAAAAGTTATTTTGTGCTGAACACTATGACAAACAGGTACTTACTTACTTTCGTATTGGAATATCGCAAAGCACTTTAAATGTCTAACTCATTATGACTCGAATTCAGACTATAGTAAATCCAATTTCTAATGTCCTATTTACCCAAGCCCAACATTATACCTCTATAGATAAATAGTTTATAATTTTATTTTTGGTATTGATTGTTCAGGCGAAACTGACAAAAATACCATAGAAAAAACAACCATTATCTAAGTACAAATTTTATTTTTCAGGTAAGTGTTGACTTGAAAGGAGACGTTATCGACTCCTTTTGGTTAGTGCAATTACGTCATGGTCCATTTAAAGTACCTACCTAAATGAAAACGAAGTTCTTGACAGGATGATGTGGAGTAGCTTGATGTATATAAATGTAAATTGTTGCATTATAATAATTATATTCTTGAAACTTTCGACGCGATGTATTATTTATGCCAATTTTATTATTTATGCGGGCGAAAAAACTTCCTCGCAAGCTTCGCATTGATGGCGACTCTAGTGGCGCATTTACACCGGCGACGAGCGAGTCATCTGCCGCCTTCGGCAGACTACTTCACTTTAGTCACTTCGATCTACTTTGTCGCCAAACGACTCACTATTTACATATTATATGCTATTTACACCTTCAGCGAGCAAGCGAATGTCGTCTGGCGACTTGATTGATGTAAATGCGCCATAGCAGTGTCAAGTGCGTTCAAAAACAAAAGAAATATTGAAAGATATACAAATTGTCGACTATTCGATTGGTTAATTTGTGCAATCATGTTCTTGTTTTATTTTACGTGCAATAAAGCTGTATGTATGAACTATATAAATATATTATATGTATGTGACAAACATAAATGTTCATATCAAGAGAGACATATTAATCCTTGTAGCAGTTAAATTTTATCATGTTTTTGAACTTATACATTGGTTTGATTTGATGTATTAATTCACGAAAAAGTTATAGGTTTGTTTATTTCTTCGAAAGAGAGCAATAATAAGCGTAATCGCAGTCTGCAGTGTTTGTAAAATGTGAATGCACGAGAGCATTTTAATTCATGAAATTCAATCAACGCGTCGGCACGGAAACTGTCGTCGGCTCCGTCCGTTTGCCGATACAAATTAAATTATAATAAAAGTAGTTATTATTATTCAAAGTGGTGCAGAGAATAACATGAAGTATTTTTCACTTTTGTTAATAATTACTGACACAATTTGTGCTACAACAGTAGTGCAGAGTTCTGATCTTCCCTACGATTGCGTCTATTGCCAGGTGGAGCAGATTCATATCTCTTATGGAGGTATTTTGTTATAATTATTCTCTTCATATTATTTTTATATGTACATTCACAATCATTTTCAATTTTCTTAGTCTTGATATGCATGGTTCTGTCTGCATGACTTGTGTAAGAATAAAGCAGTTATTAATCGTTTTTTTTATCACATTAGTATTCTTTTATTGTCAAACTTACAATAATACATAATATGTTATTTTCCTATTTTTCGACAATAGTCAGTAACTTAAAAATACAATAATATATATTTTTTCTGATTAGACAACATCATATTGCTCTGATCCAAAAGTAACTAAAACACTGTCGGCTAAATTTGAAATCTCGTAAGTTTGTTTTTTTGCTCTTCAAGCAACAACAAAACACAAAATGGGCGCCTTGACGTCGAGTTGAGGACACCAGCCCATTACACCAAGTACTCTTCAAGTGTCAGATTGGGCAATAAACCCTTTAGATATAAAATAAAAGTATAAGACCTAATCATAGACTGTCACATAATTATTTCTAGTAATTTTGTTATTTGTGCTTAATCAACAATTCGCATTAATGTAGGTTATGAGCTTTACGAATTTAGCCAATGACTTATGTTATTGAAATCTGAAAGAATGATGGTACTACAAACACCTGGACCCGAGACAATGTTGAAAGTATCTTTATACTATAATAATTTTGGAAGCCTTTAAGGAAATTAGAACTTACTAGTTTCTAATCATCAAAGAATACCAACTTAATGGTTACAGGTTTCTTACCACATGGCTATTTCAATGAACCAACTTGTTAAAATAGTTGCTCTGTTGTAAGGGAAATTAAAATAGTTTATTTTTAAAATAGAAGTTTACATAATCGTTGCCCTTGAGTGATAACTTTTTATACTCATTTACCATGGTTTGTTTTTACTGATATAATTATGTTGAATTAAAACCTTAAACATGTTTTTAAAATTATTATTTAAATAATGTAGCATCTGAGAGGCACAATTTGACTTATTAGAATGCTAACTACAAACAATTCATTATTTTATTAAATTTCTTTACTATATTTTACACCAAATCTTTGTCCTGATAAAATACATAGAAATCATCTTATTCACTCTTATTATTATAATTATATTATATTCACTCTAAGATGACGAGTTGGACAACTACAAAGAATAAGGAACATTGCGAGAGTTCTGGACAAATCTTCTAGCTGAACGATCACAGTAAATCTTTAATTATGATTATATTCGTCGTTTAAATATTAAATAGTACTTCTCACTACGCTACAACCACGGCTACTCTCCCACAAGTGGTGGAGGCGCCGGGTATCGGATGTGGACTACCGTGGGTCCATAGGACATTACCGGTAGTAAAAGCGGTATGCTTGACGCTGAAACATGCTAATGTTTTTTTTCATAACATCAAGTGATGGAACGAACAAGTCTTGCACCTGATGGTAAGCTACACGCCTGTCCATAACAATTACAGTGCCACTCAGAGTTTTAAATTGCATAGATCTAAAGGGCACTGGCACTGCGCCCGTCACCCTGAGACGAAAGATGACAAGTCCCATGAGCCTGTGATTTCACCCTTACTCTTCAAAACCGGAACAGTAATGGTGACATTAGAAATTAAAAGTAAGTACCTATAATTGGTGTTTTCATGCCAATTTTGGTGCATGCGGTAATCAGGCTGAATAGTTTGGCCGAGTATTCGAATACCGAATATTCGGCCTGAGAGCGAATATATTGTTTGTTGCAACACTAGTATGCTAACACTAGTATACATAAAACACTAGTATATATATATATATATTCGGTACAATCCCTGCTATACTAAGTTAGAAAACAGATTTCTATGACAAGCCGATGACAATCGTGTTATATCGGCAATTCACCCTGTAGCTCTATATCGGTTTGGCTATTGTTTCAGTTTATATTGCTCAGTGATTTATTCCCTGCGGTACCTACTTGGTATGATATTACGCATTATCTTCACTGATATTATTTTCAGAGAAACCTAACGATATAGTTATAACATGGAATACGAAGGCCGACACGGCGGAGAGCCTCGTGGAGTACGGTGTAGATGAGATAGACAAACGCGTAGAGGGATGGCGGGTGTCGTTTATTGACGGGCGCGGACAATGGGTGCACCGCGTGCAACTCACCGATCTGCTTTATGATACTCGATACGGTAAGCGTCGTATAGGTTGAATTCAAAATTGCCATACCCAAGAACAACTTGCTCACAATACTAAGTGAACTATAATGTACTAAAAGACCCTTATAGGGTTATATACTTCCTAACACCGATCGACATAACTTACAATTTTTTACATTTCAACATTATCCATGAAATGTTTTAATAATAGGTACCACACGTACAAATAAATTTTCTTCAAAAATGCTCGGAAATATTTGCATTACTTTAAAAAAGAGAACATACGAAGTTTATCATTTATGGAGCGCATACCGCACGACACGGTACGAGGTTTGCAAAGTCTTGCGAAAATGAGTGAAATATTACAAAGCTTGGGGAATTATGGCCCTGTGCAAGGACATATACGGTTTGATAAGGAGATTGATAAAATTGTTTGGTTACAGATGTCATTTTTATGTTAAAGAGTTATACAATCTATCGAGTTCTTAGGTTTTCGCGATTGTTACACATTGAAAATGAAAGTATTTTTTCAGATCTAACAAATGATTTTTTTTATAATACTAAGTAACGGAACGTACAAATCGTGCGGCTAATAATAGGCGATATGTCTGTCCATAATAGTTGCAGTGCCACTCAGAGCTCTGAGAAGCACTGCAACTGCGCTCGACACTCTGAGACATAAGTTGACAAGTCCCATGTGCCTGTAAGAATATACTTCAAACAAATATGCGCGATTTAGATGTTAGATTAATCTAACAATCGAAATAGAAGAAAGAAGAAAAATCGCGTAGGTATATTTTCTAACATTAATATGTTAGACATGACTGGTTTGTGATATGACTACTATCTCAGTCAGCCGTGATCGCAGGATCCGTAAAGGACCCGAAACGTTGGTTTGTTTATAAAAACAAATACCTTACACGCTTTAGATCCGAAAATATAGTTTCATTTCCAAGGATAAACAATCTTATTATCATGGCAGTATATCACTGCGGGTCGCAATACCGGTGGTCAGAGCAGTTGTGGTTCAGGACGCCTCCTGCTGGCGAAGACTGGGTGGTTCGCGCCGCCATTTTTGGGGATTTGGGAGTTGATAATGCACGGGTGAGAATTTAAGTGTTCCATTACAAAGCGTGGTTTATTTATATCACATTAGGTGCTTTAACGTATAGTCTTCTATACGCGATTCTTAGACAAATTTTCCACTAAACTGCTGATCGCGAACGGCTGGACGCGCGATTCTTATTTATTCAAATAAGTCATATACAGGTACTAATTCCAACTGACGCGGCCGCGACTCGGAGGTCGTCTCGACTACAAAAGAACATGCGGGTCGATTAGACGCGCGATTCAACATCTGCTACATATACTGCAATCGCCACTGTCCGACGTCACTGTAGTCGCGCGCGACTGAACGTGTTATTGTGAACTACGTTTACTGACATTCGTGTCGTAATTCAAAAACGACGTGTTCCCGTAACTCTCACTATAGAACAAACAAAATACACCTCTTGTAGTGCGTTTTCTAAAAAAGGATGTATCCGAAATATGGTTTTCGTTTTCTTTTTGATAACAAGTACTGACATGCTATTTGACGTCTATTTTGAAAATTAGCTGTTTGTATGTAAAATACAGTCGCGGGCGACCAGTCACGCACGCAGAGTCTATTAAAACGAACCGCTATATGTCTAGCGTCTACGGCTATCGCTTAGTGGAAAATAGCTCTTAATGCTCGTTATTGTAATCAATGAGTTACACAAAATGTCTGAATTTGCTATATTTCGCTTAACTGTTACTTCCCCTATTGTGCAAATTACCTACGTGTGAAAATGTCTGCATTATTTGAAATTTACCAGGCGCTACCTTACATTCAAAACGAGGCACAGCGCAGTAAGTTCGACGTAATAATTCACGTGGGTGACTTCGCGTACGATATGCACGAGGAAGATTCGAGGGTAGGAGACCAATTCATGCGTCAGATACAGCCACTCGCCGCCACCGTGCCTTACATGACCTGCCCTGGGAACCATGAGGAGAACCGGTATCCTCTCTAATATTTTCATAACATATTGTTTGATATATTTTAATTGCCCGAATAAAGACGAATTGATTTGACTCAGACTGTTCAGATCAGTATGCACCTTAGATTCTTATCAAGTAAATTGTGCTCCTTTCCTGTTCACTTACCTTCAGGTGAAATAGGGTATTTGACAACAAAATAGACAAATTGATGGTGTTATCAAATTAAAAAAATTGTGTCTATTTTAATTCTGTTTTCAAATGAAAAAAATAAAATAGTTACAATCACTCAGAAACAAAGACTTGGGCTGCTAACAGATTGACTGCATTGCTGCTAATGCGTGAAGTATTAATCAACTTCATGCATTTGGGACCATAACTGCATAAAGTTGATAACAACTTCACGCATTACCTGCACGCAGTCAAAACTCAACTGCATGCAGTTAAGATTTCAACTTCAAGCGTCGATATGAACGATAGTCCGAGAATGGAAAGTAGTAATTGAGATTCTTACGGAGACATTTATTATTTTTTACGTCTGAAACAATTTTTTCTAGTAACGGCACAAGGTACTGCCTAAGGTTAATGTCGACCGCATGCAGTCGATCTCGACTGCATGCAGTCGGTTTCGTCTGCATGTAGTGTGTATTATACGGACTTCGCGCGTGCATTTCGTTTAGTAGCAGGCTTAGAAAGAATAAGGCAATACTTATTTGGCAACATATAAACCACATACACGTCGTTGTGAAATAATTAATAGAGCACCCTCCACCACTGATTTTTAACCATAAATACCCTTGGCGGTACTTGATATATTACAAAACGAAATACAGATTAACTTTCAGCATGTTTATGGTAGTTGAGAGACTAAAAACATTGAGTCCAATACCCTACACATGCCAAACACATGCGTGAAAAAAAAATCAACGCAAAAAACGCAAGGAATCAAGCAAAAGACATGATTTATAGCTCAAAATTCATGGTATAGTACCAAAATAATTTCACAGAAACTTCAGCAACTACCGCAATCGCTTCTCAATGCCTCTCATGAACGAGACCGACAGTCTATTCTACAGCTGGAACTTAGGCTCCGTGCACTTTATTGCGATCAATACCGAGGCATACTATTTCCTCAATTATGGCGCCGCGCCACTCGTCAACCAGTACCAGTGGCTGGAGAAGGATTTGAAGGAAGCTACCAAGCCGCAAAATAGGTAAGAGTTTTTTAAACATTACCTTGCTACGCTTACTCGTTACCTTCTGCATAATGTGAAGAATTGGGAGCGAAATGTATACGGCAACAATCACAACCGTATTTATGAAACTAATATAACAAAATAGAAATAAATAAATAAAATAGAACTGCCTTCGTGGCCGACCGGTTACCGTGCCGGGTGCCGTGGACTGCCACGCAGAGGTCCCAGGTGCGATTCCCGGGCCGGGAGAAATATTTGTATGGCCTACATTTATTTCTCTCGTTCAAGCATAATGATCGAGCGTATATATTGTCGAGCGATTCATTATTATTATTAATGATATTTACAAAAATGCAGGCAGTATGTATGTACATACATAAAAAAAACTATGAGTGAAAAAAATTGGCGCGAATTTGTAGTTAAAGTCCATAAACGAATTACTTTTTATTATTTATGTTACGATTTGAATCCTCAAGTATTCGTTACCGGTGACTCTATAGCCAATACTCAATAAATACCTAAATAATATAATAATGTAGTCAGAGCCCGTATTTGTTCGTTGAATGATAATGAAGTAGTTATGATAACTATAACGTAAGTATACTTAATAATAAATTAATACTTCATATTAATACCTAGGTACCTAAATTACAAGTTCATTTTGGCGTTTTCATAACGTGTGGTCACCTTGCATTATAGATTTACATACTTACATATAATAAAAAAACGAATATCTTTTTAACTAAACAAATAAAAACGAAATCTGAAGTGACAGAGATTTAGTAGTAAATTACTACTTTACTAATTATAGTCTCTTTAATACTTACAAATCCAAAGATAATGGCGTTTGTTACTTTTCATAAATGTGAGGATTGATTGAGCACTTAAAAAAAAATTCAAAAACGTTTCACATTAGTGGCTTGTTTTATATTCAACAAATTCATATGCAACTTTTATTGAATCTAGACATAAACGAAATTTAATACTCTTATAAGATTCTTTGGAAATCGTTCTTTTTAAAAGCGCGCGGATTGAGTGATCATAAGAAAGTATTTGTAAAAATTCGAAAAAGGCACTACATAATCGATCTGTAATTAAAAACGATAGCTTAACAAAACTTTTACTAAAAACTAATACAATAATATTACATGCAAACTTAATACTTTTATGGATCTGACTGGCCCGATGTGGGAACTGAGTGAGCACACATTAAGCTACTTTTCTTTTTACAAATAGAAAGATTGGTTTCTACAATTGTTTTAGAACTTTTACTAAATGGCTAATATAATTTAAACTTTTTACAGAGGGCGCTCACTCAATCCACACATACGTCGTGCTTCAACTAATAAAATTATTAATCATTTATACCACGCACTTCACTTAAAAATCTAAAGAGATTTGATTCATAATTAATCTCAAATCAACAAAAAATATTCCGCCTTGTGTACCTAAAAAGTTTTATCTACCTAATTTCAGTGGCCATTTTTATTATTTAAGTTGTCAAGTATATTATCGTGAAATGTTAATAATATTTCATGATAATATTCTAGAACATTCTTCTTCTTATCGCATACACTATATCTAAAACTATCCATGTGCATGGAGTAGATTGTCACGTATTGTATGGTTTGACTCAGGCGGCGACGTCCTTGGCTGGTGATGCTGGGCCACCGGCCGATGTACTGCAGTAACAGTGATGATGTCGATTGCGGCGAAGAGTATACGCGCCGTGGTATTTTCGGTATGCTCGGTATGTCCTACAGGAATTTTGTGTGTTGCCACGCCCGTTAAGCTGTGGCAGCCTAATGGCTCTCGGAGTTTATGCGCGAAATTTAATTTGAAATGTACCGTGAGCTTTTCCCTGAAGGAAAACATCGTGATGAAACTTGCACGTTGAAGAGATTCACAAACTTCGGGTCAGCATGGCTGATCATGGCCTATACCCTCGCTTGGGAGAGGACCAGTGACCTGGGTTGATGATGTTGCCAAGCCATCTAGCTATGGGCAGCGGAATTTTTAAAAACTGCATGTAAATGCCATTTCTTGGACACTTGAATTACTTCCATAGCTCTAGACACGGAACTCCCTAAACAGAATCAATTTAGAAAAATAAGTTTCCTAAATTAGTTTAACTGTAGTGCGTCTAGAATCTTAAGGGCCACTAACCTACCGAAGTGCTTTTTTACGGCTTAGTTTACTTGAATTTCTCAAGTAAATTAAGCCGTAGTTCGATACAATAATAAGATTAAGAGTCTTGCCAACATTGTGTAAGATATTTTAAAGAAGGAAAACCTAGATCAAAAGCTGGGTAATTTTCAGATTGGGTTTCTCAACCTAATTTCGGTGGCCATTTTTATTACTGAAGTTATCGAGTATATTATCGTGTAATATTAAATAGTACTTCATAATAATATTCTAGAATATTCTTCTTCTTATAGTAACGACGGCATGCGGCCGCCGTGGTGAAAGGTGGATGGTGTTCCATACACCTATAATTAATGATAACTGTCAAGAATTTTTATTAGTTCAGATTTACCATTTCTTGTTGTTACCCAAAAGTAGTACTAACATAATTTACTGCTTTTGAGCTTTATATTGCTTAATTATAACTGCACACTTCATTCATGCCAGACAGAATCCCAAAGAGTAGACACACTTAAACCTATGGTAATTAACGTTAAAAACAGAAAAAAAAAGAATAAATTATTCACATTGTGCCAATGCAAGAAGTGTATTTAAAACCACTTTGACCCCAGTCGTTTTCTCTTTTAGAATGTTTTATTATTTAAGAAAAACCCTTTGTTTGTTGGGGTATACTGGGGTATACTCGACTATGAGGCAGGATAAGTTGAATAAGAATAAATTCACTTAGTACTATGATGTCATTGAATATTGCGTAATTGTTGTGTATCAGAACTGTAAGTTTATGTAAATGTTTTAATACACAATGCTGTTGGTGTTTCTACTGTGAATAAATAAATGAATAGAAGTTGATAAACAAACACCCGCGTAGGCCTGGAGCCGCTCCTGAAGAAGTTCGGAGTAGACCTGGTAATCTGGGCGCACGAGCATTCCTACGAGAGGACGTGGCCACTTTACGACAACGTGGTCTACAACGGGTCCTACGAACATCCGTATGTTAATCCTAGGTAATGTACTTTAAGATTATATGCACGGATTCCTAATAAAAGAAAATAGCACTGCCTATAGTATATCTTTTTTGAAGATCGAGTAAAAAAATATTTGCAGGGTTGCCAGATTTAGTATTTGTCGATAGTTTTATCGACATATTGTGAACTTGGGTAAAGTGCCAAAAATGACTGAATTGTGAATGTTACCGTTTATTGCCCGTGATCCAACTGCGTAGTCCAACTAATTGGACCAAGGGCAAAAAACTTTACCCTTGGTCCAACTAGTTGGACTACGGGCAATATTGTATGGGCATTGGACCTACTGATCGGTTAGTACCGTCACCGTCAATATTAATAATGTTACTGATTCTGAACTAACTACAATTGTTCAATAGGATGATCCCTGTGACAGTTCATAAAAAATTGCAAGATATAGTCTTGTAATAACGTGCACTTTTTAATGTATTTTAAGAATTATTGTTGTAAGTATCTCTTTTAAATGAAATATTATATGGTGCGTGCGGTCACTGAAGAGCGCCGCAGCTGGCTTTAAAACCCAACGTCAACTGTTCAGATCAGCAAATTCGGTCTACGGTGAAATAAGCCTGTAAATTCTAAGTATTCCAGTTACCAGGCCCATACAATATTGCCCGTAGTCCAATTAGTTAGACTACGCAGTTGGATCACGGGCAATAAACGAATGTTACGACGTTCTCATGATTACTAATTGTGTTATTGTACTTCTTTACTCTTATTTTGTACATTTTAATGTCGGCAGGTGGATTTGTTTATGTATATTAACAACCAACCGTGTTGCAACATCTAGCAACCGTGACCATGGGACCTGTAAAGGGCCCGAAACGTCGGTTTGTTTGAAAAAACAAATATACGCGATTTAAATCCGGAAAAATAGTTTCATTTCCTATATGTATGTATGTGTAATTTTAAATTAAAAACTTTAAATTATATCTCCTATTTTTAATACATATACTTTAAAATTTAGTGTATGTATGAACGAATTTTCAAAAATCAACAATTCAAATGTGCCTGTACCCCGCAGTTACTACATTACAGTTACACAGCTGCAGACGTATAATGGGCCGATGATGAATCCAATGAATTTCGCCTATTTATTTCATAAGCGTAACCAGCGTTCAGTCGATAGTCGATATAATATTGATCGACTACAATCACTAGCTGCTTGCAAGCGAGCAACACTTATGAATGCAATGCAATGAACTGTCATTTTACTCCGTCTTCAAAAAAGACAGACTTTAAGATTAGTATTATTATTTATTATTACCAAAATGCGTTAGTTGATAAGGAGCAACTGAAAAATTAAATTCTCGTACAGGGCTCCTGTCCACGTGATCACCGGATCTGCCGGCTGCAAAGAAGGCCGCGATCACTTTAAAAGTAAGCCAACAGCCAGTTCGTATTATTCGTGAACTACATTAATTTTATTTATATAAACGGCATACCTATCTCGTTGAGCTATGTCGTTTAGTAACGAAACTTGATAATCTCTATTCAATTGTTATATTAGAAAATATGATGAATTCAGGAAATAATTCGTCTTGTTTTTTGAGGTAACTCATTATTAAAAAGCACTAGTGAATTTTGATATTTTTTTTTGTTTAAATAAGTGATAAGTATGATAATTTATAACGTTTGGTTGAATATGTCTTAAAATGAGAATGCGACTTCAATAAAGTTGTTTTAACAATAATGGACATTTCGTAATGGCCTACAGTCGTAACAGATTTATGCACTCTCTATATCAACTCGTCCTTCAATTTAGAAGCTTTAAATATAATAAAACAGTCGCATTGAAGTATCAGCTATCCAAATTTTTATTTCAGTTCCAGTTAAAAGCAGGTTTTTGGTTCACAGTTCGCTAACTTGAAGATTTCCTTATTTTATATAGTCGCGTTTTAAACTTGGGAGGTATTACCACACATGGATCCTTTGGAAACACCAAAAATAATTTATATATAAACAAAATATATTTGTTTGGTGGTGAGAATCTAAAGACTGTTAGGTATTTCCCCTACTCCTAATATATAGAAGTGTGAACAAACCTATTAAAACAAGTCAATTTCAAGACGTCATTCTTTAGATTTTAATTATATAAAGTATCAGTTTCAGTGATATAAAAAAAAACATTTAATTATTATTTATACAAAAAGCGATCTAACACAAAAATTATTTCGATCCCGCTTGACTCGAACCAGCGTCTATGGCTTCAACGTGGCTATAAAGACATAGTACAGGGGTCTACGCTCGTTCTTTGTCCGACATCCGCCTGAAACAATTACTGTCAAATAAGTAATACTCGTCCAAATTGAATCAACAATGTCAACTATGAAACTTCATTCGTGTCATGCGTTTCCAGGTCCAGGCGACAGAAGCTGGATCGAGTCCAGTCGGATCGAAGGAATTAGTCTTTGTTTATTCGATATTTGTATCAATAACAATAATAGACCAGTGGAGTATTTTCACAAAAAAAAATAGACGACTATCATGGTAAAAAAACATCGCGATATTCAATAAAATAAAAATATTGCAAAATCTTTCATTACCCTATACTCTAGCCAAATTCGATATAGAATGTTTTGTAACAAAATGTTGCTAGGCAACCAATAATAGCAGGTGTAAAGAACATTCTTTGTCAATGCTCATTATTTAGGCAAGCTCAGCTCAAGGCCTGCTCGCATAATTCGAATTTAAGCAGGTAATTTATGTATGTAAAAATAATTCTTACCTAGTCAATTATTACAAAGTTCGCAAAGTCTATTGATATGTATGATTTATGAATAAAATAATTAAAATTTTGGTACCAATTAATAGCAGCCTATTGATAGTATTATAGTATAAAACGAAACAAAATTGTAAAATTATATTAGTTAACTACATATTCATCATCAATTTCCAATTTTGAACTTGAATTACTACTCGAACTCAAATGTTTCCAATATCTCCCTTCAAACGAAAAAATCATTAGGGGTGACACAGTTTTATAAATAATTATTTACTGGTAATTTTTATGTAGATTTCAAATTACCAACTAGCGGTTTGAAACTTCTATTAAACAAAATTTATCTCGGACGTTACTTCACGCTTCATAGTTATAAACTATCAGGAAGCCTAATCAAATTTCAGGGAAAAATACTGAAATTGTGGTAACTGTAAAACAGTCTGAGGTGAAAACCCTAAAAACATACGTTTGTTTTTCCTTGTTTTCATTTATTCTACATTGAATTTTGCAAGAGTATAGTTACCCAATTGCTTGAAGTGAATTTTGTACATTAAGAGCATATGAAACTTGAAAGCTTAAACCATTCTTATCGTAATTTAAATTTTAAGTGTCAAGGTTGACGTGATCTTGTACTTTAGTGTCCGCGTTTACAGACAACCCACAAAGCTGGTCGGCGTTCCGGTCACAGGACTTCGGCTACACGCGGCTGAAGGCATACAATAAGACGCACATCAACATAGAACAGGTATTGTGATTACGCTTATCAATGATATTATAAAGGATATAAAATACGCGTGCAATTAGCAAACAATAAGTTATAACTTAGAAAATAATTAAGTATAAATTATACGATAAACCGACAACAGACTTGTAAACCGGCGCACCTGCCCCGGGCGGCAATTTCACAGATAGTCGTACAGTTTAAAGAGTCGTGGTTTGTATATTTAAATGAAGCTGTTCACACAAGAACAACAGTAACCGTCAGGATGGCTGGTCGCCTGTGGCGCCTGGCACTGAGTGTATATTCAAGAATTGCTACCTATTTGCTACCTTTTCTAAATAATTGCTACCTATGATATATTCTGAGAAATTAAAAAAAAAATTGACCAGCCATTCTGACTATGAATGAAATATTCTTTATTGCACATAAAATTATTAAAATACAATACAATAGCTTAAGTATAATAGTAGTAGTAAGTCAATGTGCAACAGGCGGCCTTATTGCTATGTAGCAATTTCTTCCAGGGAACTTTAGGACAGACAATTCGGATATGCAAAAGGGGTGCAACCAAAGAATATCATCATAAAGTACACTACATAATAAGTAATAATAAAAATATATACATATCCATAGATATACATATACATACAAATAACAATAATATTATTAATACATACATAACAATAAATACACAATAATATTAAACGCTTATATACTTTTAAAGGAAAAAGAAAAATCAAGTATAAATGTAGGAAATAAATGAAAGGATAGTCGTAGTAGTAATGAGAGGACAGACGAAATGTATGAGTTGAGGAAGTGATCCTTGACACGATGTTTAAAGGAATCAAGAGAAGGGGATCGTCGAATCGATTCAGGGAGAGAATTCCACAATCTGATCGCAGAAATGGTAAAAGAGTTGGAATAAAAGTTAGAGGTATGAGAGGGCAAGTTAAGTAAGAGAGTATCAGAGGAGCGAAGGGGACGACAGAGTGTAGAAGAGTGGAAAGTAAAGCGATCTTTAAGATAAGAAGGCGTGAAGGGATAGAACAGAATTGAATGGAGAAGTGAAAGTATATGAAGACTATGATGGTTACCTACCCTCTCGGTTTTATACATCATCAACCTCACCAGACAAGTTCGCCTCGAAGTAATTGTTAAACGCCTGCCCTTTATATTATGGCAATAAAGAACTAAAAACTTTTGCTTTTTTAGTTTAGTCAGACACTTCTTCGTAAAATTTTCAATCGGTTATATTTGTTAACTAATGTAGAATATTAAGCGTATACCTTTAATTCGTGAAGGTAGCAAATAGGTAGCAATTATTGGTAATACATACTTCTGGAAAATCTGCTCCCTTCATGCTGAGCAAAGAAGCGACCAGCCATCCTGACGTCAGAATGGCTGGTCAAATTTTTTTTTAATTTCTCAGAATATATCATAGGTAGCAATTATTTAGAAAAGGTAGCAAATAGGTAGCAATTCTTGAATATACACTCAGTGCCAGGCGCCACAGGCGACCAGCCATCCTGACGGTCACGAACAACACGATAAACTGTCGTTGACGACTTTTTTGACGTTACGACGTCGGACGGTTGTGACAATGGGAAGAGCTAGAATGACAGTCGTCAGATGATAAAACGTCACGATAAAAATGTGACAACAGATAATCGCAGCTTCAAATGATTATGTCGTGCAAACGACAAGGCAGTGGGAACACCTAGACACGACAGTCCTTCAAAGATAAAATAAATGTCCACGCACAGTCACGACAGATAGTCGTGATATGGGAACAGCTAGACGCGACAGTCGTCCAATAAATAAAAACCGTGATAAATAAAACGTTACGACTTAAGAAGAACGCGCCCTAACACATTCAGCGCACATGTTCTATCGATTATTCATTTGATTTTAAAATATATCCTGTTCACCTATTTGCGGTCAACAATGAGTGCGGAACGTCTATGAGGCCACACAATTGTTGCCATTGAAAATTACTTCCTTTGAGACGAACTTTGATGAGCAAATAAATTCTTTCTACTATCATGTTTCTGTCCCAGTTTGAAAAAACTAATCGCAGATCCGGGGCTGCTAACTGCTGAAAGACGACGAAGTATTCCATACAGTTCAGAGTCTAATAAACAATAAATAATTAAATCTCGGCACTGACATTTGACTGTTCTGGCATTCATGTGCAGAATTAAGATATTTTTGATTACTTGAAAGGTCTAATAAATTGTAGATTACACTGTAAACAAAACTGAATCACCGTGCAGTAATCTAATATTTTATTATTTCTCAAAAGGAGTCCCTTGCCGAACAGTGGAAACCAAGTCCAACAAAATTATCATTAGCTAAATTCAGTAGGTACATAATAACAAACAACTTTTACTGTAAGAATTACTTTCAAGTGACGAAACGACTGTTTCATACAAATCATTCATTTTGTTAACAATATTACGATATTTTTCACGGATTAATGTACAGAGGTATATTTCTCTACAGGTGTCAGTGGACCTGGACGGGCAGGTAATAGATCACTTCTGGCTAATCAAGAACAAGACCCTCTCCTTCAGTATGATCATATCACCGTAAAGAATTGAACTAGTCATCTTCGAACATCGCATACTATTAAAATTTTATACATCAGAGAAAAGAAGGGCACACTGTCATGAATGTGAATTTTTTTGACGGGCGTTACACATAATATCATAGTCTAAGCAAAATATACATTCCTATCCAGTCAAAATGTATGTATAGAACAGCGGAATTTTTTGCTTTCTCGTCAGAGTAAAAACTGTTTATTTTGAAGCGTACAGCCAGCATCAAAAATAACATTGAAGATTTTAGTATAGAGACAAACTTACATCGTGTCTGCTACTTCACGTTAATTTGCGGGTATTCTACTCTAGATGCTTACTCAACTTCAGCATCAAAATGGCGCTTGATCTATCAAAGTAACTAAAAATAACTGCATATTTGATAAATAGTATTGAGTAAAGCAATCATAATGATATGAATTTACAATACAGTTGCACCTTGCAAAAGGGCCTGCACAGAGTACCTCTTCAGAGTTCACTCTTATACAGCCCCCACGAACATTATGTACAAACCAATATTTTGCTAGTTTATTTGCTATTAAGCTCGACCGCGTCATTAGAGACTTTGAAATAAGGTTTATTTTTATCTATGAGGTATATAGTTCTGATCAGAGATCGTATTAAGCCGGTATTACATTTGTCGGACGTGTCGTGTCGTGACGCGTCAGAGCGATATCGGTATCATACGCACAGCACAAGCCGTCACGTCAGATTGCGACACACTAATATAAATCTAACCATATTGAATGTATGAATCTAGCTCGATCTCAGTCATTAGATATTGAAATAAGGTTTATTTTTAAGCATAAGGTATATAGTTTTGACCAGAGATCGCATAAAGCCGGGTATTACATTTGTCTGACGTGTCATGTCGTAATGCGTCTATATACCAATACCATTCGGTATCGATTTCAGGAGCACACCACAAGCCGTCACGTCAGATTGCCACACACTAATATAAATCTAACCATATTAAATGTACCGATACCGTTGTGACGCGTCACGACACGACACATCAGAGAAATGTAAATCCGGTTTAATGCGGCTTCCCAGGACCCGTTTCTCGGCCCGCGCCGCGCGTTTCGCGCCGTGAGCAGAGAACAAAAAGTAAAGAGAACGGACACTCCGCCCCTCCCTAGCTTTAGATACCGCACCACGCCCCGCGCATTGCCGGTCACATTGACTGAACGACAACATAGCTGCCGGCGAGCCGTTTTCGCGCGAAGACGACTTTGATATTTGAATATAGTTTTCATTTATTCATTACGAAACTATAAAATAAAACATCATTTTACGTTAATATAAAACATCATTTTACGTTACTACTTATAATGGTCGTGAATTGTGCTGTGTATGTGTTTATCATCATTTTCCGAAAGATGAAACGAAGTAAGTAAAAAAACTTATGTCGGAGACTCATTCAGTTATTGTTTTGTTCATTTATTTACTGCAGAGTAACAAGTAAAGTATGTGTAACAATACAAATTTATTATATCAATATAATGAGGCGCCATGACTTCGTGGGCTAGCAGACAAGGGTTCTCGAGAAATGTACGTAAGTAGCGAATATACCTAATTATTAGCTAAGTAATGATGATCAATTTGGACACGCAATTTCAAATACCTTGGTTACCTTATACATGTCCAAAATATAACATTTTACGCGCTTTTAATATATTTTTTAAATAAATTTTCAATAGTACTCTGGTTAGTGAATTAATGAAAAATATGATATTATATCGATATAAATACATAATAGACATGTGTAGTTATTAGGATTCTATTAATAGAATCATAGGTAACAGATTCGCGTTAGCATTTTCGCTATGTTGCCCCTCTGATCACGTAACGTAACCCGGACACTCCACACAACCGTTGAAAATTATTTACCTACTACTACTACATACAGCAAGGCGCTATCTGCACACGTGCAAATGTGTGCGTGAAGTGGCAGGGTTACCTACCTATCACTTGCTCGTACTATTACGTACGAAAATTCTAACGCGAATCTGTTATCTATAATTTATATTATAGAATCCTAATAATCACACATGTTTATTACGTATTTATATCGATATAATATTATATTTTTTATTAATTCACTAACTAGAATAATATTGAAGATTTATTTAAAAAATATATATATAAAGCACTTAAAATGTTATATTTTGGACAGGTACCTTTAAATAAGGTAACCAAAGTACTTATTTGAAATTGCGTGTCCAACTTTATCATCACCTAGTTAACAATTATTCACTATTCACTAAGTAATATTTATCGGCAATACAAATTGAAAATTCTAGAACCCTCGTCTAGCTCACGAAGTTATGGCGTCTTATTATATTGATATAATAAATCTGTATTATATATTACTCTTCACCAAAGAAAACAATAACTGAATGAGTCTCAGACATAAGTTTTTTTTACTTACTTTGTTTCTTCTTTCAAAAAACGAAAGTGTGGAAACTCCTCTCTTTATCCCGTTTAGATGATTATAAACAGCCGTACACAGCACAATACACGACCATTAGAAATAGTAACGTAAAACGATGTTATATATTAACGTACAAATTTCGTAATGAATAAATGAAAACTATATTCAAACAACAAAGCCGTCTTAGCGCGAAATCAGCACGCCGACAGCCTTGTATTCGTTTAGTTCTAGGGAGGGGCGGAGAGTGTCCGTTCTCATTACTTATTTGTGCTCTGACGTAATAGTGCAAGAAAGTGATGGGTAACCCTGCCACTACACGCACACATTTGCGCGTGTGCAGATAGCGCCTTGCTGTATGTAGTAGTAGTAGTTAAATAATTGTCGACCGTTGTATGGAGTGTCCGGGGTGTACCGTGAGAAGACGGCCGTCAGAGCGCGCTCGTGCTGGCCTGTTCGGTTCGGCCGCTGGTCGGGAACTTCGAAGGCGCGCACGGCCACGGCCTAACTCTCGATACATTCTTGAATACGCCCCGCCACAGCCACGCGCGTCGGCCCTAAGTCTCCCGGACTCGTCCGTAAAAATCGGCGCGTTTGACATCACGGGTTGTGGGAACGCACCCTTATTGATCATATTGATACTGATAGTGCATACCTACCACAAATTGTTCAGAATATCTTGCAGTACCAATGGCTATGAATATAAGGCTGTTATATGGTTTGTGAAGGTTTTGACCAAGCGAAGCAAAACCATTGATAATTCCAGGGTATAGGTAGCTAGCGCAAACTACAAGCCAGTATTCCAAACGTACAGGAAAGGAATGGTACGTCGCGCGGGGAGGCTCCTTTCGTGCATCCCAATAATGATACGTCAATGACGTAAGTTCCTCTATAACCGGCTTACGGCTTATTAACAGCCAGTCTGTGGTGATATGTGTATTACATAGTATATAAAATCCACCAAATACAAAAGGTAAATGACCAAAGTATTATTTATATTATTTATTCATAATCTTGTTAAGGTTGTTGTTACATTAACCATTAATAAACGGTTTTTTTTTAAAAAGGGTCTATTACTTTATCATTATTTAAAAACTAACCTAGAAGAAAATATCACAAATCTCAAATACACAGCAAAGTAATCTTTTTTCTTACTTTAACATTTTCAGAGTCTCCATCACAATTATTATTTTATTAAAGACAACAATTTAGGCTACCAGTGCCAGTGATTTATATAATATGTATATATATAATATGTATATATGCATACACACATGCGCGTGCATGTGTATACACACTACTGTGTATATACACATACACATTATATATAAAATTACATATTATGCATTTCATAGGGTACACCACTTTCATAGCCTCAATTAACTACACTTCAATGTAAAGTCAAAACATAATGGAGAATTTTTTAAATTGGACCATACAATCAAATAAACAACTGAGTCAATAACTGCGCATTATTCAACAGTAGTTTTACTAATATAACATAAACATGAGGATTATAATGAGAAAATAAACATGAGAACTAAAAAGAGATCCAACAATCGACCCACACCTTCATTTGTTCTCCAACTGCCAATGAACTTATACCAATCTGGGTATACAATTACGAGTATATACATGGCATCTCGTTATGGGATACCGATGTCAATATCTTCACAAATCGAACGTGGCATTGCGCCGTTTCTATATAAAAATGAATACACTGTCAACCGCGAACACTCGAACTTGAGGCACTACGTCTTAAATTCTTGCATTAAAATTATTTCAACTTAAAACACTGTTTGCCCAATAATTCTTTTTTAATTTACAACTAATTAAATCCACTACAATCTACAACAGGAAAGAGTTTTATTGATGCAATCTTTTACATTTATACATCCTAGGTAAAGAGTTGACAAAGTCCAATTATTCCTTTAACGGCATCAAATAGAAATGGTAAGAGCTGATGATGTTACAAGGTAGCAATTAGGGTATTCAACAAAGAACAAGATTTTTAGGATTTAAACATGGATTTGTAAAGGTGTTTTTAATTACTGCAGTATGGTTGAAAACTTGCCTGTATTTTTTCTTTTTCCCTTCCTCTGTTTACTATGATTTTGCAACTCATTAAACTTTTTGATAAAATTGAATCCTGGTTTTCGTGAATTGTTAATGTTTGGTTTTGGGACAGGTTTCACTTTCGGTATTGGGATTGGTTTCTGTGGCACCTTCTTTGTTGGCAACTTTATCCCTTGTTTATCTGCTGGGTGCTGCTTTGGTATCACTGTTAGTATTGCTTTCAAGAAGTTACTACTGCGTTGTTCTATGTAACATTTCAATGCATGTTTAAAGCAACCAATGATTTTTGGGAACAGGTTTTTGCCAACAGCCACTGCACAGTTCCGGCTGTGATCAAAAGGATCTTGAATGCACATACTTTCATTAATTCTCAAAGGTTGAACCAACCCGTTATGCAAGTTTGCATCATACAATCTGAATACAGTAGGCACGGTGTTTAAGCTTTTAAATAATTCCCTCTTTATACTACATCCCAAAAATACAGAGACTATGTTCATGGCAAAATTGTAAGAGCTGTAGTACTCAAAAAACCCTGTGAGAAGTTCATACAAATTGAATTCATTTTTTCTACTTTTTAATGTGTAATCAGGAATATGCACAAATCCAGTTTCCCAATGATCAACAATGCATTGTTGGTGTGGTTTCAATTTGTCTTGCAATTCGTAAACAGAAGGCAAAATATTCAATTGCTGGAAGTAGAATACTACAAGCAATATTAATGCATAATTAGGCATTAAATTTGTACCTGTCAACTTGTGTAGTTTAGCCCAGAACTTTATTATGATTGCTATTGACAAAACTCTAGGATCTAAATGAAGTAAGTAAGCCAGTAACAAACTGTTACGTATTCCTTGTGGACTTTTGAAACTTGCATCACAATGCCTTCCTGTTGGAATGTGTAGGAATTTGACTAAAGGCACTTTAGCACGAGCTATAGGTTGTAATTCTGTGAACAAATGTGGCTGTGACCTCAGTGAACGTAAGGCAACATACACGAGTTTACCAGGTTGCTTTCTTTCCCATGGCGGTACAGTTACATAGCAGTCTATGTCACTTGTCTTTATACCTAGACCGGTGATTATAGAACCAAACGGTTCTATTACACAACCTGAAATTCAAAAATATGTTTTAATTGTTTAAGATAAATAATTGAAAGAAAAAATCCTGGTCCCTAATTTGTATTGATCATTACTTTCATGTCTTTGTAGGTAATTAGTGCTAATGAAACATTTACCTGGCCAAATTCTATTAAAATTAGCAGACAAATCCCTCAATAGGAAATCAATGTGTTCCACCTCCTCTTTGGTTAATCTAATGATTTGCAGTAGTTGTTGTGCCTGACACCCGAAGTCACCTGTGAATTCTATTTTTGATATGTCAAAGACTGGATCTGCAAATGGGAATTTATAAACTATACTTCTACAAGGTTCATATGCGAAGAAATTATATTTAATTTCGGCAACTGATGACAATGTAAGTTTATATATTGAGGCCTATGCTCAGGCATGTAGATTACAGTATGATCACGATTTGAATGAAGAACCATTAGTAAAATATTCTTGTTTTCCTAAAGGTTTCTTGTCATTTAATTTGAATCAAACTTACGTTCTAAAGGCCCGCGAGAATTCATTTTTCTTTGCAATAATATAGATCTAAATTATTGTTACATTGTACAGCTTGCCAAATACCTGACAATAATCACAAATGCAACAAATAACAAATCTATCGTTATTATTTGCGTTGCTAATGCAACAATGAAAAATATTCACACAGAAACCAAAACTAGATACGCTTTGATAGTAAATAAATGCAACAAAACACAGAATTATCGTTGATAAAATAAAAATGAAACAACTTTCGTAACCTATCGTATGTTGACACAAACTAATAAAGAGATAGAGATACTATGTTGAAGTTTGTGAATTTTTTATTTTCTTTATTGAGCTTTGGCTACGAGGCCAATAGCTTAAAACTAGACTAACAGAAACAGCAAAAATTATTACTTTCTTTTTTTTATTAATAATGTTGGCTTAGATACAAGTCATTTGAGCCATGTCTTCGTTTAATTATGTTTCTGTAAATATGACCGCCACAAAGAGGATAGGCAATTTGAGGCGGCGTGCTTGGATTGACTCGGGATTCCCTAGAACTTCCCTAGGAGGGCCGATACGGGTATTTTAGTTCGAGATTCGTATAATTTCGCGCTTTAATCTTCGATTAAGGCACAGTAGCACTATCCTATTCCACTTTAAACTAGATTTCACAAAATAATTGAAAGTCAAAATAAAAACGACACTTTTCCCTCCAAAAGGCCCAGAGCGAATTTTATTACTTTCTTTCCAATTCCGTAAATAACGAACGCTATGGACAGAAAGAAAAACTACATTTCTTTTTACGCATTCTAATTGGTATTTAGTTTTAAGCCCTAGAGTCAAAGCTCAAAAAAATATTATGCATTGCAAACTGTTACAAATAAGCATGCGGTCAAACAACAACCAAGTTTTCAAAGGCATAGAGGATTACAAGCACTTAGTCTTCGAGTTGGGCCACGAGGCAAGTACCGGCTTTAGCTTAATGCTCTGGATGTGCAGGACACTATGGTGCGCGAAGCGCCGTGTCGCTGCTTGTGACACCTCCAAAGAACATACTAGAGGGCGCCAGGGCGTTGATCCGGGCGCTACATGAACTAGGGTCAGCGCTGCACGAGGCGCCTTGGTGCTCTAATGGTTCAATAGCTCAAGAAAGGATTTTTCTCAAATTATTTTTTGTTTTGCATTGACAAGTTTGCACTGACTTGTCATTTAAAAAAATGTTGCCATAACATTTGCTTTTCAATGGGGTTAGGAATTAAAGGTTAATTTGTCTTTGTATCAACCCAGATAAAAAATATTTTAAATGTTAATAAATTATTACGTCATAATAATAATCACAATTTTTTTAGGATGGTGATGGGAATTACCATTGAGATACCTATCTGTATGGGTTTTCTTTCGAAATACAGTATGGCCTAAGGTGTTATTAGGATTTCTTTTAATTAAAACATTTAATTAATATGTTTTAGTTTATTCTAATTTCTATTAATAATAAATTAAACTTAATAAAAATTCATTCAATAAAATAATTTGTAAACCTTAATGTAGCGTAATTTGGAATGTTTTCTTTGTAAAATTAAAAATAGGTATTTAATTAACAACTATTGTAACTATAGAGAAAAAAAAGGGTGGTTTGCATATTAGACATAACTGGTTGAAGACTGTACCACCTCAGTCAACCGTGACCATGGGACCTGTAAAGGGCCCGAAACGTTTGTTTGAAAAAACAAATATACGCGATTTAAATCCGGAAAAATAGTATTTCCTATAAGATTATAATAATATCCGTGGCCGAATAGTTACCATCCTGGACTGCCACGCAAGAGGTCCCGGGTTTGATTCACGTGCCGGGAGAAATATTTGTATGGCTTACATTTATTTTCACGAAGTTTGGTTGTAATTTGTTTTTTGTTTGGTTGTCTGTGTGTGTCCGGATCTCCGGAAATGGTTTTACTGCATCGTAGGACAAAACTACTGACCTAGGAAGTTGAAGTTGGATTTTAAAGTAATTCTAATTGTGTCTATACATGTATCTATATGTGTAGAGGAACACCTTTTTCCGACCTATAGTTATTAATTAACATTTGGTGGTTTTAACAACTCTATGCCGCTCCTTATAGATACATCTATCTGATCATACATATATCTAAATATGTGGAACGTCTTTTTCCAACCCTTTGGGCGGAGCTTATTCTATATATTAAATTCGGAATGGTTTCAATCTTGACTTTTCCTGTTTCTTATCTAGTCAGTTTCTGAGATCGTCCAATTCACATTAGGTTGTATATGAAATAAGTTCACTCCTGGTTATTACTAAAACTGTAAATGGTCCCATTAGCTCGAAACTTGGGCCACTTGATCGCATGTTTGCTAATACAGGAATCTAATTAACACTTCAAAAGAATCCGAATAGTCATTGTAGTCAACGTTTACTAGCCCAAATGGTGAAAGATGTAGTAAAAATATATTCAGGCTTCAGACACGCCCGAAACAATAGGTGAACATATCCAAATATCCGGCACAAGGTAATTAAAGCAAGCGTTTGAACTGTAAAAAGAATGTTTAATTACTAAAATTACTCACAGCGAGATTCTTGTCATCACAAGATTAAAGAAGATACGTCTGTTCAGTTTTAAAATGGTAATAACAATTTCGGTATCTGCTGCATATGGCACACTAAATTGCTTTGGGTTAATTTTACTTCAAGGTCAGAATAATAATTTATTTTTATTGTAAACACTTATTATTATTACAAACTTCAAAATATTACATAAAAGACTTATCTAAGAGTCCTATCAAACCCTTCGGTACAATCCGTCTACTTTCCCGGTCGGTCCACTTTCAGTATTCGTCTACTTTCCCATCGGTCCACTTGTCCAAATGGTCCACTTTCCCGATTCGTCTATTACCCATTTTGTCTACTATCCCGATCGGTCCACTTTCACTATTCGTCTACTTTCCCGATCGGTCCACTTGTTTTTCTCGATTTGTCCATTTCCCATTTCGTCTAACTTCACTTGTCCAAAAATAAAATCCGTTTTACAAATTTTCAACAATTTATAAATGCGTAATTGCAGATTGTCATGGAGTACATACATTTTTTATTTTTTTGATAATGATGGCCGCATTACGTTAAACACGATTTGAAAAAAAAAACAGAATCAAGTAGACAGTTTTTAACCGACTTCAAAAAAGGTCCTCCTTTTTGAAGTTCTCTATTCGACTGTATTTTTTTGTATAATATGTTACGCTATAACTCCGGTTATTTATGAACAGATTTTAATGATTCTATTTTGTAGGAAAGAGGGTACCTCAGTAGAAGTCCCATTTAAATTTGGAGAAAATTTTCCACCTCTAAGGGTCGTATTCTAGAACTCTACTCAATGCTCAAGTCAAGACTTGAGTATGATTCAAAGCACTCGAAATCATACTCAAGTCCCTGCCATTAGAGTCGTATTTCCAGTACAATCCTGACTTGAGCATTGAGTAGAGTTCTAGAATACGACCCTAAGAGTGGCAAACTAGGGAGTGAATCCGGTTTCACGCACTTTCCGGTAACCGATTTCAAACTTTTGAGGTCGATTTTTTTAGTAAGATTATCTGAGTAGGCGCATCAGTAAAGTATACCTATCGGGAAAGTAGACCAAATGGGAGAGTTGACCAAACGGGAAAATAGACCAAACAGGAAAGTAGACGAAATGGGAAATAGACGTATCGGGAAAAACAAGTGGATCGATCGGGACAGTAGACGAATAGTGAAAGTTGATCGATCGGGAAAGTAGACCGATTGTACCGAAGGGCCATTCTAAATGACATATGGATACAATTTAGAATAGTTCATGGTTTGTCAAAATACCTCGCTAAGCTAAAGTATATAATAATATCAAAAACATTTGTTTTTACTAAAAACATAATATAATAACTGACAACCAGTAACGACATAAAAAAATACACGTTTATCTGAAAATTAAAAAGTTTGTCTATAAACGCTGTGACACGAAGTTCTTATGGCCTAGATTGAGATTCGATATTTTTGAAGGGCCCGTGTCGCTCTTGCAAGATCCAGAACGAGTCCACCACCTTTCCGTACTGGTCGACACTGACCTAAAACAGATTTTTATGATTACATTATGTGTGTAAATTACATTTTAACAATAGTGTTATGAAAGAATGAAAGGAGAAGTAGGAGTGATCATAATTATAATCCCATTTATACGTCCCACTGTTAGGTACGAGTCTCCTTTCAGGCGAGGGTTTAGTCCGCCGTCCGTCCTTTTAGTCCGCCACGCTGGCTCAATGCGAGTTGGGGACTGCACGCGTTTGCCGAGGGTTATGAACATTTATCGACGTGCAGGTTTCATCACAATGTTTTCCTTCACCGAAAAGCTTATGGTAAATTTCGAATTAAACTTCGCACGTAAATTCAGAACATCGAGTATATAATCAGAAATAGAGACGAAATGTCATTTACTTTGTTTGAAAACTTTTCTGCCAAATCATTACTGTGACAACTACGCTCCGATTGGCCAGCCCGAATTCGAAACAATTGAATTGACTGATATATCAATGATTTCACTTCAGATAGACCAGTTTAACTTGAGCTTTGCTATAATGGACGAAAATTGAAAAATTACGTATTTAATATTTAATTACCGAAGAAATGTGATTCCGTTTGTTGTGTAATTAGATGTTTTACTATTTTTCCCACACCACCGAATGGAACAGCCCCCCATAGTTAGAGATATTAAGTTTATTGCAATAAATACATAATATTTTTTGAATGTACGCAGAAGTACACACAGGTCAGTTGTTGGCGCTGTAATATTTCAGTTTTCTAATGCGTGATTTCAGCGCAAAAGAGAGTTGATATTTAAAAGTGATATAAGGCCCATTTTCCTGAAGAGTTGCCAGGGATGGATGGCCTTCACTTCGTCTCTATTTCTGGTTATAAAGTCGATGATTCAGAATAACTCAGCGGTGCGAGTCCATATTCGAACCCACGGTCTCTGTTTAAGAGGCAGTACGTCAAACCATTCGGCTACCACGGGCTATTAAGTCTTTATTTAAAGGGGAATAAATCGGCATTTTTTTTCTCTTTTGTCTTACAACAGATGGCCTCTTAGGGTCGTATTCTAGAACTCTACTCAACGCTCAAGTCAGGATTGCACTGGAAACACAAGCACTGGAAATACGACCCTAATGGCAGGGACTTGAGTATGATTTCGAGTGCTTTAAACCATACTCTAATCCTGACTTGAGCATTGAGTAGAGTTCTAGAATACGACCCTTAGAAATTAACGCCAATCACTTACAAATCCCAGTCTTTTTTGGACTCTACAATTCATTATTTAATATTACATTATCTTATTTATGACTTTGATCATGAATAGCTTGAAGTGTCTCGTCTATGCGTGTACCTGTTCGAAGTAGAGGTGTGTGCCGTTGTGCGCTCGGAACCGCGTGAACCCGTAGTCGCTTGATCGGAACGCAGACCACGCCGGTGGGTTCGCTGCAACCACACAGTCGGTACTTTATTAAGTAACAATAGAAGTTGTAAACAAAAACAACATAGTGACAAAACAATTTAAAACATGAGTTTTACTTTTTTACGATACCAAGTGACAGAAGGAGTCGTGCGCCTGGGGTTAAGCAACACGCCTGTCCATAGCCGTTGCAGTGCCACCCAGAGCTTTAAATCGCAAAGATCTGATGGATCTCATGAAATCTTATGTCTCTATAATTTCACCATGCTCACATTACTGCTTGGCAGCAGAAATAGGTAAGGTGGCTCTACTTCCCTGGACAAACTCTTTCACAAAGAGCTCCACTGCTATTAAAATAAAATTAAACTTGCAATAAGTTGTAAAATTGTTGTTTTTTTAAAATTTATTTCACGACGTTGGATTGAAGTCCAGCAGCTGAAATATTAGAGGTAATAAACATCTGTTACTAACATACTATATTAGACAACATACTGCATTGATCTGATCCCAAAGTAAGTAACTATAGCACTTGTGTTATGGAAATCGGAAACAACGCCGGTATCACAAACACCCAAACCCGAGACAATATAGAAAATTAGTTTTCTACATGACCCCGTTGGGGATCGAACCAGGGAAGTTTTTTTTGGGATTGCAACACCATGAAAACCAATGTGCAAGTCAATTTTGCCATATTTTTATTTTTAATGTCCGAAACGTCATGACAGAAAACTACTATCAATAGGGTTTATTTATTTGTCAAATCACTGACTATATGAAATAAAATACAACTGACCAAGTAAATTTTTTAACCAAGAGTTTAAAAAACTCCCCAAATATTTATTTCCCCGTATTGTATGGTACTACCACTAAGTTAACAATATGACGCTGATATCAGCTATCCACTCTATGTTGATCCCTCGGAACACTACAAAAGGCCTAAAACGTGTATTACACTACCAATTTCTAGGGCCCTGTTTCAAGGGTGGACGTGGCACTTAGTTAGTGAACCGCTTATTATACTACTCTGCCAAACATGCTCTAACTCATTTTGAGCGCAAACGTCGAGATCGTTGTACGTGTGACTATCATGGCGCCATCGAGTCTCGTATTTATTGTTGTTGTTTCTCTTCGAAATTTTCGTAATTTTGAAGAAAGATTTTAAAGCCCTCGGCCTGTACATCCTTCTTCGTATAGTCTTTGTGATCTTTCTTCCATAAATAGAGCATGTCTTTATACATGTGTATCAGGCACAACAAAACTTATTTTTCTTTACTGCAAAAAATGACGATAGCAAGACAAAATGGCTGCGCGAACCAGACAGTCGCGCATCGACTGATCTCCCTAACTGCCCTAAGTTTTATTTTAATACACTGCCCGAATTGTAGGGCGTTGCAGATTGGGACGAAATTGTATAATAGACGTAAAAACGAACAAAAATTATCGAACAATACTCACAAACAAATCCGTCAGTCTTCTCCCTGCATCCCGCCGACCCGGTGATGACGTGAACAGGCGCCCCCGGGTTGATGTACGCGCCGCGGGTGCCGTTATACACTTTGTGGTCGTACAGAGGCCACGTGCGCTCGTAGGAATGTTCGTGAGCCCAGATCACCACGTCCACGCCGAAGTCTTTTAGCAATGGCTCTAGACCTAGAGAGTTATGCCATAACCGTTATTATTACCGCAACCGATTGCTAGCACCAGCCACTTGTTAATTCTAAAATTGTTTTATACTAGATTGGTTTCGCTACTGCAAATTTTAAAATGTTTTATTGCTTACTATTTTTTTTAATACCATCTATAGGCTTTTTAAGTTGTCAAAACAATACACAAAGGTCGTATATCATCTGTAATTTTTTTCTAAATAGCATCTGAGGGCGCACGTGCAAGCATGCGTCTGTGTAAAGCTAAGTTGGTCAGTCTACATCCTTTCAAAATTCGTTAAATTAAGCAATATCTTTTCCTAAATGACTTGTCTAATTAATAAATTAATTGTGTAGATAGATGCTTTTCAGAAAAAAATAAATACTTAGCGAAAAATATCGTTAATTACGTTATTTCTCGCTAAATATTTATTTTTTTAGTCGATGTTAATCTAAGTAAGTTTGCCTGCACATGTTCTTCACATAGTACATAAACTAAATCTATATTATATATATATATATATATATATATAATATATAAACAAAAAATTGAATATATATATATATATATATATATATATATATATATATATATATATATTTTTTTTTAATTACATATTTTTCTTAAGTGATGATAGATTATGATTTGACAGATTAGATAATGAAATATTAGAAACGTACAATGACTCCTAGATTGTTTTATGGTGACGTTTCCGATGACGATCTTGAATGTAGGCCACCCGTCCTAAACAGCCAGAATACTAATGATAAGCAAGATAATTGGTCGAAACACAAGTTTGAGCCAGCATTTAATGTTTGCAACCCGCCTATTTACCGATAGATACTACGGAATGGGCATGGTATAGATTCTACCAGCAATAGGTATATCGATGACGATTTCTTATTGTTGATTTTTTTTTTTTTTTTTTTTTTTTTATGCCAGATAGTAGGCAAACGAGCAGACAAGCTAATAAATATTTGATTGTACAAATAGAAAACAAATTTTGAAAATTGGAAGGTCTTTCGGATTGACTATAGAGAATTAAAGGCATAACAGTTTAAAACAGTCACGCTGCAAAAAAGCGGTTGTAATAAGGAAACAATCTAAGATTTGACAGTGCTTGTTCCAAATATTCGGTGAAACAGTTTGTTTCACCGAATTTCACGAGTCTGAAAGTTAGAATAAATATGTTTCTGTTAATCTTTTACGTTCGTTCCTATTTTAATAAATTTTGTAAATGACATACTAATCTAACTACTATTAAGTAAGAACGTGTTAATGATAGAAGTAATATCTTATTTTTTGAGAAGAAATATTAATATCGAGTTCTTAGGTTTTCGCGGTTGTTACACATAGGAAATGAAACTATTTTTCCGGATTTAAATCAGTCAACCGTGACTATGGGTCCTGTAAAGGGCCCACAGGTAAGAAATATTAATTTTTTTAATTCTAGTTATTTTGAGTCTTTTTTTTCAATAAATAATATTTTATTCAATTATTCCTTTAACTTAATTGCTAATTAGTCCACTTACAACCATTCAAAATGTTAAAAGGACATCTTAATATAGTGTTGTTGTCCTATTATATTGAAAATCTGGTTTTCCCGAACAAACATTTTTTTCAATATTTTTGTCATACTTTCTAAAATATTAACAACAATTCCTGAAAGTTTCATAAAAATATTCTAAAAAAAGTCTTTGAGTAGGCAGGAGGTAGGAATAATTAGGGACAGCATAAATCGGCGGACGGCGGGTGAAAGCATCGAAGAAAGGTAGATTCCAGCGCACACGTGGATTTCGACGCGTACCGGTGGATTCCAGCCCACACCGGTAGACTCCGGGGTCCCGTCTGCCGGTTTGCGCTGGGCCGTAGCCGTCGATTTAATTCGAGTAAAATTGATAACAGTAAAATGGCAACATGAGCAGCAATGTAGGGGATATCCGATTGGGTGGGTGAAGGAGCAGTATAAACGATGAAACCTTGTCTTCTTCGTTTGAAAAAAAGGTAGTATCTGTATAATTTTACAGTTTAAAAAAAAATAGGATCAAAGTTTATAAATAATTATGACACATAATTTACACACATAAATATACAATATAACAATGCCAGACCAGTGGGGTGGAGGTAGAGACTGCAATACGAAAGTGCTACGGCCGCACGCAGTAATAGCGGTCTTCCTAAGATAGTCAATAATGATTGTCATGCATACACAAATGTGTCTATGTTAACAGCAATGTGTATAATTCAGGGATTGTATACAATACCTAGTCATTCTATACGATACCGGGTCTCTTCGGGTAATGTATATAATAGTTAATATTTTTTTAAACAAATATCGTTTATAACTTATTTACTTCTGATGACCTAATTATTTTTACAAGATGACCTATAGTAACACTTGGACGTGCATAAAATATTCTTAACACACAAGCATTTCCTATTACCACATTGCTTTGTGTACCAGCATTTAAAAAATTTTATACATTACCTAATGCACGTTTGGCATTGTATAGAATATATAGGTATTGTAATGAAAACCGAATTACTTAAATGTTAAAACTCACTAAACATTCCCAATAAAGGTATTCCCAATCTTGTATATTCGTATGGACAATCGTCATCGTCATCGTTGCTGCAATACATCGGTCTGTGGCCGTACAACACGATCCAAGGTCGCTTTGTCCTGTACACCAACAAAGAATCATGCATTGTTCATGCGACTCACCCATTCCTATGAAGGGGAGTCCCACTCGGTTGGGGAGGAAGCCATTCCAGCAATCGTCATATTTGTTGGTACAGTACATGGGACGGTGGCCGTATACTATGATCCACGGCCGTTTTAGCCTGTTAAGTAATGCACGTGTCAAGTTGTCACTGTTGAGTGATTTGTCAATGTCTAAAATATCATAACAAAATTGTAGGCTAAGCTATAGGCTGGCAGACAGTAAAGGACGGCGTGTATCGTAATCATATCACATATCGCACTTATGGTGAAAAAGTGAACTAAGTTATCCGCACACGCGATACATGCAGCCGTAGACGCATACCACACCTAGAGGTGCCGGTGATGATTTTATACCGATTTATCGGATATCGAAGTTATAACAGGTAAAAGAACTAATATTAATTGCTATTTGGGTAACTACTCTAGCAAACCATAAAGATTTTAATGCCTGGGTCTGTCATTTAAAAAAAATAAACAACTTCAAAAATACGTCACGACAATCGTGTGTCTTATTGTTTGGGCTGGTGATTTCGGTGTTTATTTATTGAAAACATACCGTAAGTACCGTTTTTTAAGTTTACCCTGAATATAAATGTTTATAAACTATACGTTAAGGAGTAATTTCATGGTAAACGTTAGAACCATTCAAACGGAATATTGTCATATTTATCCAAGTACACCAAAAATTTCATTAGTGCTTTTTAAGTGCAGGATTTGCGGTGTATTACTGCATTTTATTTGAGATGTTTTTGTTGGTAGTACGGAGGGTATTTATTTAGCAATGCAGAATAATAATTTTTATTTATAAAAACTTGTATTTAAACTGAATGCTTTTCTAATTTGCGAAACCAGATAGCCGCCATTTTCCGGTAGGAGGAGCGCATCGCGTGAGCGGATATATTGTGTAAACTTTACAGAAAACGAGTTAAAAGTTTTGTGTTTAGGGCTACTGAGCACATTTGACGTGAGATCTTATTGCAATAAGGGTTGCGCCCTCTATGGAAAAATTAAGGAATACATAATGTAAAAACATCTCTGATTTTAACCGACTTATAAAAAACGAGGAGGTTCCCAATTCAACTGTATTTTTGTATGTATGTTACACGATTACTTCGGCATTTGTGAACTTTAAGATTTTAGTTGTCCGGTACAATCGATTGCATTTTAATTCGATCTTAATAAATGTTTTTATTTTGTAATATTACCCTTATTTGTTATTACTGAACTGGTATAATAATACATTTTATGTGCCGATGCATCCTCGTAAATACGTCGGAGCTCTCTCTATACATGTTAAAAATTAGTTAATAAGATCATTTTAACGACAATAGAAGTCAAGGTCGGTGTTTCTAATTATATGACCACCACTGCTTGTAGTATGTCTTTTTGGAGACAGACTAAAATGAAAAAGTTCGTTGCGCAAGAGTGTTGCCTGCATGCGAGCAGCTAGTAATTGCAGTCGATACATATTCTATCGACTATCGACTGAATATTGATCACGCTTTTGGAATAAATAGCCGAACTTGATCTATAATGATATATAAGCACTACACCAAGAAAAGTACATTTGTGTATGTGTAAGATTATCTTTACATCTCTCGTTCGCTGTCGGTGAAAGAGCTAAAAAACATTTTAGCTATACCCGATTTAAATACTCGTATAAACTAACTTATACAGGGTTATTCGTAAACCTCGCAGGACTAATTAGGTACTATTATATTAGTAACATCATAAACAACAACTTTTGTTCCGTGTCTTTTTACAAAACATTTTTCGCCCGAATTTATTTTTTTTATAAAAATATAAAAAACAATATATAAAAACACAAATCAAACACATTTTTCAAGTAAAAGTAAAATAAACGTACATGTGACTAAGACATTTTCATTTGTTGTTAAATCTAATTCAGAAATAAAATTAATATAATAAGCCACATCCAGTATAGGCAGCGGCCGAAGTCTGCTAGTACATCTGTGGTTGCCCTTATTAGTTAATAATATATTTTTTGTAAAATGTTTCTCTGTGTTCTTACGTAACTGAATTACTTGTAATTCTTATTGAGAATAAATGTCTTAAGTTACAAATGTTTATCGTCATTTACAGGTTCCTTATCAAGGTACATAGATATGTCTGCTGCAGCTTGACAGTCAACCTGTAACCATGGTGCATGTAACCGCTTTGAAATAGCGGAAGCGGAAAAATAAAAAATACTATAGTAAGAAAGCTGAAGCTAGAAGAGATAAAAACCACGAAAATCTTAAAACCTATAACTGACCTGTTCTTAGGCCTATTAGCTTCGGCCAAATCTCGCTTGAGCCATTCGTACTGGTTCACCAACGGGCCCAGGCCGTAGTTAAGGAAGTAGTACGCTTCGGTGTTGATAGCGACGAAGTGGACCGGGCCAACATCCCAGCTGTAGAACATGCTGGAGAAGGATCCCATGCCCGGCATCGAGAAACGCTCTTTGTAATTACTGAAGTTGCTAGAAAGAAATAGTTAAGAAATGAGCAAACAGGCTAAGATCACTTTAGGTTCCGGGGTACAGTGGGCTGGAGCACATTAGGAACACATTAGGATTATTAGGAAATGAAATGAAATTTATTTGCCTGAAATATGGTTTACAAAAGATGGTACATATAATATATAATAATAGGACAGTCCTCAATTTCACCAATATAATATATTATGGTCATCTATATTTTATAATTTAACAATTTTAAAGCAATTCTAATAGCAGTACAAAGTTATTAACATTTATTAACATACTAAATTATTGGTATGTCATTACGAAATAAAAAAATTAAATTGGTAATTTTTTTTGGTCAAATAAATTTAATTAAATATTAATGTTAATATTTAATTAAATTTATTTGACCTAAATCATAGCAAGCCATTATCATGTCCTGAAGATGTAAACAAAAAACTGTTAATAAATTTTCTTTCTCTTTGGTCAAAACAAATTAAATTAATTTAAATTAAGTAGTCAAGTTTGTTGAATTTTATATGAAAATAAGTCTTTAATGGAGTAGAAATTTTTGTCTCTTAGCCATGACATTAGCTTACGTTTGAACATAGATTATTATTTATCAGTTTTATGTCTGACGGTAAGGCGTTATATATCTTTACACACATAGCCCCGCATTGTTTCTGGTAATAACTTAATTTGCTAGTACTATTATACACTAACTTGTCTTGGTTTCTTACATTTCTACTATGAATATCCCGAGTCTTTTTAAAGAGCCCACTATTGTACATTACAAATTTTGACACTTCAAAAATATACAATATAAAGGTTTACATGATTGTCGTGGTCCTAAACCGCACATTGCCCTTACGCATTTTTTTTGTGCTACAAATAATTTATTCACATCTGTTGAATTCCCCCACACAATCAGCCCACATCGAAGTAAAGAAGCTACGTAGCTATGAAATGCCTCTAAAGTCGTAGATATAGTTGAAGTATTACGTAATCTTCTTAGCACGTATACATAACGATGCAAATTATTTCTTACTGTATCAATGTGAAATTTCCATTCAAACTTATCGTCAATTGTTACACCTAAAAACTTTGTGAGTTTTACTTCTTGTATAATTTGTCCATTGTAGTTAATTTTCAGTTCTAACTTATTGTGTCTGATAGTCCCAAATTGAATGAAGTTTAATTAAATTTTTATTGAATTGATATTCAATTATTTTTTGTGAAATGACTCCACTAGTTTGTTATAATTATTAATACAAAGATCGAACACTCAGAAAAAATTCCTTCGATCCGGTCGGATTCGAACCGACGTCTTCTTGCATACCGTGCCAGACGCTATACCAACTAAGCCACGGAACGAACCAACGGACCTCACGAATTCTTCTATGTGCTTGCGTCGTGTTTTTGTACTTGGTCTTTCATATCAATTCAATAAAAATTTAATTAATACAGTGAATAGCGACATCTCTCGCCAGGACTGGTAGCTGTAAAGGTACTAACTGGGTGATAAATCTGTTAAAGATTTCTCATAGATGGCGCTACGACTAAAAAGTCGTTGAAAGACCAAGTACAAAAACACGACGCAAGCACATAGAAGAATTCATGAGGTCCGTTGGTTCGTTCCGTGGCTTAGTTGGTATAGCGTCTGGCACGGTATGCAAGAAGACGTCGGTTCGAATCCGACCGGATCGAAGGAATTTTTTCTGAGTGTTCGATCTTTGTATTAATAATTATAACAAAATGAATGAAGTTTGTTTTACTAAAGTTCAATGTCAAGTTATTATTGTTGAGCCAATTAACCACTAATGCAATTGTATTATTTATGTCCGATTCGTAGTTAACTTTATATCGTATCGTTATAGAAATGTCATCGGCAAATAATACACATCTGTGTAGTGTTATGTCAGGTAGGTCGTTAATGTAGAGTAGGAATAGAATTGGCCCAAGTACGCTACCTTGGGGCACACCACATGCGTTTACTCGATATAACTATTTATTCGTAACTACGTGAGAATGACTATCTACAGATCTTACTTCCACCGTTTGTCTCCTATTACTTAAATATAAGGTTAACCAGTCAAGTGCTAACCCTCTAATTCCAACATTTTCCAGCTTTTGGAGAAGCAAGCCATGAAAGACGAAATCAAAAAAGCGCGAGTCATGTTATAGGTACACCTTTATTTACATTTTCGACGATTTCCTGCACTAAGAGGAAAACTGCCAACGATGTAGACTTATTTTGCCGAAATCCAAATTGTTCTGACTTTATTATGTTGTTTTTGGAAGCAAAATCCAGCAGTCTTGTTTTCATTGCTTTCTCAAAAATTTTTGAAAGCACAGGAACTAATGTGATGGGACGGTAATTGGTCATGTCAGTTTTCGTGCCCTTTTTATGGAGAGGCTTAACAATTGATATTTTAAGTACTTCGAGAAAAGTACCATTTTCGAACGAAAGATTAACTAAATATGTAAGCGGCGCACTTAGCTCATTAGCACAATATTTTATAACTTTGATAAGATATGTCATCGTACCCTGTTGAGTTTGTATTGCTCAATGACCTCACTATATTCTGTATTTCCGTTGGTTGCACGGGCTGTAAATAAATACTATTTGCCAAATGTGTTTTGTTCGTGTTTTAGTTACTTTTTTTATATGAATTTCTTAAGTTAATTAAATAATTGTTAAATTCGTTCGCTATAGAGGCAGGATCATTTATTTACAATGATTTCTTTTATAAACTGGTCACTATTAAACGCATTAAGTTCTTTTCTAATGATTCCCAAGAAGTTTTTGCTTTGTTTTTTGCGTTTCTCATGAGTTGATAATTGTGCAACTTCAGAGTCAGGTTTAAACTTTTGCGCAGAATTTTGGAGTATGATCTAAATTTTTGTTTTTTAACTTTTCATTTGAAGCTATTATCTGATCTAAATTTACTTGTTTTTTTTTTCAAACAAAAAATAAATATAGGCTATTTAGATCCAAAAAAATACACACATCTGTCATGAGTCTGTTATCGTAAATCAGCTCATTTATGCACTGCGTGTAAAGACTGCTTTTTTTGATAACCTACTGAAGATTTATGAAGAAAAAGACAGTCTCCGCCGCTTGCCGTCTTTCTGCAGAACACAAAGACTTAAGAACCTATAATGCATACATTATTGTCACCGTTCAAGAAATATGAATCAAGTGGTTCACGAAAATACTTGCTATTGTATTTTATATTCAATACTTTTGTTTTGTTGTGCACGTAAGCCCGTTATTTTAGTTATTGTACACTGTACTCAGGTCTGCAGGAATAAACTTATTTTAGAAATAAGCAGAACCTTTTGTGTTTTCCTCTGTTAGATGTGATTTGTGTGTTTTTCCTGTACAACAACAATATAAATATATATTTTTTCAGGCCTGGATTAACTGGTTTATTCCGATGCCGCAAAACCAATAATAAAAAAATCACAAGTGAGAGGAATAGTAGTTGTGTGACTGTCACATAATGAAAAGCATTAAAATACGTGGGTTTATGTGTGGGTTTATGTGGGTATAAAGAGATCACACGAGTGTTTTAATGCCTAATTATGTACAGTTACATACACTGCTTTATCTACACACATATTATAAGCTCTCTATGATGTGTTCAGGAACCGCATGTTATGACTGGCGAAATGACGGCAAATAAAAACTTTATCACGCATGTCACACAACCGTAGTTTTTATTTAATTCATAGATTTACTAGAGTCGGCTGCAAGTACCATATTGTTTGATATCAAGTAGCGTGTGAAATTTGTGAAAATTGTTTGCTATTGACATTTCATTTCGAAAAAACCTTCATTTCTTGTACAGATAGAGTTCTTGACATTTGTGACTTAGGAGTAACATTAAATAGTAAGTTAACCTTACATAATCATGTGACAGCAACCTGCAAACAGGCAAGTAAGTAAGCGTGTTGGCTATTTAGCTGTAAGTTTACAATGTAAATGAATGAATGAATAAATAAATTAAAAAATCTCGACTGATATTGGAATTGAGGTCGAATCAAATTGTTTTGCTTTTCAGAGATGTTCGAAATTTGAATGTAATAATAAAATCGAATTTTATGTTATTATGAAGCAATAATAACATTTTCACAGCTAAAAAAATTTGTTCTAACAAAACAGTTTATGCTGGTCGTAATTTGCAGTTTTTGAACACATCATAGAGGGTTTATGATATGTGTGTAGACAAACAAAATTAATGTTTAAATACAAGGAAAACCAGACACAAGTAAATTTATTAATTTTAATACGACCTACTCATTCGTAAAGCTTTGTAATTCTTTATTCTCGAGAAAGTCAAAGGACAATGACCGGTACTATATAGAGGCATGCCCTAATTTTAAACTGGCATGTCCATAAGCTACACATGTCGCATTTTAAAGTAAATAAGACCTAGCTTATTAATCTATTCCTCGATTTTCATTTAAAGCAGCTGATTTTTATATTTATAATAAAAAATCTAAATTCCTAACCTATAACTGTCCAATAAATCTTAAAGAATAACATTCCATATAAGTATGGGAAAAAAATACCCAGCTGCGCGTCAGCATTCAACTACGCTTCAGTAGGGAAGCTCTTACGCCTAGTTGTGGTCACTTCGTTTTTCTTAAAAACACGGTTTATTGCAACTCACACATCTGGCAACACTGAACACGTTCTGTCACCGGACGCAATCTGTCACCTTTCGTCGCCAGTTATTAATGGCTGAACCGGAAATGCAACAGCTTTATTTTTTCATTCAAAATAAACTGCTGCTGTGATGGGTTTTTTTAATTAATGCAGGGTACGGTAAAAAATATGAATATGCTGGACATGCTAAGTAAGATGAGGGCAGTAGTATTTATCATCCTTCAAGAGTTGAATAAAAACGTCAACAAATACATACTGGTTCTCCTCGTGGTTGCCAGGGCAGGTCATGTAGGGTACGATGGCTGCGAGTGGCTGTATCTGTCTCATAAACTGGTCTCCAACCCTGGACTGCTGCTCGTACATGTCGTACGCAAAGTCGCCAACATGGAGGATCAGGTCGAAATTGTCACGCTCCGCTTCGTCTTGCAGATAAGGCAGGGACTATAAAGTTTAAACTCTTGAAAAGCGATATACTCATAACATTACACTTATTGAAACATTGTAAGGTACAGGTTTAATAACAAATATTGATGCGAAAACAAATGTATAGGTTTACGTGTTGCGTATTTGAAATGTCGCAGCAGTAACACCATTGTGTAAAGACACGGAGAAACTCCTTCAGTATTGCTCGCACACGTTACATTACGGATAAGAGAGCTAGTGTTCACGAATTATGTACTACATGATGATGTCATCGTTGTCCGCTCATCACTGCCTTATTTGCTTATCGCCCTCCACTGCGCCCGGCGTGGACTCCGTTTGACTCGCAACAGTATACTCCATAGCAGAGCTTCCATTGCAAACGAGTGAGCGAAGCGGACTGAGCGAATTGAAAGAGTTACAAAAGAGGTCGCAGAGTTGAGCAGGCTTCCAGCGGAGTCCGTATGGAGCCCGTTGATTTGCAACAGTAAATTCCCTAGAAGTGCTTCCACCGCTAACGAGTGAGCGAAGCGGACTCTGCGAGTTATGATGGGTCCGCTGTGCCATTGTGTTGCACGCTAGTTTCGAACGGATTCCGCAAATCAATAATCAAAAATCAATAAAAGATACAGGGACTTAACGTGATCAGAAGCGACTTGTGATATTTTAAGACACCTTTCTTACAATACAATTCACCTAATTTATTCAGAGATGAATTATAAATAAGTAAGAGGGTTAATTAGGGTGCAGAAAATGGGATGAAATAAAATTTCGCGTTAACTATATTTTAAAACATTGATACTGAGTTTTTTACACTAAACAAAAACTCGGTGCGGGTCTTGGCGTCTTCCCTTTCAGTGCCGAAGCGGCTACGAGCGGGTCGATCCACACGACGAAATCGCAAACAGACGCTAGACGCTAGACTAGGTACGGGCGGACTGAACACAAAGAGCTTATAGCAAGGCAAACAACTGGCTCATCTGACCCATTTCATTTCCTGCCCAGCTCACTCCGATTAGCCGCTGGTTATGGAAGGCAATGCAAATATCTATTTTCAGTGAACTCTTTCCTAGTGGAAGGACAAATCTATTTTACTCCACTTCGCTCAGCTATGTCCCGCTTAATATCCTTTCGCAATAAAAGGTTGAGAACAATTAGGGTGAGACCGGACGAGCGTAATTCTGTGAGGTGCTTTTTTTCAGTCTTGTAAGTTACTTTCGATTGAATTTCGCTTGGGGCGCCAGACGAACGTGTTTTAATCAGTTGCTTTTAAGCGTTTGTCCGCGGTGATTGTCATACACTGCTAAGGTTCCATTTTAAAAATAGTGTGCATTTTTTTAAAGACTTGGATGATATTAGATTGAGTAAAAGAGCATAAAGCATAATGATTTGACCTACCGCCTCTCAAGCAGAGGCCGAGTGTTCAAATTAGGGCTCACGTCTCTGAGTTTCTCGGAACTTTTGTGCGAAATTTAATTTGAAATTTATCATGAGTTTTTCGGTGAAGGAAAACATCGTGATGAAACCTGCATGTCGGAGGTTCACAACTCTCTGAAAATATATCTTGAAAACATGTCATGTCGTGTCAAACACACCGTCAATCTAGATTTCCATCAAACACGTACATATTTGACAAACGCATCAAACACGACCGCAGACACTCAAAAAGTTCGACAAAAACGTAAAGATTGACAAATTATTTGATTGTTTACGGGACGCTATATTACAGTGATTCCCTAAAATACATGTTTTTGTGAATTACAACTTTAAAATATGTACAGTTATTGAAAAACAAAAAAAAAACTTACATGTGCGTTGTCAGTACCCATATCTCCATAGATCGCAGCGCGCACCACCCAGTTCTCGCCCTGTGGAGGCGTCTTGAAAGTGAACCTTTCCGACCAGCCGTACTGAGATCCGCAGTGATATGCTACCACAAAAAATATAAAAACCGACCACGTGTAAATAAATACCAACTATGCAATCATCTGTTGTAGTTTTCTAGTATTGTATGGTTGATTTAACAACGCATGTTACAAATCAATCGTGATTTTACACACACAAACAAACTAATGGAGTACTTTATATCAATTCTCATGTTTATTTTTAATGTGGTTCCAAAGAGTGAAATGAATAAGTGAATCACTTATTTAATAAGTGTATTATTCTACCATGATATTAATACATTTGTAAAAATATTCCACTAGTTTGTTTCAAAGATCGAACACAAAAAAATTCTTCGATCTGACTGGACTCGAACCGAGCCGAGATACCGAGTTAACAGATCTTACGAATTTCTCTATGTGCTTGTTGCAGATCTTTGTACTAGATTTAAACGGTTTTTTTGGCGTCAGAGCCACCTTAAGGTAAAAGTGGTGGCCACGAAGTGACAACAAAGGCTGGCTCGAGTCCTGCCAGATCGAAGGAATTATTTCTTTGTGTTGTTCGATTTGCATCAATAATAACAAGTAGATTATTATACATATAATTAAGGCGGTCTCGCCGCTGCTTACTCACTGTACTTAGTATTGAAAAGTAAGTCCTTCAACAGCACTCGATGTATCCATTGACCGCGCCCATCTTTGAACTGTGTGTTCCATCCTCGGGCTTCCTTGTCCATGGTCAACGCCCCATATTGCACCCTGCTCTCCCCCGTATCGTTGAATGTTGTCCATGTCACCAATATATCGTTGGTTTTCTCTATAAAATACAAATACAATACACTCGGGTAAATGAGTGACTGTTTAAATCAGCATTTCCCAAAGTGGGCGATAACGCCCCCTTGTGGACGCTGCAGGCCTAAAGGGGGGTGGTAAGAGACCCAGAAAAAAATGGGGGCGTTGTGTAGAGGCTTAGGAGGAGATTTGTAATTTCATTTAGGAAAACTCTTAAGACACCGACTGAGCTTTCGACCCTCGACTACAACTTGTGAACGTCAACTAATATTAATTAAGAGATTGCTCAAACTAATTCGGTTCGATATTTCTCTCCGTGAAGTTTATATATCTGTCCTGTTTTATTGAATAAATAAAATAAAAATCATGTCAATCGGTCGCTCCGTTTCGGAATGAAAGTAGACACAAACAAACAAATAAAAAGGCAACAGACACAGTTTCGCATTTCAATAGTTATTAGTATTCCTAGATAGGTAATTTTCGTAGATAATAGACCGCGGGCAATCATGTTTTAAGAAGTTTTTGTTAAATAACCCGATTTGTGCATTCCTGTATTAATCGGCTGGTTCATAGAATACTTGTTCTTACTTGTTGAGTACGATTTAGCGTCGAATGAGATAAACGAGTTTACGCAAGTTTGTCTTATTCCTGTCGGTGCGTGCTGCTTATGCAATTCTATATAAACAACGTAATAATTATTTTATTTTCATTTGCGGTTTCGCGCGTAATAGATAAGCAGTACTTAAGTTCAACACTTCCTTACGTATTTCTCAAAACAAAACAATGTCGGAAGTAAAAAAGAAGAGACGGCAACACTGTGCGGAATATATTAAATTCGGATTCATTGATAAATCCCTCAAACCCATCGTCGCCATTGTGCCTTCTATGTCTAAAAACATTTTCGAATGAAGCATTGAAGCTTTCAAGACTGCAAGATCATTTGAATAAAATACATCCAGGTAAGAAAGACAAGAATGTAGCATATTTTCAAGACCTAGAGAACAAGCATAATACTCAGCCAAGTGTAGCAAAACTCTTTTTGGCGGCTGCTAAGCAAAATCACGGCGGACTTCGAGCTTCGTACAATATCACTTTGTTAATTGCTCAAAAAGGCAACCCACACAACATCGGAGAAGAGTTAATTTTGCCAGCAATAAAGGAAGTTATCCGAAAAATTCCTTCGAGTAATAATTCTGTGCAAAGACGAATTGATGAAATGGCTGAAAACATTGAAGAATCATTGTGCAATCATCAGAGGACTAGTCAATTCTCAAATCAACTCGATGAGTCCACTTTGCCAACTAATGAAGCATTGTTGCTGTCTTACGCGAGGTTTATTAAAGATGAGAAAATACGTGAAGAAATTTGTAGAAATTTAGAGACCGATACAATAGACGAAACCATATTCAATATATTGGAAACGTTTTGTGATGAGAAAGAAATTCCCTTGAAAAATATTATATCAGTTGCTATAGATGGCGCTCCGGCTACGACAGGGTGGCATAAAGGCTACATAGCGTACTTAAAAAATGAAATTTCAGATGTCCTTGCTGTACATTGCGTTATTCACAGACAACATTTGGTTGCTAGAAATTTAAGTGAACGACTATTTCAATCACTGCAATATGTCATCAAAGCATTCAATAAAATCCGTAACAGCTCTTTGAATAATCTCACTACACCAACTCACGAAAATAATGTATTTTCAACAAATATTTAATACCCCAGTTTCATGGCAAAAGTGCTCTTTATGAAAGAGATCGTCCAGGGAAGTACTGCCACAATATGTCTGTCGCCAAGCAGTAGCGTGACCATTAATTACTACGTTCTGGTTTTGATGGGTAACGGTGTTGGTGGAACTACAGGTACACGATACTTGCCGAATTTATGTATTAGGGTGGCGGGCGCAGTGGCAGTGCCCTTCAGGTCTTTCCATGTACAGGCTGTTCCGTAACAAATCACGAGTCACTGTTGAGCACGGTTCCCTTTTGAGTAAAATCTTAACCTGGATCCGTCATAGAAGCTATTCTAGATCATTAAGTGATATTGTAAATAAATAAATAAACGTCCCCTCAAAACACCAATAAAATTTCGCAAATTGCAAAACTTTCCTTCCTATTCAATCATATTGATTGAGATTCCCCGCAATGACTTACTATTGGTTTTCCGTGTACCTCTGGCAACAACCTTGGGCGAGTACCTTACGCGGGTTGGCAAATTCTTTCGCCACGATGGCAAACATGTTCAACACTTCAGCATGGCAGATAATAGCTACGCTGCCTAATTGTTAATCTATCTATACGATAAGAAGAAAATCATATTGACTTTCAATTTACTGACCAATGACATATCAATATTTGTTTACATCGATAGATCTGTAAAAATATTTGTTCCACTAGTAAATATGTTTGGGTGAGAGGTTCGATATTACCCGCTACACAAATGTTTACTAAAACTTATTTTTGAAATATAATGTACATAGGCATAATGTTAGCATGCTATGGATATTCTTACGATGATGATATATGTATAAAAATATTAGCATATCTATTATGATATTCATCAATACAAAGATAGAACACTTAGAAAAAATTCCTTCGATCCGCCTGGATTGAAACCAACATCTTGCAGCAAACTGTGCCAAATGCTTTGCCAACTGCGCCACGGAACGAACTAGCGGACCTTAGGAATATTTCTAGTACGCTATTATATTATGATACAATGAGATGAGATGATATGAGTAATGAGATTATTTCATCAGCTTTGTGTTCCTAATGACGAAGATTTCAACCGTTTGTTGTTTCATACTGAAGTTGGTTGGCTATCAAGAAGCAATTGTCTGACTCGATTTTACAACCTGTTTGACTTTGTGATAGAGTTCTTGGAAACTAAAGATACAGAATTGCGCAACAAGCTCATTACATCAAAGAATGATATAGCTTACATGACTGCATAAATTGTTCAACGACATGAATCTCCAACTGCAAGGCGATGAACTAAATTTAATTAAAACAAAAAATGTCGTTGCTGCTTTCGCAGCTAAACTGCTTCTACACAAAAAGAATATGGGCAGACGTGAGTTCCACAATTTCCCAAATTTATCAGTATCCTGCGATGACGACGACGACGACTTGTTTGCCTACTGCCAACATTTGGAAAACCTCCACATTGACTTCACCGAACTATACCAGGACATTTTGAACTTAGAAATACCAGACTGGGTGTTGGATCCGTTTTCAAATGTCAACACAGCAATATCACCTCAGCTGGATGAAGAACTTATAGAATTGACAACGAACGAGGAAATAAAAATCAAGTTCAAAAATGGCTACCAAGAATTTTGGCTACAAAAACCGGTCCCGCAATTGTACCCTGGATTGTGGTCAACCGTTCAACGATCCTTGATAGCATTCCCATCGTCATATTTGTGTGAACGTGGTTTTAGTGCTGTGACAACGCTGCTTACTAATAATCTCAGTACAGAGTACTAAAAAACCGACCCTCAAAAGTACGTGGAATTACGTCTATTTGCTAAGTTTTATTAAACTAGGGGACTAGTTCGCCACTATATAGGACTTGACGCTGGAGATAATAAAAATAGGTTCTCACTACGACACTACTCAAAGTATATTAGGATATAGGAAGAAATAGCAAAATCAACCATTAAAGCAATTGCTCCTAAATTAAAGTTAGGCGCTATTTATAAAAGTGAATCTTCAGACGTGAACAGCCACCCTTCGAGGTGGATGATTTTCTTCAAAATGAAATGCGACCACTATGGAAGTACCCCCTTTCCAACAAAAAAAAAGAATCATGAAAATCGGTTCACAAATACCGGAGTTATCGCGTAACATACATACAAAAAAAATAAAAAAATAGAACACAGTCGAATTGAGAACTTCCTCCTTTTTTGAAGTCGGTTAAAAAGAGAAATCGTTTGCATGTTACCGAACGTGGTGAATTGCCGATTTGCATAAACATAAAAATCCTCCATTTTGCCAACAAACTCCCGACCGTATTTCCTAACTACAAATTTATTAACTGCCCACCAAATGTACGGCCAACCCAGGAAAGCATGCATCGACAACCACGCAACTGAAGCTGCCACATGCAGTTGAAGTGTAACTACATGCAGTTGAACGTGTTAACTGCTGACACGCAGTTATCTGATAACAGCCTGACATACACCACATACATGCACATGCTAAATTCTTACACCATACACATGTCAAAAGGACAGCCTGTGAGCGCGCTACAAGCAAATGATGTTTGATCATATTTTAGATGTTAACCAATAATCTATCTAATAACTGCCTCCGAAGCCGAACGGTTACCATGCCAGACCGCCACGCAGAGGTCCCAGGTTCGATTCCCGGGCCGGGAGAAATATTTGTATGGCCTACATTTATTTCTCTCGTGAGTTTGGGCGTAATTTATGGTTGCTATGTGTGTGTCCATGATTGTCCATGGCACCCGCGACACAGGGTTTCCCTAGTGCTAGGGTTTCCCTAGGGCTATGTTGAGTGAGTGTGCGTTATTATTATCGTCAATGGCATTCAACGGAGACAATATAAAAACTAATATGAAGAATCGACGTTAATAGTTTTCAGTTAAATAACATAGGTTTAAAATTAGTCCTTCATAAAAAGTTATACATTTTCAATGCATTTTCACAACAATGGATATAAAATTTAAAAAAAGAATCTCCTGTTATTAGAATTTTTTTTTTAGATTTTGAGAAACCAGTAAAAAGTTGTACAAACACATTTACTATATTATTCGAATGAACATTAAACTACGGAATTCCTAACGGACTAGTTACACAACCTGGCAAATGTCTCTGAAAAACATAACTCTTTTTTTGACGCCAACATATGTATTTGGATAAAAGTTTCTTGATCCCAAAAGGTTAAAAGTTATCAACAACAAAATAAACCGTGTGCGTGTGTGTGCCTATACGTGACTAATGTATAACATGTTTATAGTCACAGCAGTCAGTATAAACAACACAAGCTTATTTTGCTACTCTAGCCTAAACAATTGGCCCATGCTTCTTCCATACTGGCAATAAAAGTTTTATACGACAACTATGTTTTTTTTACTAAAAACCAACCAACCAACATAAACATATTTATATACTATATTCATAGCTTCGAAAACGGAAACTTGAGTGTTGCATAAAAATGGAACTTAAATAAATGGAAGGTCAAAACTCATTATCATTATTATGAACTTCGTGTAAACATAATGTAGATAACCATTATCTGTGTTGCATCCGCAATTCTTATAGTTGCAAAGTGATGATAATGAATTAATCCTATTAAAATATAGTAAAAACAAGTTATTTGCATTTATATAGGTACAGATTGTAATATAAAAGTGACAAATTCCAGCTACATACTGCAGAACACTACACAGAGTCATTTTTTAAACAGTAACTGCCTCGACTATATTACATCATAAACAATAACCTTTGTTTCATGAAAATACAGCAGTGTTTCTTCAAAAGTCTGGTCACATATGTCACTTTTTATTTTAGATCCAACTTAAAAATAAAAAATTAGTTGACAGTCCTTTGCAATCATTTGTTTTAATTTCCTATTAATACAAGTTTCTCAAGTGGTGCGTGGTTGGCTTTGCATTTTCATATATTTTTCTAACATTACAAAGTTTTTTTATTTGCTCAAATTTTCAGCATTTTCTACTTTGTTGCAAAATCTAAAATGCATTTTGTTAAATTTTGATTATTTGGATAAAGGTTGAGTAAGGCTAGTTTAGCCTTTACCTTTAGTAAACATGCAGACACTGACAAATATGATCGTCTACACATGTAAGCCAAATAAGGAGTTTATGAATATGACCATAGTGTGGATGGTTTATTTGCGTACTTGTCTATTTTATGTGTTTAGGTGTGCGTCGAGAAACCTACCAGCGCGCGGTAAAGCGATTTTGTTTTTTCTGTATTTGTCGCATAGGCAAACAAGGCAAATACTTTATCACACATGCTATCTGCACATAGTGATAGTTTGACAAATACATCAAATTGTCGGCTTATTGCAAGTCATTAATTGCAATATAATTTATGCGGCAATTAATGACTTCTTGCAATAAGCCGACGAAATACACAAATACAAATAGTCATGTAAAGTTCCATTATTTTAGGCAACTTAGCACATTCAAAACTGATCACGATCTTACACAGCATGTATTTAGGGTAGAATTTGCTATGAACTAGCAAAATGTTTCAATACTGGTAGGTACCTGAAAAGGACAGTCGTAAATCCTATCATATCACACACTCACAGTATATTGGTTGGTTACCTCTTTCCCTTACAGGGGGTCTACTCTCGATCTCCGTCCGACATCCGTCCGAAACAATTAATGTCAAATAAGTAATATTCAACAAAATTAAAAAAACAAGTATCCAGTATGAAGCTTGCAAGCAAGTATTGCTTATTTGGCAGTAATTGTTTCGGACGGATGTCGGACGGAGATCGAGAGTAAACCCCCCTGACCCAAAAATTATATTAGATGGACTTGTAAGTGTATATTCGAATGAAAACTAAAGACAATAATACAATAGAACTAAAGGTACACACTTAGGCATTGTTCGTTACCAGACACTGTTATTAACAGGAAAATATAACAATTACCATTTCCTTTTCTGTTATTAAAACTGATGCTCATAATAATTATGTTTTTAATAATTATTTCGTACGTAACAAAGTATACGTAAGTAAATTAGCAAAATAGGTTCAATTAAACATCAACTGTTTAATTGAATAAAACATTTATAATTATTGGACATTGATACACATCGAGTTCTCAGGTTATCGCGATTGTTACACATAGGAAATGAAACAATTTTTCCAGATTTACATCGCGTAATGTATTTCGTTTTTTCAAACAAACCAACGGTTTGTTTCTGGCCCTATACAGGTCCCATGGACACGGTTGACAGAGTCAAAATATACGCAATTTAAATGCGGAAAAATAGTTTCATTTTCCATTGATACACTTTTATCATAATTATTTTAAAATCACGCACCATTCATCATTCAGCACGTACCATTGACCGCGTATATTTTTCTAGTACTTTGGTACTGTTTTAAAGTGCTTTTCCACCGGCGAGGCGAGACGAGACGAGACGAGGCGAGGCGAGAATTGAAATCTCGCCGACCTATTTCCACCAAAAATTGCCATCGCGATCAAGCGCGATCATGCGCGGCCTCGCGCGAGCAATCGCGAGCTCGCGACAGGGTTATGGATGGTGAAGACACAGTTCTGTTCAATTCGTCTAGCGATAAACACGCGGTTAAATTACCATGTTCCGCAAATTCTTATTATTAAATATGTTAACGAAAGAAGAATCAGATGAAGATACTGTAAGAAGAAATAATCATGTTGTAATATAAGCTGTTTATACACTCTAATAAATATATAAATAAATAAAAATAACTTTTTCGAAAATAACTTTTTTATAGTTAACTTTTATCCCAGGGCAAAATTAACAAAATACACAAAAAAGTTTACAACTGGCGCTGGTATGTTTACATTATATTGCAACTACATTGTGTATATATATTTTTTAAAACGATGCTATGTTTTAAAAGTGGTTACATAATTATGATAAAATCACAATCCTAATCGTGTACATTTCAATGCAATTATAAATATATATAATATGCATTGTATAAATATTTACGAAAATGATATGGATACATGTATGACACCAGGAGTATAATATTTTTCATGAACTCAGTTTGTTCATTTTTGTCTGAAATAAAAGTATACCGTGTTTAAATGGTGTCGTGATTACATATATTAATTTATTTATATATTTACACATTTTGAAAACAGCACAAGGTACAATTTTTTTAATATCTAATATTTACATAATTTGGAAAATGTGTGAACATTTACATTTCAATGCATGCGACAGTATCCCACAATTTCGCGATTAACATTAATAACCATCGCGAGCACGCGCGATATAGTACGGGACATCGTGAATCGTGTTTCGGTTGTAGCGTTAATAGAGTCTTTGCCGGCAGCAATACGGTTCAATGTAACATCAACAAATATTTCAAATCTCGTCTAGCCTATCCTCGTCAATCCCGACCATTTCCACCGAAGATGCGTTAGGAGAATTGATATTTTGCCACACAAGTTTTAAAAGTCGTCTCGCCTCGTCTCGTCGCGTATCGCCGGTGGAAATACACCCTTAATGGTCCATCCACACATATCCTGGCTATGCCCGGGACGTGGACGGGCCGTGCTCTGTCAGGGGTTAAAAAAATACCGTTGCGTATATTTTGTATGCCCTCGTTCACACATATCCGTGTCCGGGCCGGGGCCGGGACGGACCCACAGTTCATACAAACTAGCACGTCCCGGCCACGTCCCGGGCACAGCCCTGATATATGTGGATAGTCCTTAAAGCTGTTTTGAAGGAGGTTATAGTAGGTATAAATTGAAAACTTACCTCCAAAAGCTATATGTATCTGCTCCGGTTGGCAGTACGAACAATTGTACACCGGTCCCGGCTCACGTACTGTCCTTATAGACGCTTTTACTGCCCCTAAGCTTAATAAAATTAAAAACAAATACATATCAGTTTGATTTGAGCAATAAAAAATAAAACGTATAAAAAACAGAGCCGCCGCAGCGTACGTCTATCCTCAACCACAATCGTTTGAGAATTGATGACTATATTACTATTGTTTACAAAAAACTTCAAAAACGAGTAATTTCTGTAGATGACACAAACCATGGACAAAATAAAAAAGCAATCGACCAGACCACAAACTTCACAGAATCGACATTTGACATAAGCAGTGTTGCCAGGTCAAATCTGAAAAGTCGGAAGATATTGAAAGCAAAAAACAGTAGATTGATGAAAAAAAAAACAGTAGATGCTAAATTTACCTTCGAACACTTTTAATTAACTTTCTTAAGACATTGACCTTACGACTTACAACTAACAAGAACTATCTTGTAAAAAACAAGTCCACGACGAAATAAGTAAAATTAGAAAATAAAATGATGAAATCTCAGATTACAAAACAATAGGCAGATGGTGCATACGTCACAAACGAAGTGAAGCCACTTTTCATTTATTGTGTGCGTGACAACTAGGAGGGGCACTGAAGGGACATGCGCATTTGTGTGCGTGTAAGGTTGTCAGATTCTGCGAAAAAACTCCCGTGTCTTTTTCTGTTGCTTTCTATAATACTGTTACATACTGGAAATCAATCAATCAAAGAAAAAAAGTTAATACTTAAATGTTATTACTTGATTTACATCACACAAAGGAAAGAATATTTTATTAAGATATTTTAAATTGGAAAACTTTGATAGGTCAAAATATGTATTACAATCACAGTTACTCAATATCCTAATAACCTTTACTTTGTACACAATTTTTATAATACTACCGTTTCGCGTCTACACATTGAACATTCGTTTCTAATTTTGATATGTAGCGCATCTCACCATCAAATAGTTTTCTATTAAAATTTTTATTGAATTAACTTTCTGATCAATTCCATAGCATTGATGATTGTGTTCTAATTTGACAAAAATTGTTTGTTTCCCAACGAAACTCACGAGGTCATGTGCATACATTATAATCATTTTTTTATTTTATTGACGTTTTCTTACAAAATCACTCTGTTTGTGTGTGTCTTGAGCACATAACAATGAAAGTTCTCTGTGTCTATAGGGTTAAAATTTTAACTGTTTTTGAACATTTTCTTTTACATAGTCACATTATGGCGATTAGAGATTGGTTTGAGAATAATTTAGTTCTGAGTTACCTCAAAAACAATTTTGGATTGCTGTAATTCGACCATTCTGTGTGTATATGCATTCATTATTTAATTTCTATACAAAAGTATAAATTATTCGATACTCCTATAATATTTACATAATTTGAAATGAAACTTATTTCGCCATAAACTGGCAACATAACACGAATTTATGTCGAGGTTTTGTGTTCCGAATGAATCTCAAAAAATGTGGGATAAACAAATTATAGAATAGTTAAATTAACAATAGTTCCCTGTGAATAGATATTCCATCCATCCATTTTTGTTTTTGGACACAACTTTGACAATGTTTAACAAAAGTCGGCATTTTTAAACATAAAATAACTAATCACTCGTGACGTGCAAACAGTGCGACGCTGAGCTTAGTGCTGACGCGAGTTTGTATTGTATTCGCTTTTGAATTTGTATTTGCTTTGTATCTGCCTGTGTTTTGTAATCTGAGATTGAAATTAGTAAAAGTGTTAGAATTATTAGAAGTGAGAAACATAGCTCATGCACATATTGGTTAATCACCGTCTGAGTCCTTGTGGTACATTGAATTATGAAATTTGGTCAGACATCTGTTTAAGGCATGATTTTAACAGTCGATTTTCGATAATTATCAGCATAATAGTAGATGTCGGCCCAGAAAAGTAGACCTACTGATAAATCAGTAGATCTGACAACCAGCGTTGCCAATTGTTCAAACTCCCCAAAAATCAAAGCAGAATGTAACATGTAAAACTAATTATAAAATTAGATGCCGTTTATTTATTTTAATTAGATTCAACATTAATCAGTCTTGGGAAAAAAAACATTTTTCTTTGCCTTACAAAATTAGGTAAATTGATTATTTGTTGTGCATTTGATGACACTATGTTAATATTAGAAATAATCAATCACTTTCGTCGACCTATTTTTAATATTTAAAGTTGACGAGTGGTAAATTGTGGTGTGGAAGTACCAACTGCTCGGCTTTGTTTATCAATAGCTGATTTCGTTTTGCTTCATACCGGGGATCGGCCTAAGCGACAGAAAGAGTCGCGAACTCAACACGCACCAACTGGTAATTTCACAATTCAGAACCAAATGCTCTGATAATAATTCCATTTAAGCTGCTTGTTAAATTAATAATAAAAAATTAAATTATAAAAGTTGTTAATTACGAGGGATGAGCGATGTTGAAAAACACGTCGATATAGTCCATCACAGTGTTTCTAACAGTAACGATCAAACTAGCGATGCATCAGCAATTGATAACAAAATGTTAGAATCCCCACATTTTCCCCACATAGCGCTAATCCCCACAAAATCCCCAATTTAGTTGAAATTCCCCGCAATTTGGGGAATTCCCCACAAATTGGCAACGCTGCTGACAACACGGGACATAATCCTTACGACCTAAACTACCTACCGACCTATTTCCTTTATTTTTTCCATCCTCTAAGCCTATACAACACAGAAATTATTAAGCTTTGATACCACAAATTAGAGCTCCAGACCGTGGAAGGGAGATTGCAGATCAGTGTTGCCAGGTCAAATCTGGAAAAAAACGGAAGATATTGCACCGAAAAAACAGTAGATTGAGGAAAAAACAGTAGATGCCGAACTTACGTTGTTTGAAACACTTTTAATTGATTTTCTTTAAACATTGTCACGTAATGTTTATGATGTTATCTTACGATGTTGGTATCTGACAATAAAAATTGTATTTTAATCGACTTAAAAGGAGGTTCTCAATATATCTGTATGTTTTTTGTATGTTTACGCGATAACTAAACATGACGCGTCGCGACGCTTCGACTCTGCGCCATTGTGAGTCGAGCCTAATGGTAGTAGGTCAAACTACCTCTCAAGCAGAGGGTCGTGGGTTCGAATTCAGACTCGCACCTCTGAGTTTCTAGGAATTTGTGCGAAATTTAATTTGAAATTTATCATCAGCTTTTCGGTGAAGGAAAACATCGTGATGAAACGTTGAAGAAGGTTTTAAGTCTTCGGAAAACGTGTGCAGTCCCCAACCCTCATTGGGCCAGTGTGGTGGACTGTCGCCTAAGCACTCGCCTGAGAGGAGACCCGTGCCCAGCAGTGGGACGTATAAATGGGTTCATGGTAATGATGAAATCTGCCGAGTCTAAGGAGGGAGAATCCGCCAGACCACATTTAGCTTGGTTGAATTTTAGTAACCAAATAAAACAATTATGACAAATTATTACTTTTTTACTGGCGTCTGTATAATGTACGTCTTCATATTCGTGTAATAGCCAGGGTTTGAATGGCGGCACCATTACATCCGGGTTCATGGCTTCATATTTGGTCGAAAAACAATCGCAGCAAATTTCTGACATTGTTATGTTCCGTGTATTATAACTTGGTAAAGAATAAAAAATTGATTTTAGTAAGTGGTAAACGGTTCAAAAATAAGACGAGTAGATAGACGTGTTTGCTACCGCGGTTGGGCGGGGAGTGACCGTGGTACGAAACAAAATGAGAAAGCGAAGGAAGATGGAACAATTGAAATTTTTAAATTTAAGTATGAGTAGAAGAAAAAAACGATACGTTACGAATGGCCAGAAACGATACAAAAAGGTGGGATGGCGATGTAAGGAGGTCACATCGTCACATACTTAAAACCAACTGACAAATATTTATTTGAAATCAGTTAATCCACATGTAAGGTAGCAAAATAACAAGCGTTGGAAAAAGAATACTGCAAAAGTATTGAAAAGTAAAAAAATACAATATTTAAAGTGACCCATAAATTGGGGAAAAGATAGTGGCAAAAGCACGGTATCCCTAAAATCAGCTAAAGCCTGTCTAATTTAATTTATACGTTATTTATTTGATCTCTTTTTCTCGCGTATCATAACCACTGCTGGTAGAAGCGAGATGGACATATTTGACAAAAGTAAATATTCTCTTTATTTTAGGAGGCTTATACGATGCAAGCAAAAAGTTTAATCAGGAAAAACACTTTAAATATCATCTAAAATACAAGAAATCGTAATATTCCAGGCTTGTAAGAGTATTTCACTAGTAATTCATACAAGAAAATTCATTGATGAAAAATTAAAACTTACGTGTGAAACGTTAGGTTGGGAATTTTTCGTTCCGTATTATACGCTTATACGGTTTTTCTTATTTACAGAGCCCCTCTACCCAATTCTCCCTCTACTATCATAGATGATTCTTCCCTGCATTTTCTAGACTCGTGATTCACAAATATCAAATATCATAAATAATAGCCGAAATACCAAAAAAAAAATGAAAGGACGATTCTACGATCTGACCACATTGTAAAGTTTTGCAAAAACTCCGACAAATGTTCAATATGTTCCGAGAGGTACAAAATATAAAAAGCAAAGAATAGTTGTGAAAAGTGAAAAATTTGAAAACTCCTAAAATAACAGTACAACAGTAGATGTAGTCCAAAAACAGTAGATCTACTGGAAAAACAGTAGACCTGGCAACACTGTCATAGTCATAGACACGTTACATATTTTTCTTTTTCTTTCTTTCTTGGCTTTTCGCGGTTAGCGCTTACAAAGTGTTTTGACTTGTTTTTAAAACGGGGAAAGTTATTAAAGTCTTAGATGATGGAAAAAATTACAATAATGAAATTTTGAAACGCGATACATCTTATTCTATGGAAACCGCCTTTATTTATTCCTTTCTTTATTTTTTCCATAGTATAAGAGATACATACATGGTTTTCATAGTCTAAGCTCGAAGCATAGATTATATATATATATATATATATATATCCATCCTCTAAATCTTTACTGCACAATACGAAGACTTATGAACTTATGTATATATTGAAGGGTCGTATTCTAGAACTCTACTCAATGCTCAAGTCAGGATTTGAGTATGGTTTAAAGCACTCGAAATCATACTCAAGTACCTGCCATTACGGTCGTATTTCCAGTGCTTGTGTTTCCATTGCAATCCTGACTTGAGCATTGAGTAGAGTTCTAGAATACGACCCTAAGTCTGAAAGTTTTAAAAAAAGGTTTGTTTAGGTACCACCTAATATTCTTTGTTTGTGACGTGTTTGCGACCATTGACCTACTATGTGTAACAAGGAGTGGGTTAATAGCTGCAAACCAATCTACTAAGAAAATATTTTTTTAAAACATGAATGCATCACTATACTTTTTATAAGTGCCTCTTGTCCATCCGCAGAATATATGAAATAAAAGTTCCTTGACGTTACTCCGAAATAATTAAATTTATTTCAGTCAATTTCATTCAGCTTATTTCAATACAAATTTACAGCTAAAATGGCGTAAAAAAATAAACTTATTAACATTATATCATTAATTAATTACTTTAATATTAACAATTACATATCACAAACTAGCAAAAACCAATTTGTACTTGAGGTGAACAACGAACAGCAAACAATAACATCATAGATATTATGCATAATATTTTCTAAATAACATTAATAATTTGGATGCTTGTCATCATTCACTATAATTATAAAGATAGTCCTGTGCTTATTAATTATGTTAAAACTTACTCAAAAACTAGTCATGAGAAATATATTTGAAAGTACTTAAACACACACCTGCCTAAAAAATTTCAAAAGGCAATACAAAATTATCGATTGGGAAAGTTTTCTATATCTATGGTATAGGCAGGTACTTGAAAAAAAAAACGAATCACTGTTAATTAATTAATAACGTACACACCAATATAAACTACTGATACCTTCATAGCATCAATACTGAACTTAAATATTTCAGATGATAGCAGTACAAGCAAAACTCCTATGAATTGGACATGTATTACTAATTAAACATGGTTGAGTGAAAATGAAAAAGATGCAAATAAAGATAAAGGAAACTAATCCAAAGAAATTATTCTGACTAAGATAACAATTGCTTACACAATACCATTAACAGATACACCAAGAACACCAAGCACATTTTGTCTGTATGTCATTTTGAACGCCCTAAGCTTATCTCACCTTCACTTTTAGTAGGTTTGTTAATCGCTTTCCGGCCAACCTGTCCTATACTCATTTCTCCTTCACTTCTAAGTGGTAAGATACATGTAGAATTTAAATCAGAACTATCTTTTGATATTGTTGATGTAGAGTCAGATTCTGATATTGTTGCAACTCTTTTCTTTTGTTTCCTTTTAAGTTTTAAATTCACCTCACCTAAACTACTAATTTCTGACGAATTATACCCATCTATTGAACTCGAACTGCTTACACTATTACATTTCATGAAAGTTTTAGATTTAATTGACTTATCTTTTTGTTCGTCTTTGGCTGGTACACTACTTTCTTCCAGGTTAGATAAAATTTCTCGAGATGTTTGCGGCAATCGTAAATTGAATCTCGGGGAAGATAAATTAACTGATATGCCTTCTTCATCGTTATCTAATTCTACTGTCAGCTCTTGTTCGTTAGTAACTATTATCATAGGGCTCGTTTGGTGGTCAACTGTCACCGATAAAAATGGCGAGGTAGTTCTTGTTTTGGTTCTAGTGGGTGATGTCATTACGCTTTTCACATGCGCGGGAGAAGTCTGCGTATTTTTCTGAGAAGCACCTACGTTCCTTTCTTTATTTTCTTCCCCCACATCTTTTGACGTCGACGGCTTAGTAATGTTCTTTTCAAGTATGTCGCCATACTCATCTAGGATAAGTTTCTTTATAAACTCTTTCTCCAACTTAAACATTTTCTCAACTTCTCCATTTGGGTCAACTGAAGGCCATAAATCATTATGTATCGATTGCATAGTTTGCTTGTCATTTCTGGGCGATGTTTGGGTTTCCTTGAGTGATATTTTCTGAGTGGTATTGCTTTGTGTTGCAATCTCTTGTGTAGCAACCAAGTGAACGAACTCGAATACATCAACGGAGTTTTTAAAGGATAGATTTGATACTTTTGTATAAATTTTGTCATGTATGTTGGATTTTGAATTACTTGTAGTACGTTTATTAGCGTTAACATCTTCATCATCAACATCAGAATCACTGGTATCATTACTAGTCTTATTGGATTTTGTTTCGGATTTTGATTTATTTGATAGAGATTTACTATCCTGCAGCTCTGTATTTTCAGAGTTATCTTCTTCAAAATCATCAGCGTAACTGTCTTTTGCATCGCTTTCCTTGTATTCTTTAGATGCATCAGGAGAGGTTTCTTGTGTTTTAACCACGTCAACGGTTTTAGCAATAGTTTTGGACACTGTTCTTTGTATATCCAAAACTTCTTCTAATAAATTCTCATCGGATGTAGTAAATATTATCTTTTTGTTTTTCTGTTTCTGTTGACATTTTCTAGGACTGTTTTCTTGGCTACTCAATATTTTGTCTAGTAAAGGACCTAAAGTTACATCGTTTGTGTTGGGAATATTTGATATTTCCCTCTCAATATCGCTTACTCTGACACCACCGAGCGTCAATTGAGAATATGGAATATATTCCGAGTTATTTAAAAGTTTCCTTTGCATTACAGGTGCACGAGGAGATATGTGGGTTTTTTTCGGGGGCTCATTCTTTACTTTAGATTTGTAAGCAGTTCTGCTATTTTTTGATGTTGAAGGTTGGCCATAGACGGCGTTTAATTTATTTGTCCATTCGTCAGCGATCAAATATGTTTCCTTTTTATTAACAATTGTCTTTTTGGTTTTCTTGCGGTCTGTGCGAGACGAATTTTTAGGAGAAGATCTTATTACAGCCTTAATACGTTTTTGAGTTCTAAGATTGTGTAAAGTATCTGAGCTAATATTGTTGGTTGAGCCACTGCTATCGCAAGTTGACATTTTGGTAATTTTACGGGCAGGCTGTTTGGTGGCACAACTTGGTTGCGGACGGTTAATTGCCACGTTGGATACAGATGTAAGGGTTTTAAATTTTGGTTTGGAGACAGTATTATGCGCCATAGAAACAACAGCTACGTTACTTCTATTTGAGGAAATTTCTTTGACTTCCTTACTATCAGGAATAATATCTAATTGTAGAACTTTTTGTTCTCTTAATTCCCTTCTTATATTTATCCTTGGCATATCTTGTATTGTGAATTTCATTTGAGGTGTAGAAATAGTCGTTTCTGGTTCTATATGTGTATAGATAAATTCGTTATAAACTATTGACGGTTTACTTCTAGCTTTATTAATGTGTTTCTTATTTTTTGTACTATCTTCGACCTTTTCGTCTATTGCTATTAGTTTAGGACGGGTCAGACTTAAATTTCTATATATTACTGGCTTCTTTTTCGGTTCTATAACCCGAGCATCGAAATTAGGTTGAGTTAAACTGCTAGGTGCTGATTTTGCTAAATTAAGAGCAATAGGCTTACTTTCGTCTGATGTTTGAAATGTTGGTGGGCCAACAGGTTTATCTACTATTTTGTAACCATGAAATTTTGCGTTAACAAGTTCTTCTATGTGAACTTTTTCATTAAATTCTTCATCAAGCGGCATCGGTTGTGTTTTAAGTTGTACTCGGGGTTCGTGGAATTTTGACAGTTCCCCAGAAAGTAGCTTCAGGTCGTCCGCAGTTGATTGCAGCATATCATGCAACTTTCGCAATATGATTTCGTCTTCGGGCCTTAGTGCCGGCTCCGAATGCCATACATCGTCGTCTATGATGTTAACCATTTCAATCTTGCTGCTGCTCTCAACCTGGAATTGTATACAAAAACCCATGTTAGAATTATGAATTATTGCCAGTTGGTCCAGATCCAGTCCAAAGTATTACACAGAATTTATTTATGAGATCTAAGCTGTAAACAATATTGTCATTCACGATGAGGGTCAAGATGTAGTCTGGCATAATTACGGAAAAGCGTTTAGCAAAACTTCTAATTTTAAAATCTTTGCTAGCAATTCCAAATGTAGATCATTGTCATCAATATTATCATAAAAGTAAGCATATTACATGTACCACTAACCAAATATCGATCGACTGGGTAGGGAAATAATTTGGGCCTCATCTGTTGGTCAGGCATAGTGGCTCCGGCATGTCGATGGTTCCACTCCGTTCTGTTGAACAACGGAAAATAAACTTTTTAATTTAATTTGTTGAAAAGGAATAGAAAAGCATGAACACAAAATTAAAAATTATTTTTCCATGAATGCCTTTACCCTATATGTATCTCAGTGATAAAATAATTTCCATATAACATTGTCGTGTCAAATTAAATGCACTTTGAAATTAATCTGAATGTTAGGTTTTTGCAAACATCTTAGGTTTACGTACCGTTGATATTGAATGGTATTGTTTTCGCTTTCATTAGCTTATAAACCAAATAAAAGTTTTTTTAAATTAACTCCATAATGTCGATGTTCTGATTCCGGTGATTACAAAAAAATATTATGCGTCCCATGATTTTCAATACTTCGCGTGTTACTAGGCAATTATAAGCATTATTCTGCTGGAGTAGGAAATAGCTGTTGCGTATTGTCGTGTCATATTTCTTTAGCTTAATTTTCAGGAAAGTAAGGGTAAGGGTAAATAAAATGGACAATATTACAAAATCACATCAATTGTATTTCACCAACATGTACATTAACGTCTTAATCGAAGCATTTCACTTGCTGCTTACAGTAAGAAAGAGACAAGTCTCAAAATCTTTCGTGTCGCTTCACGGTCGACATCTACAAACAAGCCTATGTGTAAAGGCGGACTATAACGCTCTGACGTGTTAAATGTACGCGAGTGAAATCATTCTAAATATTACGACATATAAAACATCTAAAATTGAAATACATTTCTGTTAAATCTACACTATGAAAAAGTGGACCAAGGAATTTTCCTTGATGCTGTTTTGTTATATTCCAGTAATTGAAAAGTCGAATCAATGCAGCAAAAGTTCGATGTTATTAGATCTAGAAAATGTCATTATAGCGTCCAAAAAAATCCACAAACTTTTTAATTTCCAGTCTAGCAAGATTATGTATTTACATATATCGAACGCTGCTGCAAATACCAATTCGTGTTACACTTAATAACTACATTGAAACAAACGTACATTTAACACATCAAATAAATCAAGATGCACATTTTGTGCTTACAAATTACCATTGCCAGTTTTGGCGAAACTAATGTAATAGTTGACAAAACCCTTGCGGGTGGTTCCACTGTTATAATACTAACAATCAATTTCGAATCTATCAGAAATACGACGATAAGTTAGATAATTTGAAACGTTAACCGTGTAACGTTTGTTTAAATATTGTTACAAAATTTTGTAATTAATAATACAACAATTCACATACATCTCTGAAGAAATTATTTCGAAAAACAAGTAAAATAACAAATAGGGTGTCACCCTATAGGCGAAGTTCGTAAAAACAAAAAACATTTCTAAAATTGATGGATTAATAAATTTCAACACTCAGTGAAAGTACATCTTGAAAAAGTTGTGGAAATGTACATAAATGTCTAAAAGGCTCACAGTCCTTAGTAATACTGGATGGAAAGCCGAGAACAGGAGGGCTGTTCCATGCTACCTAAATTATTTACAAAGATAAAATATGTACAACGTACGTATATGTACACAAATATCACCTAAAATAAATAAAGGACATGTCAATTTAATTGAATGTACTAATATGCAAAAGTTTAAAGACAATGCTGTCTTGATATAGGATTTTGAGGACAAAGCTGAAAAACATACCAGTTAAACGCAAATTAAAATTAATAAGCCACTTGAGAGGTTCCAGTTTAGTGTCTATCAGTAATGAAATCTGGCAAATGCTGTACTTCCTTAAATGTAAACTTACTTATTATCAGTAAGTAAGATTTTATTACTAAACACAGACACACAACTTTAAACATAAATCCACATGGCTAAAGACAAAAAATCATAACCCTAAGATGAAAATAAATTCAAATGCAACGCGAAATCCAATCAAGCAGCGGCCGTCATCTGATAGCCTTCGAAATTGACATACACTACGAATCGTTTAATATTATGACATATATAATGATAATTATAATGATAATTACTTCACTTTATACAAATATAGCAGCGAGTTTTAAGAGTTCCTATAACGGCCGCGTGTTCGCGGTTCTGACAATTTGACAATTCATAAAATGACTAGGTACGCCCTCGTATGCAAGCCATCCTGCTAATACTGTAGCCTACCCAGCGACCGGTCGCTCATCGCCGCTCTCCACTTCGTCATCCCGGTTGTGGGCAGCAGAGACGAGCGCCGCGGCCGAGCCCCCCAGCAACTCGTAACTTATCCTTACAAAATAATCAACTCAAACGTGAACACCGACCACCGCACGCTGCGAATCGGCGCCAATACTACAATTTTGAATTCCTTCCAATAGAAATCAATGAGAACTTCATTAACAGGCCGAATTAGTCATCGAATGCAAGACAGTAACGGAACTCGAGCCACTCTGAATATAATAATCGCTTCGTTACAAAATAAGATTATTGCGCTTTTGCGGTATACAATAAATACACATATACACCGAAATAAGGTTTGTACATGGAGTTATCCACCTCCGCATACCGAAAATCTACGTTTATATAATCAGTACATCTGACTACTAAATATGTCATGATCATTATATATTGTGTAATACTTGTACAGTGTATAAGAATCACATAAATAAATGCCAAGTTCACTATGGTTCGGGACCTACAGGTAACTAAGAAAATGGCATCCGAATAAATCCCACATCGCGCGAGATCGACGCGCTCGGGAAGCGACGCTTCCTTGCACCACCGCCACCCCCCGGAAAATTTTCAACAGGACAAATCCAAAATTCGTCGAAAACGGATATGTACTACATTCAGAATATTGCACCATTCTTGTCGCGCGATTAATCACTAATTAAAATAACTCCCCTGAGTCTCCAATAAATATTAAAAAATTACAAATCCAACACGCTGAATACGGCGCATATCCTGCTCCGAACAGTTGACAGTATCGGAGAGCGAACTAAAGTAAGATTATATACAGAGCTATATACAAGACAAGTGATCGGTTGATGTGGCCTTTAAGGCCAGCCCGCCGCGGAGCCGCGCGCCCTTGGGCGCCTGCGGCCGCGTGCCGCGGCTTCTCCTCCTGCGGAGGAGCACTAACTGTCGCGTTACAGCGGCAGTGACAAGAGGTACAGTCGGGGCATCGCCACGCTGCCCTAGGTCTCCCGTTCCTTCTTCGGCTTGAACTCCTCACCCAGAATAGTGGCGATCTCACCCTGCATGAACGCCCATGGGACCGTCGAGTTCGCCAGTGGGCATTTCTCACCGCTCGGACAGTAAACCTGCAAAATATATCAAATTTGTCATAATGACACTATTTATATCTCCAGTTTTGAGCAGTTATGACTTAAACAAAATACTGAATCGGGTTCAAAAGGCAGAAAAGGTATGCACTCACCTCAGATCCTTGCTGTCTCTTGATGGAGTCGCGGGAGCAGGGGAAGCAGAACTTGTGGTGCGGTTGGGAGGGGCACTGCACGAAGTGCGTGTCTTCGAGCCGCTCTTGGCAGAGAGTGCATTTGAGTAGCGGCGCAGCCGCGGCGCCCGCTTCCCCACCCTCGCCTGCTTCCGTCGACGACACCGACGTCGTCGACGATACATGCCGCGAACCCGACGACCGCCGCCCGCCGTTAGACCCTGCACAACCCACCACACGATTAGTTCGCGATCTCTACTAACCCGCGCTCCGGGCAGGTTTGAAAACACCCTATACTAGTATCAAATTAAAGACGAACGCTTTCCGATTGTTTCCACGCGCCACGAGCTCAACAGAAAAGTCAACCGACTATGGGACGATATGGGATCTAGCGGTCGTCGGGCGCCACGCCGTGAGCACTGGCGACGAGCGGCGCGCCCATCGGACGCCCGCAGTCTGGTCCATCGGATATATATACACTTCACGCTCTTACAATGGTGTCACTGTTTCAATGGACAAATCGTATATGAACACCAAGATGGATCACAGTGGCATTTATAATTTATTGCAGTCGAACAAAAATGGCGTGAGGTTTTAGTAAAATGTAATGGAATATGCAAGAAGATGATTTACGAGTTATGAACTAGAATGACCCATAACCAGGCTTTGATAGCTAAATTCAAATAACTCATCAGGTAAAACACGGACGCGGAAAACAATCGGGCGTGAGATATTCTTCACATCCGGTTAAGAATTCACCACTGTAGGGCAGAAATGGTCACAAAGCTCCTTACCTGAGGAGTTGGGCGAATGTTGGCTGGAGCGGCTGTTGGAACGCTGCTGCTGCGGCGCCTGCGGTGGCGAACCGCCGGCAGAGCGTGGAGAACCGGGTGGCAGTGTGTCCGCAACGGACATAAGTGCTGCCATCGGAGACGGACCTGCACCACCTGCACCAGTCACCGGCGGCGATCCTGCAGTGCGTCCCAGAGGAGATCCCGCAGACCCATTCGTGAGAGGTGCGCTGTTACCGTAACCTGAAAGGTGGAAAGGGAGTGAGCACTTTTATTGTGGGACTGTGTCAACTACAACGCAATAAATAATGGGTATTGCTGGAAGCAGATCTATAGACATTATGTCGCTTGAAAGTTTCCTCGAAGAGTTACAAAGTTACAAACGAAAATGACAGGTTTACCTACTCGAAATTTTAACGGATATATTGGATCGACCACATTAATGACTTCTGGCACGAGATGGCTGGATCGCGAAGTCGTAGCTTTCGACGACACGACACAGCGGAACAAATACATTTCATTTGCCCGAAAAACCTCGCATTGAATGTTGGATGACACATCGTTTGTGGTGGACCGGCAGATAGTAAACACAAGTTCACACACGCACATTATGTCTTATATATAGCATTGTGTGTTAATACGCGCTTACGTAGGACACGATGTGTCATTGCCTGGTCAGAGATCGTGGAGGCGCGGGCCAATTCCTGTGGTAGATGGGTGGGTAACATGTGGAACTTAACAGTGATGCGGTAGCGGGCGGCACATTCGAATGTGCAACGAATCGTATCGTGGGAAGACGACGGTGAGCGATAGCACCAACGTTGCCAAACGTCTTCCGATGTGGGTTTGGCTGTTGCACTATTCAACTCAACCGGGCCGCTTCATGACTTATGAAATCTTTTAACGCCGCTAAATTGCCCTAAACTTTTAACAGCACTTTTTATACGTAGGTACTTGGAGATATACACATGCAAAGTCTTTCGATGGCTAATTGAAAAAGGTTTTCCTTGCAGAAAGTGAGTCATGTTACCCGGACACGTCTAATAAATTAAGACTTCTACTACTTTTACTGTTGCATTTAATTCTATATTAAGCTGAGAGGCGTTGCGTTAAGTTACAATGGAGTTATTCGAAATATCGTGCCTAGCACGTATGTAAACACTGTACATAAATTAATTAAGCTGTGTTGCGAAAGGGCGTGAGTGATGGTCGCGGTGTCGGCTCACCCATATGGTGGCGGTGACGTCACGTGCGGTGACCTTTTTGGCCGGCGGCTCGTGGCGGCCCCGCTCCCTACACACACGCCAACGGAATGTGGTCGAGCCACTGCCAAGCGTAGGCAGGCGCTATATTTTTTCGCTCGTCGCCGGCCTACCTACATACATACGTACGTACGCGAGCGAAAATGTCGTCACGCGACGTTGCCGTACCGCTGCCAGTGCCGTGTCGTGCTTGCATTCACATTCGTTTACATTACGTGGGTGTTGGTACGCAGCGCGCCTGTGTGCGAGAGGCCGCGAGCGCAGGCTCGCTTTCGAGAACGCTCAACCAGTTGGACCGGTTTAGTATTTATGGACTGAGTTAATGCACCTACCTAGATATGAATCCCGTGGCGGCCGCTTGCGCAAAACCACCACATCGCCCCTCTACAGCTTGGACACGTTCGCGCCTACCGCGCCAGCTATCGCTCGCGTTATCGCTAGACTCAATTCTCGTGACTATGCCGAATCACTATTTTTAAAATTATTAGCCTACTTTGTTTATTAGTAAACAGCGAAATTTCTGTTGCTCCACCACATTCTTGCTCAATTACATTACTACTACCTACTACATTCGGTTTTCCATTTGCTATTTCAGTATGAGGATTTGTTATAGAATTTAATGAGCAAATGTGAATTCTCGACCAAAATATGCAGATCTTCCGGAAGTTGAATAAAAAACTATCACTGTTGGAATAAATGCAATATATTACAATACTCCTGGCGCGATATCAAAGGTTACAAACAGGACAACAGAGTTCAAATTTTATAATACGATAATTGTATTTGTTACTTTAAATAAATTACATTTTATTTAAATTAAGAAATATAATTATCTTATTTTTTATACAAAAAGTACGAGGCGTCTGATAAAACAATAACGTGAAATGATGTTAAGTAAGCATGTCATGAAATTTAATAATAAAGTAATCTGAAGCATTCGTAATGAAAAAAAGGAGATGTGATAAGTTCGGTTATTCTGAATAATTGACAGTGGTTGGTTAGTCGTACATTCATTCGTAGAGCATTAGCGTAAAATCTGCATTTTCTTTTTGTCAAATACATTCTAATTTTACCTAGGGGTAAAATATAAAAATTGATCTAAGAATCATTAACTTGAATTAATTCATTGAAAGCAAATGTCTACCTCCAGACTAATTTTTGTGATGCGAATAAGTTAGAAAATGTCAGTACTCGGAAACAAAAATTGAAAAACCGTATCCTCTTCACACCGCAAATGCCAATGCAAAATTCATACGAGAACTATTAAGCCCAAATGTTTTTGAGAAGCAAAAATTTACAATGGATACATTTGGATATTTGACTTTTTCCTATACCTCCAGCAATATCGACATTATATTTGCATTAAAATGATAACTACAAAAAGTTACTTACCGTTAGCTTTGAACGAACTGGCATCAAACGACGGTGTGCGTAGTGGGTGTTTTTCCTGCTTGAAAACCCGGTCGGGCGCGAACGGTGCAGCCAGAGACACGGCAGGCAAAGAGTCGCCGCGGGTTAGCGGTGGCCGGGGGTGTTCTTCCAGAAGGCGCTTAGCGGGTTCGTGGTGATTCTGATGATCGTCGTCCTCTAGCGGCCGCTTCAACGTCAAACCGGGTGCTAGTCTTGCGCCGCCATGAGTTGGCAGGTGGTGCGTCGGCAAATGTGCAAGGCGGCGGCCCTCGTGATCCTCCCGTCGGCTGTATTCCGTCAATAATCCTGCAGTTGCAGTCGGGCGAGCATGGTGTAACGTGAATCCTGCTGTTGGAGTGTGATGAGCCGGTGGCGCCGGCTGCCCCCTGGGCGCGCTCTCGACTCCATTTTGATGAGCCTCAAGCGGAGCCCGGTGGGCACCCTTAGCGTGTGCAGGCCCGCGGCCTTCCTGGAAGCCGTGGGCTCGCTTGAGCTGCCGCGCCGTGTCGAGGACCACCTCGATGCGATCGGCACCCTCGTAATTGACGCATCCTCGGCACACCGCCTCCGAGAACTCGTGTAACATTGCCCACGGCATGCGGGGCAAGTCGCACAAGTAGCAGTGCTGCCTCTTCTGCATCACCGACATCTCGCCGCCGGGTGTTGAACGGAGCGGGAGAGATCGGCTTTCTTCGTTGCGCTTAAAAATTTTCACAGATTTTTCCAACTCTCAAAAATAAACACTGTAACCATGGTATAGTAACACAATTTCACATTCGGATCCGCGGACGCCGGGTAGTACGGTATTGAAAAGCACTAACTCGTAAGAGGATCGGCGAGAGACTGAGCCGAGGTCGGCGCGCGGAGCGACGACGGGCAGCGGGGGGCGGCGGCCGCCATTATCGAGCGGTGACGTCAGCGCGCGCAGCACGACACGCCGCGACACCCGACGCGCGACGCCACAGCCACGGCCACCGCCCCGCACCACCCGCGGGCCGTTAGCCGACGCGGATGCTCCGCCATCAATACGCTTATCGTACGATAACGTCTACTTAAATGCACCATCGCTCCTTGATTGTATCGCTATCAGCAGATGCCATTTCAATAATAACTTTATGGTAGAAGTGATAGTTGCTTTAACATTAGATGCAAATAACAATAATGTTAAACTTGACGACAAAACGCATATTTACAGAACGTAACGTTGATTACGTCGATGATACTTGTCGATTCTTGGAAGAGAGTAAAAAGTTGTAAATATTCGAGTGAGTCGATTCTCAGAAACTAGGACTGCAAAAAACTGTACAAAGTGTATCAGATTTCGAGAGATATTACGCAGTTAATCTCAAGTGAACCTCGGAATGGGCAAAAAATAATGTAGAGCCAACACTTGCCATAAATTAATGGTAGATACTGCTATGTCAATGGGATCTCTGGTAAACAAACATCAGAGAACTTCTCGTAAATTGAAACTGGCAACGGTTGTTAATTAGAACTAATCGCTGCGATAATAAAGAGCTAGTATGTAATAGATGGGTCATTGATGAAATGAATCATTACTGGCTCGGCAGTCGACACGCATTCCATAGTGCCCCCGATTCCGCTAAGTGTGTATTATTCAACGAAAGTAAACAGCTGCTGTTGTAGAATAACAATTAATGTTAACGCGTATAGTGTACGTGGTCGCTGCATTAAATTTCAATCTATTCTCGCTCGGTTTCCTTTCGAACGACTGCATTCTAAATTATTAACCACGGACGGATCCGGTTGGAAGACGGGAGAGGGGCGGGGATGCGACCGGTGCGGCGGCCATCTTGAGACGTGACGTCACGTGACGAGTCAGCCGAGCGTGCGGCGCGGCAACGTCGCGTTGCCATGTTGCCGCTCGTTTCTGTTGTGCTTTAATAATAATGAAGGCTCATCGCTTTTTGTATGTGACCGAGGATCGGAGAATAGAACAGTTATGCGGCCAGGTAAACGCGGATGACGAACGGATGATCGCGCACCGGGCACGGATTCACCGACATACATCTGACTCGTCACAAATTGGGGATTTGGGTACAGAACGTTAATATTGTGATTTATCGATGAAATTAGTTGAACTTTTGAAGGAAGGTATTTAATTTTTGCACTTTAAATTTACACTGGAACTAGTCACGAATTTTAAACACTAACTTTCGGCCTCCCATTCCGACAATCAAAATAAAATCCGTTTAGGTTAAACGAACAAACATTGAAAAGTAGTTAATTCAGGTTTTCTTTTTACAATTTGCATGAGGCGTCGAAATACGCAATCAAGTAATTGAATTTAGTGTCAGACACTCGACACGGTTGGAACGATAATTCGATTTGATTTTTAGGGCCTGTATCAATGTCTATGAACAAATAACTGTAACTTGTGTGTAATTTGACTCGTCGACGTCGATAGCTAGAAATTATAAATTATTAAAATTGCGATAGTAGACACCAGCGATGATAGTCTAATCTAATCAAGGGTATCGCGTTCTTCATTGTTTTTTAAGAAAGTCTAGCTAATGCAAGTGGCAAGTGACACGTCTACGATTACAATTACATATTACAGAATAACCAGTTTTTATCTTACTTCATTTGTAAAATTTTAGATAGATTAATGTTACACAAGTTTCAGCCACCATATAATGCTTCCTGAAATGTACATAATAGTGGACTTCGAAAATGAAGTTATGGTTTACACGGCGTATGACGGATGTCTATATCAATCTATTGAGTGGTGTCAGTACGCTTGCGCAACCACCCTTTACCGTGCTCCGAGGTGTGCTTATAGTACATAATATTATTAGCTTTATTTACATGAAGGTAACTAGCTGCAACAGACGCACGCGATTACCGGCCACTACTGTATTTATAATCTTTATTATTCAATGTATCTACACAGGAATTTACATTTTAATCGTTTGGAGAGCGAGAAAGTTATTAGTTGGTTGATGGTGTCTAGGCACGCCCGGGAATTGTGGATTTTGTTGGGTTATTGATTTTCCTAAATAATGTCGTTAGACAGCTTCCTTTGTCTGTGCGTGGTGCTTTCTTAGATCTTTATTTCTTTAACTGTATGTTTCGTCAGTTGTAGTTTTCATTAAACATTTTCTGTATTTTTTTTTATTTGCCATTGGTCATAAATTCCCAAAATCTCATTTGTTTTACATTAATTTTTACGATGATATCTTCATTATTTATTCTCACGAACCTTCCAAGTATGTACGAAGAACATATTTTTTAATTCGTACTTTTAGTAAGTATATCTCAACCTCCAATGTATCCAGTCTTTGTCTACGTAGCGTACCTATTGATTTTCGTTCGTCAACAAAAGTGGAGGCTAGGAATCACGTATAGTATGTCGGGATGTCCCGGGTCCCGGATCGATAACGTCGCCGCAGTGCGCCTGCGCGTCCCCGCAACCATAACACGTGTCAATGTTTATTTACGTTCCCTGCACGTATAACGAGAGAGCTAGCACCGAATGCATCATTTGTTCTGAACATTCTAGAATTTGCGCCATTTTATAAGGCAGTTGGAGATGCTATTTTATACATCTTCTAATGAAGAAGTATCATTGTTTGGATACGTTTCCACCGTCAACAGACTCTAGGTTTTCTCCTATCTCACATGACATCTGTTGCGAACAAATAGATAACGCCATTTTTATAATATTAGGTAAGTATAAACAAAGTACAAAATAGACGGGCAAATTGAACTGGGCAAAAAAAAACAAATATTCGTCATATATTTATTTAACCGTTGTACATAATTAAACATCCTTTAAATATAAAGAACTCCTTACAATACATGGGACGCACTAAGTTTCCGGAACGAATAAGAAAAAAATACTATAAATGGTCAGAAATGAATTTATTGCTTCTCAAAATATTCTTCGTTAGCGTTAATGCAGTTTTTCATACGAATGAACCAATTTTGAAAACATTTATGCCACTCCTACTTTACAGTCTCTGAAACATATTTTTCATATTCTTCGACAGCCCCTTCAGGTGATGAAAATCGTTGACCGCGTGACTGGTTCTTAATTTTCGGAAATAAATGAAAGTCACAAGGTGACAGGTCGGAACAGTACGCTGGATGGCTTATAAGGTCAACGTTGTTCACCTTCAAAAATTCATTTGTCTGTCTGGCCGTGTGAGAACTGATATTATCGTGGTGTAAGATGATACGGCGTTTACGGTTATTTTTACGGAGTTTGTCAATAACTTCCGGCAAACAAATGGCCGTGTACCAATCACTCGTGTACACAATTCACGGTACAACGATTCTCCAAAGCAACAGTAGCCACGTGTCCAGTTTTATTAAAAAAGAAGCAGTCATTCGCTTAGAAGCACTTTCCACGCGCGCCACTTTGGTTGGTTTCCACCTTGAAAGACCCATACGCTCTATTGCTGCTTTGTTTTGGGATTGTAACTATAAATCCATGTTTCGTTTCACACCAAATTTGACGCCCCTTCGTTGAATCTGATAAGCATGGCATTGCACCAAGTGACGCGATCCGTATATTGAGCCTCAGTCAAATTGTGTGGGATCCACCGAGAGCACAGCTTTTTCACACCCAAATGTTTGTGTAGTATTGATTGTATTTGTCTCATGCCTATGCCTAAAGATGCCCGAATCTCATGGTATGTCACATGCCTGTCTGTTTGATCATACGGCGCACAGCATCGATGGTTTTGTTGTTCACAGCAGTGGACGGGCGACCACCACGAAAGTCGTAACTGAGATTCACACGGCCGCATTTGAATTCTGCAAACCTGCTATAAATAGTCGTCTATCATGGTGCATCATCGCCAAAAGCAGTTTGAAACCGAGCGAAGCTTCACTGAGCTGTTACATTACACTTAAAGTCGTAGAAATTCATACTACGAAAATTTTACACGAGTTAAATCCATAGTGATGTGGACAACCAATTTCTAAAATGACGCCACAATATAAAAACAAGTGACAGTTAGATGAAACAAACTGTATTCTACAGCCGAAGAGTTCCATTTTGAAATGTTGTAATTAATTTTTTGTCTATGTAAGTGGCCAGTTCCGGAAACTTATAGTGCGCCCTATGTAGTTGGACAAGTACATATACTCTTTATGGAGCTATATCTTTTAAAAGTCTATTCCCGTGCTTTGTCCGACATCCGTCCGAAACAATTACTGTGTAATAAGTAATACTCGTCCAAATTATAAAAGATGCATGATACGAATGAAGCTTCATACGTGACAGTGTCTTTTGATTTGGCCGAGTATTACTTACTTGACAGAAATTGTTTCGGACGGATGTCGGATGGAGAACGGGAGTCGACCCCCTGGAGTCTGAAAGCCTACAATTACTACAAAGCACGACTGGATGATAAATAGATCGAATCAGTAATGAGGATTTCCGCAAGGGAAGCAGAGTAACCGACATAGCCCTAACAATTGCATAACTTAAGTGGCAATGGGCAGGGCGCATTGCTTGCAGAACAGTTGGCCGATGGGGTCGAAGAGTTCTCGAGTGAAGGCTGCGGGAATCCGCTAGATGCAAGCGGCGCAGGACAGATCGTTACGGCATTCTTTGGGGGAAGCCTATGTTCAGCAGTGGACGTCTTTTGGCTGAAATGATGATGACGACTGGATGCGATGTCTTACTTAATCTGCGTGTACATGGTCTCTACAAAGAACTAGTTGCATTGAAGACGATGTGAAGGAAGTAGATATGAATATCTAGTCAGTTTGACACTATGTATAAAATGAATGCCCTGTTTTCACAATACATTTAACGTTGTAGAGCAAGTAAATATAATCCTTAAACTGCCTCAGTGGCTGAACGGTTACCATGCCAGACTGCCACGCAGAGGTCCCAGGTTCGATTCTTGGG